ACTTTTAAAAAGCTGTCTGCTGCCCGCGACTACTGCAGAGAACACTACACAGATTTAGCCAAGATTGAGAATGATGAGGAACAGAATAAGGTCAATTCTGCAAAACCAAACCACTATATTAAAGCTTGGATCGGTCTGTACCGAGTGCCGTGGACTTGGTCCGACAAGTCACAAAGCTCCCTCAGATTCTGGGATAGTATTGGGCCAAATAATGCAGACAACAAGGAGTTCTGTGGATTTAAGCGTCCATCACATCAATGGAATGACGCCGACTGCTCTAGACTATTCCCTTTTGTCTGCCATCAAGGTGATTGTGAACAAGTAATACATGTGTTCTACATGCATCATATTTACAGTAAAGGTGTCACTGTTTAAAGACTGAATGTTTATTTTACGGTTCAGTTACCACATTGAAGACCACGCTCAGGATGAAGTTTGAGACTGACGCTGATATCACAGATCCAGCTCTTAACGCCCAGATCCTGCAGCAGGTACGACTCTCTGTTGTTTATTTTATGAGGTCAAAGTTGATGCAGAAAATGACAGAAAACTACATTTTTTCCCTCTTCAGCTGAGTGAAGCGCTGACACGTCAGGGATTCACTGACTTCAAGCTGAGATGGAAGATTCCGCCCAAAAAGCAGGAGAAGACCACGGAAACTCAATGTGTCATAAATGAATGATATATTTATTTAACTGCATTCCTACTAGCTTATAATACTCTTGTTATTATATATGTTATTTGTGAATAAAAACAGACCTCAGCTATTAGATGATTTGTCTTTTGGTTGTTTGCATGCTTGTTAAACTGCTGTCCTCGTTACCAGGAAAACTTAAGGAAACTCCAGTCAAGAGAAGAGCAACTGGTCTGTCTGATTTAAAAAGTCATTAAAAAAACCATGTCTCCATTATCATTCTAAATGCTATTATAAATGTTTTATTGACACCTTACTTTGTTACACAGTGACTGAAGGACTTGATGTTACTGCTGTCATCAAAGGCTTTTAACTGTGAAATAAAAAATTTGTCTGGTTTTTCAAAACTTAAAACAACTTCTACTTCTTCTTGCTCTTTGGAAATCCGATAATCAATGAATAAGCAATTGTCTTTTCATTAAAAAGTTCAAAGACAAGGTGTCTCCCTCTTCAGTGAGAAGTGCATTGTGGGTGTTTATTCTCTGAAGGTCTCATGTTTCCATTTTACACTTTTGTGTATAATACACTTTGAACGTAACCGGCTTCCGTACTACTTGTAATCCAACAGTCACACACATATACGGCCAACAGCCATATTCCTGATGGCTAAATCCTCCATCACACTCAGCTGTAACTTTTTGCTTGTGTGATGAGTCCTCTTTTTATTAAGTTGACGAGTGAACTTTAAGCAAATTCTGGAAACTGTTTTGCAGAAAAAAAACCTTGGCTATGCAAAGTGTAGTGTCATCTGAAGTTGTAAATAAATAAATAAATATATAGCACGGCCATCGTTCCGTCAGACACACACAAACACACACGTACACTTCCTAGATATATTTACCCTCACTGGTTTGACAAAGAAATCACTTCCAAAGATTGACTTGGCCGTGTCTTTACTTCGGGTGACAGTAATCCACCTCTTTGTTTTGTCAAACAAATTGATGAATTCAAATCTTGTGACCTTGTGTATTTAAAAAGTATTTGTTAAAATGTGAGAAACACCATTTCCTTTTTAAGTGTAAAAAATGTGTCTATAAAGAAACGTTAATCGAAGTTTGTTGTGGAAGAACTACACACTGCAAACATACTTTACCAAAACAGATAATTAATAAAACTTACATAAAGGCTGTAGACTTTATTAAGCTAAGAGGAGGATGATGACTTTACAGGATATCTATGATGCAACCAGCATCCAATGGGTTAACTTCATCAAACTAATGTTTTGCATATGGAAATATTGTCAAGCACTTTAAATCACTCAAAAGGGTTTATCCAAGTTGTCTTTGTCGGAATTACTGGAGGATCAACACCATGGAGCTCAAATGTCAACCGTAGAATACATTTCAACAGCTGGATTTGAGATTTGTGAGTATTTCCACATCACTGCAACAATCAACAAGGACTGCAGGTGAATAATTGTTAATGTAAGAGCTGTTTCTTGACCCGACTCTGAAACCGTAGCCAATGGTGAAGGAGACACGCAGGATATTTGAAGGAAAATATTTTCCTTTTTTTAGACTTTATTGCACCTGAAATATACCAAAGTCCTGATTACCTGGCATCACCAAATACAGTATAAGACACTCACAGGAATACAAAGTACACCTCCAATATATATTTATGACCAATTTGTTGTGTTTTCATTTAATTCTCTAATTAGAGCCCATCTCCCTCGTTGTCTGATCATTATTGTTGCAGCTGTTGGGACTTTTTATATAAAAGGTCTTAATCAGCCAGAGATCTAAAAGTTCATTTTCATTATTTACATTTTGTCTTCTTATTTGCAGTGAAAGTCAGCAATGGATTGTTGCCTTCCTTTGATTGTCCTCTTCTGTGGTAAGGTCGAGACTTTTAAATAATGTAACAACGGTTGGGTTTCAGTTCGAATACATCACTCTAAGCTTCTTGAGTGATGCAGGTAAAAAAAGAGTAAATTCACTGGGGACGGAGGTTTATACATCATCAATGATCAAAGGAATAATTTACTATGATCACCACTTGCAATTATAATATAGTTGGATATTTAAATTAGAATGAAAAACCCTTTTGTTAATTATCTGCAACCCTCAGGAGTTAACTTCATCTCCTGCTCTCACTTACCACCACTACGTAAGTACTACTATGTTGACACATTGATGACCTGGGCTGGAGCTCAGCGTTACTGCAGAGAGAAATACACCGACCTGGCGACCTTCGAAAGCATGGATGATGTCAGCAGGCTGCCACCTGACACCAAACCATACAGATGGATCGGACTGAGTGACGACCCTAAATCGTGGAGGGGCACCATGGGTAATGACCCCAACTCCTGGAGATGGTCATCGACTGGTGAAACCAGTAGAACTGGTTACCAGAACTGGGCGGTGGGGAAACCAACCAATCCCCTGCAGACCTGTGCTGTGATGCTCGCTGATGGACGATGGAATGAATATTCCTGTGAATCAGCTTTATATTTTATTTGTTACACTGGTAAGACATTTTTTGAGTTTTTTCATTTTATACACTGAATGCATTTGTCATCTAACAAAATATCATGAAACCGTTGTAGCTTCTGCTCTCTTTGTGAATTTACCTGCTGAACGCTGAACAAGTTTAAAACACAGATATAAATATATATATATATATATATATATATATATATATATATATATATGAGAGAGAGAGAGAGCGCGCGCAACTGAAATTATTTTTTAAATAATAATAAAACTGTCCTCATTTTCGACAATGAATGATTTTGTTGATTGTTACACTGGATTCCCTTCTGTCTGTTGCAGAGACGTACCAAGCAACGAAAAGCTTTGTGTTAATACAACTTTCAAAAAGCTGGTCTGCTGCCCGCGACTACTGCAGAGAACACTACACAGATTTAGCCAAGATTGAGAATGATGAGGAAAAGAATGAGGTCAATTCCGCAAATCCAAGCCATGGCATAGTTTGGATCGGTCTGTACCGAGTATCGTGGACTTGGTCCGACAAGTCACAAAGCTCCTTTAGAGTCTGGGCTAGTGGTGAGCCAAATAGTGGCAAAATGATAGAAATCTGTGCCGCTCAGTATCGATCACATCAATGGATTGACACCCTCTGCTTCAACCAATTACCTTTCATCTGCCATCAAGGTGATTTTTGACAAGTGGTAAATGTTTTACATGCATCATATTTACAGTAGAAGTCTCACTGTTTGAAGACTGCATGTTTATTTTACGGTTCAGTTATCACATTGAAGACCACGCTCAGGATGAAGTTTGAGACTGATGCTGATATCACAGATCCAGCTCTTAACACCCAGATCCTGCAGCAGGTACAACTCTCTGTTGTTTATTTCAAGAGGACAAAGTGGATGCAGAAAATTATAGAAAACTACAGTTTTTTCCCTCTCTTCAGCTGAGTGCAGCGCTGACACGTAAGGGATTCACTGACTTCAAGCTGAGATGGAAGATTCCGCCCAAAAAGCAGGAGAAGACCACGGAAACTCAATGTGTCATAAATGGATGACATATTTATTTTAATTGCAAGCATACTAAGTTACAATAATGTTTTGTTTTATCTTTGTTATTCGAGAATGATATTAGACTTCAGCTAATAGTTTTGTCTTTTTATTGTTTGCATGCTTGTTAAATTGGGAACGCCTCAGGATCCCCCAGTCACAGCTGGTAGATGTGGTCCTGGAAAAGGAAGTTTGGGGTTCTCTGCTCCAACTGTTGCCCTCGTAACCCGACCCTGGGTGAGCGGTTAAATAAGAGATGGTGTGTATACAAAGGGTAACCATGGCCAATGTCATGCTTTGCAGATGGAAATGTTAGTGAGGGCACATTCCTTAAAGTACTTATTAGCTGGCGTCTGTATATCTAGAGGATAAGAAAGTTCAGATCCCAGCAACGATTGTGAGTGCGCTTCTGTATTGCAGGGTAACAAGTGATGAAATACAGTTCCACTGCAAGTTGACAATATTCTCTGCAAGAAAAAGAAGTAAAACTGTTCAAAGATTTAGGTTTTATTTTTTCTGTTACAAAGTGGGAAATAATGATAACTGCATAAGGTTTGATTTGTATGTCAAGGGATGATATGATAAAAAAAAAAGTTCAAAACGGAATATCGAGATTGTTATACATCAAAACATTCCATACTTCTTAAATGTTAAATCTGGTAACTGTTGAAGGCAATAATTCTCTAAATGTTGTATGTTTTCTGGTTGCAACATATGACCTATTGATTCAACTTTGCACACCAGCTAGTCAAAGTGAGTCCAGGAAGACGGGATTTAACATTCAAAGGAGCTCTTGGCATTTAGAACAAAATCCTAAACAAATGAAGCTCAGCATTCCAGACCCTTTAACTTGCAAATTACTAAAATAATTACTGGTCCATCAGCTAAATCCTTCCCAGTAATGCAAAGTGTCCCACCGATATCTTTGTGTTGAATGATTGTTACGGAGTCAATATCATACATGACACTTTATGTAAAAATTTGGATATTGTCAGTAAATAAAAAAAAATAAAAGGTCAACAGACGGTGATGGCATTGACATGACAATAATCAAGAAGGTAATTGAGGAAATTATTCATCCTCTGACTTTCATCTGTAATCCGTCATTTCAAGTGGGTAAATATCCAGAAAATTCAAAATTGCAAAAGTCATTCCACTTTATAAATCTGCGGACAGACACTGTTTTACAAATTATAGGCCTGTTTCCCTACTTCCACAATTTTCCAAAATTTTTGAAAAATTATTTGTGGGTAGATTGGATACCTTCATTAGTAAACATAAACTGCTTTCTGAAAGCCAATACGGATTTAGATCACAAAGATCCACAGCAATGGCAGTCCTTGAATTAATAGAAGACGTCACCAGCTCCTTAGACAAAAAGAAATCTGCAGTTGGCATATTTATTGATCTCAAAAAAGCAATAGATACAATAAATCATGAAATATTAATTAAGAAGTTAGAGCACTGTATCAGGGGAGTAGTCTTCCACTGGATGAAAAGCTATCTAAGTAACAGGCAACAATTTGTGCAAATGACTTCAGGCCTGTAGCCCCGACCTCTGTAGTCATGAAGTCTTTTGCACGGCTAGTCCTGACCCACCTGAGGTCCCTCACCGACCCCCTCCTGGACCCGCTGCAGTTCGCCTACAGAGCCAACAGGTCTGTGGACGACGCTGTCAACATGGCCCTCCACTACATCCTCGGACCATCAGCACCGGTTCCCCCCAAGGCTGCGTTCTCTCCCCTCTGCTCTTCTCCCTGTACACCAACAGCTGCACCTCCAGCCACAGTCCGTCAAGCTCCTGAAGTTTGCTGATGACACCACCCTCATTGGACTAATGTCTGGTGGTGATGAGTCCGCCTACAGGTGGGAGTCTGACCATCTGGTGTCGTGGTGCAGTCAGAACAACCTGGAGCTCAACGCTCTGAAGACAGTGGAGATGGTTGTGGATTTCCGGAGGAACAGCGCCCCACCTTCCCCCATCACCCTGTGTGGCTCCCCCGTCACTATTGTGGATTCCTTCCGTTTCCTGGGCTCCTTCATCACCCAGGACCTCAAGTGGGAGCTGAACATCAGCTTCCTCAGGCAGCGGAAGAAATTCAACCTGCCAAAGACGATGATGGTCCACCTCTACACGGCCATCATCGAGTCCATCCTCTGCTCCTCCATCACTGTCTGGTACGCTGCAGCCACAGCCAAGGACAAGGGCAGGCTGCAGCGCGTCATCTGCTCTGCAGAGAGGGTGATCGGCTGCAATCTGCCGTCCCTGCAGGACTTGTTCACTTCCAGGTCTCTGAAGCGAGCTAAAAAGATTTTAGCCGACCTCTCTCACTTGTTCGATAGTGCACTTTATTTTTTTTATATTTTGTAACTTTTTTTAATATTTTTAATTTTTAACTTTAACTTTATTCTCTTATTTTATACTAACCCATCGCCTTATAGCCTTATTGTACTAACCCATTGTATTAGCATTTCATTTTATTTTATTTCATTACTTGTGCACTGCTGTCTTGTCTATTGTTACACTGTCTACTGTCACGCACAAACCGCCAAGACAAATTCCTTGTATGTTTGACATATTTTGGCAATAAATGTTTCCTGATCCTGATTCTGATCCTGAAATGGGTGACCACCAGTCATCTTGCTTGGACGTTGTTTGTGGTGTCCCCCAGGGGTCAGTATTGGGACCTATAGTGTTTATTCTTTATATTAATGACATCAGTAAAGATTCTAAAATACTTAAGTTTGTTTTGTTTGCAGATGATACTAATATTTTTTGTACAGGTGACAATTTGCAGCAGCTTTCGTCTGAAATTAATTTAGAGTTATGTCAACTTAAGATATGGTTTGATATGAATAAATTATCATTAAACTTGGATAAGACCAAGTTTATGTTGTGTAGTAATTGCAAAAGCAAAACAAATTTGCAAATCCTAATAGATAAGAATTAGAATAAGAATTAGAATTAGAATTAGAATAAGAATGTCAGTGGAGCGAATTAATTTAATTAAGTTTTTGGGAGTTATGATAGACCATAACATTTGCTGGAAACCGCATATTAAATGCATTCAGTCTAAAATATCCATCCAAATATCCATTATTATCCAAGTATTGCTGTTCTCAGCAAAGAAACATTTTCTAAATTATGCTGCACTACATATTCTACATCGCTCACTTATTTTGCCCTACTTGAGTTACTGTGTGGAAGTATGGGGCAACACCTATAAAACCCTGCTGCGACCTTTATGTACATTCCAAAAAAGAGCCATCAGAATGGTTCATAAGTCAGGATTCCACGATCATACTAACTTATTATTTATACAGTCCTGCTCCCTCAAATTGCCAGATCTAGTAGAATTTCAAACCGCTCTGCTGATGTATAAAGCTAGAAATAAACAACTACCAGATAACGTGCAAAAACTGTTTACTGATCGAGTGGGGGGCTATGATTACAGGGAAAACCTTAACTTCAGAACCTTGAGGGTTCGAACCACCATGAAGAGAATGTGCATTTCAGTCAGTGGTGTGAAGGTCTGGAATAAACTTCAAAAAGACCTGAAGCAAAGTCCATGCAAGACTCGTTTAAAAAAAAGACTCAAATTGGTGATTCTCAACGGGTACTGTGACGAAGAGAGAAGGTGATTGGTATAACTACTCAGCACTATATATATGTTATAATGTATTTAGTATATATAATGTATATGGTATATCATTATTATTAAATAAATAAATATTATTATTATTCTTAGTGTAAGTATGTATATGTATATAAATATATATATATATATATATATATATATATATATATATATATATATATCTATATATACATGTTACAGGTATGCTCGCAGGGATATGTTTGTGGTGTTTATTTGTTTTTGTGATTGAATATTTGTGAAGTGTATGCGTGGTATGTAGGTGTATTATGTAGTATTCTGTGTGGGTACAGGCTGAAGAGTGGTTGAAAAGGGGTGGGACATCAAATAAGTGTCATGCTTCTTCCCATTCCTTTTTGTCTAACAGTTTTTTTTCTGTTGTGTCTTAGCTCTTTGTTGTTCTATTTTTTAAAATAATTTGTATTTTCTTTGTGTGTACAAGTAGTAACATTTTTTTCCCTTTTATACTAGTTTGAAAAAATAAATAAATTCATAAATCTCCGCAACTCATTGAGTGACGTAATAATCGCGCGACACAACGAATCGAATTGTAGTCCCTGCTGCAACCACTGCGAGGGGATGTACCTCCCACTGATGACCAACCCTCTCATGACATCACAATATACAGAGATGCATGAATAGCGACAAACCGAAAATATGTTTGTGCACAGTTTAAAACTTGATTTTTAATTATTATTTAAACTGTTACCCATTGCCAACGATGAATAATTTCATTAATTGTTACACTGGATTCCCTTCTGTCTGTTGCAGAGACAAACCAAGCAACGAAAACCTTTCTGTTGATCCAACTTTCAAAAAGCTGGTCTGCTGCCCGCGACTACTGCAGAGAACACTACACAGATTTAGCCAAAATTGAGAATGACGAGGAACAGAATGAGGTCAATTCTGCAAATCCAAGCCTTTATGGTAAGGTTTGGATTGGTCTGTACCGAGTGCCGTGGACTTGGTCCGACAAGTCACAAAGCTCCCTCAGAATCTGGGATAGTTCTGAGACAAATAATTAGGACGGCCATGAAGTCTGTGCTAAGCGTCCATCACAACTATGGGCTGACTACGACTGCCTTCTCCGATTCCCGTTTGTCTGCCATCAAGGGGATATTAGTAGTAGTGATTTCATATTTACAATCGATGTCTCACTGCTTAAAGACTGCATGTTTATTTTACGGTTCAGTTATCACATTGAAGACCACGGCACTCAAGACGAAGTTTAAGACTGACGCTGATATCACAGATCCAGCTCTTAACGCCCAGATCCTGCAGCAGGTACGACTCTCTGTTGTTTATTTTATGAGGTCAAAGTTGATGCAGAAAATGACAGAAAACTACTGTTTTTTCCCTCTCTTCAGCTGAGTGCAGCGCTGACACGTCAGGGATTCACTGTCTTCAAGCTGAGATGGAAGATTCCGCCCGAAAAACAGGAGAAGACCACGGAAACTCAATGTGTCATAAATGAATGATATATTTATTTAACTGCAATTCTACTAACTTATAATAATGCTTTGTGTTGTCATGTTTTTTGTGACCAAAGGACACAGTGACCAAAGGACTTGACGTTACTACTGTCATCACAGGCTTTTTTTTAGAATAACTTGTTATTTTTGCAGGTTTTAAGACATATAAAGTATAAAATATTTAACTGTGAAAAATAATGTGGTTTTTAAAAACTTAAAACAACCTCAACTTCTTCACCCAATCATCTTTTCATTAAAAAGTTTAAAGACAAGTTGTCTCCCTCTTCAGTGAGAAGTGCATTGTGGGTGTTTATTCTCTGAAGGTCTCATGTTTCCATTTTACACTTCTGTGTAAAATACACTTTGAACGTAACCGGCTTCCGTACTACTTGTAATCCAACAGTCACACACATATACGGCCAACAGCCATATTCCTGATGGCTAAATCCTCCATCACACTCAGCTGTAACTCTTTGCTTGTGTGATGAGTTGTTGTCATTAAATTGTCAAGTGAATGTTAAGCAAATTCTGTAAACTGTTTTGTATTAAATAAACGTGGCTATGCAAAGTGTTGTGTCATCTGAAGTTGTGTATATGTACATACAGTAGAGTCATTATAGGGGAGAGCACGGTCGTCCTTCAGTCAGCAGGCCGGTCTCTAACCCCCCTGCTCTGGGACAGGCGAGAATGACGCTAAGAGGGGAAGAGCGTAGATCTATTTGCCTTCACTGGTTTGACTACGAAATCACTTCCAAGGATTGACTTGTCGTGTCTTTACTGACAAGACAAATTGATGAATTCAAATCTTGTGACCTTGTTTATTCCACGAGGTGACAACAACAAACAGCATGACGGTGCCTTCATCATTTAATGCACAATTATTGTATAATATTATACTATAGAATTTGAGAAACACCTTTTCCTGTTTAAGTGTAACAATGTATAAGTAAGCAATAAAAGTAATGGCCAAAATATGTCAAACATACAAGGAATTTGTCTTGGCGGTTAGTGCGCGACAGTAGACAGACAAGACAACAGTGCACAGGTAATAAAATAAAGTGGAATGAAATGCTAATGCAATGGGTTAGTAAGAATAAGGCTAAGGCTATGGGTTAGTAAAAAAAACAAGAGAATAAAGTTAAACAAATTTTAAATATTAAAAAGTTAAAAAGAAAAGTTAAGCATAAAGTGCACTAACAACAAGTAACAGACAAGAGACAAAGTGACAAGTGACAAAGTGATGAATTGCAGTTAAAGTGACATTACCCTAGTCGCTACCATTGCACACTGCAAACATACTTTATCAAAAAAGATAATGGCTAAATCTTTAATAAGGGTTCAGACTTTATTAAGCGAAGAGGAGGAGGATGACTTTACAGGATATCTATGACGCAACCGGCATCCAATGGATTAACTTCATCAAAGTCATGTTTTGCATATGGAAATGTTGTCAAGCACTTTGTATCACTCAAGAGGGTTTATCCAGGTTGTCTTTGTCGGAATTACTGGAGGATCAACACCATGGAGCTTGAATGTCAACCGTAGAATACATTTCAACAGCTGGAGATTTGTGAGTATTTCCACATCACTTTAATAATCAACAAGGACTTCAGGTGAATAATTGTTAATGTAAGATCTGTTTCATGACCCGGCTCTCAAACCGTAGCCAATGGTGAAAGAGATATTCAGGATATAATAATGTTTTTGTTTCCGGGGATTGCTGGAATATTGGAAATAAAAGGTAGATTTGGACTAAACTAAATCTGACAGAAAAACTCTGCCCTTTATCTGACCAGAGTAAATGTAACGGGGAACCTGGGAAAGACTCTCTTCTTCCGGACACAGGATGGTCGTGTCTTGTGGGCTGCAGACGTGGTTGGCGGCCTCGATCTCTTTGAGTTGACCTTAAGCTTAAAAATTTACCTATTTTCTTCTCATTTGCAGTGAAAGTCAGCAATGGATTGTTGCCTTCCTTTGATTGTCCTCTTCTGTGGTAAGGTCGAGACTTTTAAATAATGTAACAACGGTTGGGTTTCAGTTCGAATACATCACTCTAAGCTTCTTGAGTGATGCCGGTAACACAAGACTGGGAAAAACTTAAATCTATATTACATTTCCTCACCTTTTTAAAACATGTTATATGTAAAAGGTGTCTGTAGTAGAATAATACTGAAGTTATCAAGGTATGAACAATCTAGACAAGTTGGATTTAATGCTACTGTATGATTATGGGGATGATTTCATACTGTAAATCACTAAACACTAACCGTGCCGTCTCTCACAACCCTCAGGAGTTAACTTCATCTCCTGCTCTCACTTACCACCACTACGTAAGTACTACTATGTTGACAAATTAATGACCTGGGCTGGAGCTCAGCGTTACTGCAGAGAGAAATACACCGACCTGGCGACCTTCGAAAGCATGGATGATGTCAGCAGGCTGCCACCTGACACTACATACAGATGGATCGGACTGAGTGACGACCCTAAATCGTGGAGGGGCACCATGGGTAATGACCCCAACTCCTGGAGATGGTCATCGACTGGTGAAACCAGTAGAACCGGTTACCAGAACTGGGCGGCGGGGAAACCAACCAATCCCCTGCAGACCTGTGCTGTGATGCTCACTGATGGACGATGGAATGAATATTCCTGTGAATCAGCTTTTTATTTTATTTGTTACACTGGTAAGATATTGTTTGAGTTCATTGATTTTATACACCGAATTCATTTTCAGTCCACTAACAACATTCAATCTGAATTGGTATGAACACTGAATGAGTTTTAAACACGGTTTGTTGATTCAGCATATTTCACATCTGCTACTCTCTCACTGTGATTGAGAGATGTCATTCATGTGATTATTGATAGATAATATATTAAATATATCTATCTATATAATATTGAATTTTAATATCAATTATATTATTCCTCACCACGAGTTAATGAATAATTTCAATAATTGTTACACTGGATTCCCTTCTGTCTGTTGCAGAGACGAACCAAGCAACGAAAAGCTACGTGTTAATCCAACTTTCCAAAAGATGGTCTGCTGCCCGCGACTACTGCAGACAACGCTACACAGATTTAGCCAAGATTGAGAATGATGAGGAACAGAATAAAGTCAATTCTGTAAAACTACAATATTATATTGTAGTTTGGATTGGTTTGTACCGAGTGCCGTGGACTTGGTCCGACAAGTCACAAAGCTCCATCAGAATGTGGGCTAGTGGTGAGCCAAATAATGGAGACATGATAGAAATCTGTGCCGCTCAGTATCCATCACATCAATGGAATGACGACAACTGCTTCAAACTATTACCTTTCATCTGCCATCAAGGTGATTTTTGATGAAGTAGTAAATGTTTTACATGCATCATATTTACAGTAGAAGTCTCACTGTTTAAAGACTGCATGTTTATTTTACGGTTCAGTTATCACGTTGAAGACCACGCTCAGGATAAAGTTTGAGACTGACGCTGATATCACAGATCCAGCTCTTAACACCCAGATCCTGCAGCAGGTACGACTCTCTGTTATTTATTTTAAGAGGTCAAAGTGGAATGCAGAAAATGACAGAAAACTACAGTTTTTTTCCTCTCTTCAGCTGAGTGCGGCACTGACACGTCAGGGATTCACTGACTTCAAGCTGAGATGGAAGATTCCGCCCAAAAAGCAGGAGAAGCTCCAAGAATCTCCATGTACCATAAATGGATGACACATTAATTTTCTACTGCAAGCATACTAAGTTATATTAATGTGTTGTGTTATCTATGTTATTCAGGAGTAATATGGGAGCTCAGCTGATAGAAGATTTGTCTTTTTATTGTTTGCGCACTTGTTAAATTGCCATCCTGGTTACCAGGAAATTCTGAATTAATAAGCAAATATCTTTTCATTTGAAAAGTTCAATTGCTGAAGACAAGATGTCTCAGCGAAAAGGGCCTCGTGGGTGTTTTTTTCTCTGGTGAGTGAAATAGTTCGATATGTGAACAATAAGGCTTTTATTCATCTGTGGGTCAGATCATGTAAACGGCACATTATCGTTAATTGTTTGTCGTTATTGCTTATACTTTCAAATATATTTTACTGTATTAATCATGTAGACTGTACACTTAGTTCCACTGTTTATTTCTGGTATTTTTTGGGTTCAAAATGTAGAAGTTGGGGTGTGAAGTAAAACAATAAATACACTATTTTGCTGTAATTCGTTGCTTTCTGTTATTGTCTATTAACAAAGTAACCGCGCTGCTTTGATCTTATCGGGAGGCTTATCATGTTGACTCCAACTTCCAACTTTGGGATATTCTTGCTCCTGACAGTATTTGTTGTGATTAGCTGTATTTCCCAGAATGCTTTTTTATAGATGCAATTATTTAACTAGGTTCAAAACATGGCTGCATAACACGTCCCGTATTCACGGCAATTGCTCTGAAGGTTTTGAGGCTTTTCTTCGTCTTTGGCCGATTTCACAATATTTAATGTTTTTTTTAGGATAAAGGCAAATTAAACATTTGGGAATCAGATTGCCTCACACTTGCTCTGAAAACCTACTTAATATATAATCAAGCACCATAGTTACGCACCATACTCCACATTGTTGCATTGTCCAATGGAACAAAAGGGAAGGAAATGGCTTTTTGAAATAATTTTGTAAAAATCCGTTTGATTTTTCTTTATTGCTGTTAAATGGTTGGGGCATTCATTGTGTAAAACTCCACAGGTGAGATAACGTTGTGGTTGCAGGTCAAGGAATACTGCCATGTCACAAATATTGGTCCCAAATGAACAAAATAAACAAGGCAACTGTTCATCATCAAGTGAGGTCCTGATTTTCTACTGTTTGTTAAGATAAAGCTTCAAAGATTGGTTTAATTTGCAGAGAGACCCATTTAACCTGTCCAGGCCCTGTAATGCCACAGAAACAGAGATAAAAAGAGATATATTGCTCTAATAAACAGGCCTTCGAGTGAACTCCAAGTGAAGGTTTACAACTGGTTGTAAAGAATCAAAAGGACGGCTGAGGATCTGTTAGTCATTAGTCTGTTTACCATTTGGTGCAACACCATATTTAGATAAAATGCCGGAGAAATTCTTCAAATGAGGAGCAGATGAAATAGATTTTAGTGCTTTAACAAAACAGAGGTGGGTTTGGGTATGTAGGTGTTCTAATGGTTTAAGATCATGGTTGTATATGAAGTTATTATAAAGTAATTATATTTTAATAATATTGAGAATATTGATAGTGGATATTAGTATTGTTGGTGCTTGACCACCAATGGCAGACAGTCCGGTGCTTGGGACTAATATAGTTCTTCATTGTGATATTTGTCACTGAAATGCATGGTCCCCATTGGATGAATCCCAGTGCCTTGATGATCCTCTGACGGCTGCAATAAAACAATGTTTACACCCAAACAACACAACATGACTGTCACTTCCATTAACCACAACTTACTTTAACATGCTCTAAAGTGTTAAAGTTTATGCCACATGTTTTCCACAGAAAAGCACGTACTCAAACCATTTTTACCTTCCCAACTTGAGAACGGGCTCACTGCTGCCCCTTGTGGCTGATGGAGGAAAGACATTTCACAACATTTGCTAGTCATCGGCTGCAATGTGATGGGTGCTTTATTTTCTAGGCCACAGGTTATGCATGAAAAAGTATTCATGCAAACTGCACTATGGTGGGATTTTTGCTTTGTTGGAATTGTTAAAAGGCTTCAATGATGAATAACTGACTGGTTTGGCTCATGCATGTTTTAACATAAGCCCTAAACATGAGTTTTTTCTACTGGATTTAAACAAGCCCATAATAGGTGCAGACAGGAGGCAACCCCCAAAGTCAGATTGTTTAGAACTCTATGAGAAAATGGTCCTTTTTCTTCTTCGATTTATAACCTCAGTCTACCTCAGTAAACGTTGTAAACTGAATTTATGGTCTCAACCTCTACTAAGTTTTCTTTTGTACAACATGATAATAATTTACTGAATGATGACCCATATAGAGTCAAGTAGACCATAACGCGGAGAATTCCTGGTTGTGTGTCTACCTTGTGATTGACTGGTACCTCAGACCTCCTCAGTTTAAATATGGCCACTTCAGTTCATCGGTTGGTGAAAAGCCAACATGTCAACGTTCAGAACACTGAACCTGAGGCTTCTAAACGCCCACAAACCAATAGGTGACGTTTCAACGACTACCTCCACTTCGTATAAACAGTCCCTGGAAGCATATTTTACCTCTTCTCTGGTTTTATTTGTTGGGTTTAGGCATGAAAAGAACAACCACACGGGGGTGCGCCAAACCACAGCAACAGCATAACATGGCTTTGAAGTACATCTTCCAGTTCCTTCACCTGATGACTTTGGGCCCAAATACTCACATTGGAAAACAAGTGTCTTTACATCCTCACAAAGAAGGTACGGGAAACACCTGTGCATTTGTTCTTTTGGGACTACGGTCGAGTGAGGGTCAGAAGTTCTGAGTACTTATTTCAGAATAGCTTGCATTAGGCGCCGCAAAGCTACCGTAATGGAGAGGAAAATGTGCATTCATACAGTTCTAAATATACAACAATACCTCAAATCAAGTTTAGTAACAGTAACTTGAAGGTACAGTTGGAAAACATTATAGCAGTTAAATGTCAGTAAGGTAGCATTGTCTTTGCAAGCATTAGCACGCTTCCACTTTCTTTTCTTCTGAGCGCCATTAGCACAACCTTCCAGAGCTGTTGTTTGATCAGAACAAATCACCATGTCACATCCCACATAATGTGATTGATGAATGGCTGAATAGATGCACTCCTACCACAGGAGGAAGACAATTGACTTGAGCGATCACGATGGAGAGCAAGAACAAAACAACACAAAAAATGGTGCGGTGCTAAATGGGACAGAGGGAAGAGGACGGGGACGAGGTGCCGGGGGAGGACGGGCGAAGGAGCAGAAAAGGAGGACAGGGAGAGACCGAGACTGAGAGGGAGGTCCGGCAGCAGCAGGCTGCAGGAATGTTTCACATGCCTGTCCTCCGGATGACCTCGCCTCCCTGGAGTGTGGGAGATACTGGGAGTAATTAGCCTCCTTTAACATTGGATCTGTGCTGCCTGCACGCCTCAATGGGGTTAGCAGTGGCATTGAAGAAGATCAAGTGCATTTATATATTCGAACATTACATTACTTGGCATCGTTTTGATCTCTTTTTAATTTATGCATTTCAGAGGATGTTTTGAAATATTTTTTTTATGCAGCCTTTTGCTTTTTAGTTGTTGTTTTTGGGCTTGGAAGTTGTTTTCAGTCATTTTGATGGATGCTGTTAAATCGGTCCATTATTCCAAAGTGGAACAGATTTCCTTCCCCAAACCCACCAACCCATCTTGCAGCTGACCTACTTAATCTCCTGCTAGATTCAATTATGGATCCTCCTGGGCGCAAATATTTCTCACTGAAAGTCAAGGATCAAGAATTGAGGAGGACGTAAATGAAGAGAAACAGAGCCTTAAATGTATTGATTTTGTTAAAGGCCACATGGTTTCAATCATGAAATGCCAATACGGGAACATGAGCTTCAACCTGCTTTACTTTGCTGCCCTTTGTTTAAAACCGGAAAGCATCCCTTTGTGAACCATGAATCTAAAGCTAAAAGCCTTAGTGTCTCTTCAGCATAATGCCACTAATCTTACTGCACTTCTGGTATTTTGGGAAAAAAAAACGAGTATTTCACTTCTACTTAAAAAATTTGAAAGTCATCGTGAAAACAATTGTTTGATTTTTAACTTAATCGATTCAACAGCTTTCTACAAGCACATGCAGTCACTGGTCATAACGGGGATTACAAAATGGATGTTGTGATAAACCAAAATATTACAGATTTTATACATTCTTATATTACTGACGCCTGATGTGTCATTTATCTTATTTGCTGCATGATTTATGCGAATTTCCTGATGTTTTCATTGTTTTTTTTTCACTGTCTCTACGTTGTAATTCCTCGTTGGGCTGCAATCCCCTTGATGTTTTTCCACAAAACTACAATGTACTTACTCAAGAGTTCTACGTTAGAGCCAATTGAGGGCATTCCTTGAATATTTTATGTTCTTGCTTTGAAAAGTTCTCTGATCCAAAACATATAAAATATAAATCTCTGTTTTTCTGATTAACATTTTATAATTTTGAAAGTTAAACTTATAGTACTTTTAGAGTAAATCAATGACATGTTACTTGTTCCCGACCTCCGACGTCTACACACGAACTGCATTGTGGGGTTTGTAGGCGCCAGCTTTTGAGCCAGTTGAAGACTACTCGGATCAAAGAAAATATTAAATATCCGTTTCTGCTGCTTCCGATTGAATACTTTTCAGAGTGCAAACGTAAACTTCTTTACGTCATCAACACGTATTCTGGAGTGGAATGACTTGGCGGTGCGCGCGTGGGTCACGTGAAGGTCAGCCGCGCAGGGGGTTCACCGGGAGTTCACGCGCATACATTAGGTAACACCATCGCTCGCTCTGACATAACCAGTATGAAGGAGATAAGGGGAAGAAAGTCCCGTCGACTAACTTTGTTATGCAAAACGGAGACGGAATCCCGCACGCGCTGAACCGCCGCGGCTCCGCGCACCGACGCGCTCCCCTCCCGAGCGCGCACACGCCCCTCCGGCGGCCACACGGGCATGTTTTACCCCTAAAACACCGTTTGCATCAAAGTCACGTCGGTGTGTGTGTGTGCGTGGGGTTTGGAGGGGGTGGGATAATACACCCGCATTGCTGTGGAGGACTTGCACATGCGGACACCACGTCCCACGCGCGCGGATAGTCGCTGAGACCCGGAACCCCTTTAGGACATGTTCGACTATCTGGAATTTCACGCGTTCGGCCCCGGAGAAGTCATGGACCTGTACGCGTCCACGTCCAGCCCCGCGTGCGTGCTGCAGGAGCACGACCAGGATGTGGAAGCCTTCTTCCCGCAGCTGGTGGAGGCGGACTGGCAGCAGCACCGCTGCTCGCAGTGTAGGTGGAAATCTTTTAAATCAGGGAAATGTCTCTATATTATCTAATCAGAAATAAGTCATGTTGAATCAAGTTTATTTCATGTTGGACAATGTGCAATCCGCGTGCTTTAGTTTATTAGTATATGCGTCTTATGGAAGCTTGGGCGTTGTTGTAAAATAAGGTGTGAAATTGTTGCAGCACAAAGAAACATGCAAAATGAGGTGCAATCATACACAATGTCCCCTGAATACAGACAGGTAAGCTGTAGGGGTCCATAAGGACAACGTCCTCATCCGGAATAACATTGAAATACATAAATATACAGTTGGAAATATGGGATAAATGCACTGCATTGTTGGTTTTAAAGTTTATTTGTTTCGCACTTTCATTACAATGTAGTTTCATTCCAAGTGCTTCACAGATTAATGTCTGTCAACAAAAGATGTTGAGGCAAATATGAATGCTGGAAGTCTAAAAAGCATTTTTTATCTAAAAAGATAAAAACGCAGACGGCATATAAATAAGGGAATAGAATGTTTTTGAGCATAAACACAATTAGATAAATAATAAACTAATTTTCAGCAGGGTAAAAATGTTTAATTGATGATTTAATTCAAAGAGATGTAAGTGTTTAATAATGTATTTGTCAACAACTGTAACCCATATGGGCACCCAAAACATATAGTGAACGATACGATACAACACAGTTTTAATAATTCAAAAGTTGTCTTCACGGGAGACTTTATAACTGTTGGCAAATACTGTAAAGTATTTAAAACGTTTAAATGCCCTGGCTGCGTACAACTACCCCGTAGACTGGTACAACACGTCTACTGATTGTTTTATAAGCCGCCTACAGAAGTCAAGTTGGGTCTCGTGGTGAGTTCAGGAGCTTTGTTTTTGACCAAAGCAGCGGTAAAGCGGGCGCTGTGCACAGAGCGCTCCATGACAGTGTGGTGGTCTGTGTTTGGGTTAGGGAACGGTCAGTTTGGGGTCACCGCGGGTTCACGGGACGGTCACCGGCCCAGCGGCTCGGAGGAGAGCCAGACTGCTGCCAGCGCTGGAAGAAGTACAACAAGGCAGTACAAGTACAAGGCCTGCATTCTGAAGTACAACATAAATTGCTCTGGTGGCTGATAATGTATCAGTAAATGGGACATTATTGGATTGTTTGATTTATCAGAGAAAGAAAAATCATTCAGCTACACTAATGTTCATTCATTTATGGCAATAGTTTTAATATTTATGGGAAATGATTTGTCTTCTTTGGGAGTCGTGACTCTGCTTTCATGACACAAGGAGACAAAGTATTTTGAACTAGACAAAGATAAGCAAGTTGTTTTCTTTATTTATTTGTCATTTTAATAGTTGAATCAGTAGAAGATGTAAAATGAATCTCGGCGAGACAAAATATATGCAATAATTCTTTTATTTAAATGTTTTAAAAATTATTATTTGTAGTCTTCTTTTCCCAGCTTTCCTCCATCAAATATGACATAAATGATGTTTTTCATTTATAATGTCATCATTGTTATTCGCCTGGTGGTAAATATACCCTATGGTTGCTAATACGTAACTTCAATCACCTGTAAGTTGCCTTTGTACGATTTTTGTCATGCGTACATCAAAATATGCAGTGTCACGTTCATCAGATAACAACACCCAAATTGAGACGGGGGGGGAGGGGGGCAACTTCATTCTACCTCTCCCCGACCAAAAGACTCGGGCCGCCCCTGCGTACTCACACTTTCCGTTTCTTCTCCCTCCCTCCCATCAGTCAGCTGGGCTCGTGGCGTGCTCCGCCATTGTTTTGTCTCCGGGAGAGAGCCGCTGCTGATGGGGGGGGGGTGTCCTCGGCTGACCCGCTGATTCCAGGTTCAATCGGAGGCCACGGGGACGAGGGGATGTGTTATGAGCAATTTTTCTCTTCTCGTTTTTTCAAAACCACTTTCTTCCTCCTGCTGGAGGTGACGGGAGGGAGGACAGTTGTGAAATGATACATTCGGTTGGAAGTAATGTAGATCAACAACTTTTCCCACAGAAAGGTGCAAATGTCTGTAAATGGAGCAGTAAATTCCACAGCGAATACATTTCCAAAGAGCCGCTTTGTGACCGATGATGCATTCATCGTGATACATTGAGGGTTTCACTCTATAATCTTTGTTTCCTAATCCATGCAGGAGAAGTGCAGTTATGTAACGCCACATTTTTAGCATAAGTGAATAAGCAATAATGTCTCATAGTCAGATAAAGGCGAGGCGATAAGCTAGAAGCTTTTAAACTGCATTCTCTCTAATGTCCAACAGGGGGCGACTCCTCCAGTTCTATAGAAGCCTGTGAGACAATGACTACTTTGTATTATTTAAGTCAGATAGATCTAAAGCGCAGTGTGCTTTAGGGCGAGGATACCTTGTGATTGACAGGTTTCTAGCACGCCACTGTCCGGTCCGGGAGTTCTATCGTTGTTTTCTTACAAATTAAACTCTTTTGTGTTTTCAGTTAATTCTGAATTCTAAAAAAAGGGTTGAGTTGTTCCCCTCTTAGGACAGTAAAATAAGCCTCTTACTTGGTTTATCTCCGAAACCTCATCACATTTTTATGAAACTGCTGAAACAGCTTTAGCTCTCAGTAGAGTCACCGGCTCTTTGAGGATGGCTATATGTTCACATTATCTTCCTATAAATATTTGATTTAACGTAGGCTTTCAGCTAGTTGTGTAACTTTGGCTCAAGCTTCCTTTTGCTCCTAGTGGCTGCAGCCGATAAACAAGTGATTTAGACCATTTTTTGATGCTTTGGATAAATACTCATTGTTACTTAAGATTATATGTTTTTCCCACTAAAATTCAAGTTGTGTCCTATTTAGGATGCAATAAGGTTTATTATTTTCTTAACAAAAGGTGGTATTTCAGTGTGTTTTAAATGTCCTTCTGAGAGTTTTAAGAATATTTGAATAGTATCTGGATATAATTATAGTGACCGTGGCCAGGACACACCACCATCAAATACACTTTGAATGCAAATTGCTATATTATGTCACTGGTGATGAAAAAACTCCCTTAACCAAAGTAGACATATTCAAATTGCTTGTCTTTTTAAATTGTATATACCATCAGGTCGCTGTCGTGAAACCAATAATTACAGTTGTTTTGGCGTCTTTTTGTGTGTTTGCAGCCGTTGAAAGCCAGAGCTCCAACTCCAGCTCGGACGACCTGTTCGCCAGCCCGGCCTCCCCACCGCCGCCTCCTCGCACCTACAAGCCCTGCTTCGTGTGTCAAGACAAGTCCTCCGGTTACCACTACGGCGTCAGCGCCTGCGAGGGCTGCAAGGTGCCACGCCGGGCCTTCTGCCTTACAGATAATCACTATCTATGATGCACATAAAAAAAGCCTGAATAAATAAACAGAATCATGAACCCATTCTCTTTACTCTCCTCGTTGCCTCGCAGGGCTTCTTCCGCCGCAGCGTGCAGAAAAACATGGTGTACACCTGCCACCGGGACCGGAACTGCATCATCAACAAGATCACAAGGAACCGCTGTCAGTACTGTCGGCTCCAGAGGTGCTTCGCCGCGGGAATGTCCAAGGAGTGTAAGTGCCTGATCCACCCTGACTCCGCACGAGGCCTTCAGGGACCGAGTAGATGGTGGACGATAGGGGAAGATGTGACTGAAAGGCTTTGTTAGTGTGTTTGCCGAAGCAGAAAGTTCATGAAAGCTCAGGGCAATAAATTTAGACTGTGGTAGCAGCAAACAACCTATTTCTGATCTGGATTTAAGCAATTTAGCCTAAATGTTGCATTTTACACAGTGTTATTTTTATTATCTTCCTTTAATTGTGATACATTTGAGGGTATGAACATTACTATTTATTGTTTGCTGCTTGTTGATTGTATTGTTCTTTTTCCGTGTGGAGGCAATAGATACGCTCTAAATTTTGAATTTTTCATATGTCATTTCATAGAGACACATGTTTTTGTTGCTTTAAGTGTCTCTTGACCCACATTTTAAGATATCCACCCAAGGGCTTAATCTCTCCCATCAAGCCCTTATCCCTAGTTTTGGCAGAGAACTGTCAATCACAAGGTAGCCCCGCCCCTAAAGCATACTGCTTTAAACTGATCATAAACTGCTCATCCCAATGTTCACTGAGGGAATGAATCAGGAAAGAAGTCGAGTCAGCCGGAGGAGTCGTCCGTCAGTACACAGAATGCAGATTTAAGGCACTTCAGGTCTGGTTCCACTATTCAGAACCAGAAGCAGGGACATTATAATGTTTCCATGATGTCTTCAAACGTAACGTTGTAGAATACAGTTTCGGCAGGAACACTTATAATAATTATAATAATAAATACCATTTTTTCGTGGTTATTTTTTCACTCCAATAATACATGAACACCGAATATACCCGTGAGGGAATTGTGACCTATCTAACTTCACAATAAAAAAACAATATGGGAACAATGAAGAGTTCGTTGGATTTACGACGTACCGTTTGTTGTTTTACCAGATGATCAAATTTGGTATCGATAGTTCCGGAATTTTCCCCGTATTGCCATCGACTGATCAATTTGTGACATCCGTGAAGATATACATCTCATCTGAAGATATACATCTCATCTGAAGATATACATCTTCAAATGAGTCAAAGTTCCCAGTGCGGGTGAAGGACCCGCCCACCCACATGTTCACGTTGTGGCCAGTCCACACACACACACACACACACACACGCGTGTTACATAAACACGCCACGTGTAGCAGGGCAGGTGGATGCGATGTAACTCAGTCGGCTCAGCGTGTAACACGATCTCACTTGTTTGCACGATGACGACTGAATGTAGGTCACCCAGAGATGACGATGAGGAGGAGGAGGAGGATGATGAAAGAGGAGGAGTGGGTGATGGTGAGAAGCGCCGAGATGGCTCAGTTGCATAATTCCGAGCGTGTGTGCAGCCGCTCGAGCCAAGTGGTCGAGACGCGTTGACACCGGCGGATTATGAGAGGCTCACCTGGTGACGAGTCGGCCTGCTTCTTGCCCCCCTCGAGCTATCATGTTATGTTATTGCCCTCAGTTTACTGCCAACTGATTACATGGGAGACTCTCAGTTCCACTCAAAGCTGTTCACGTTCATCTTTCTAGGTCATTTCAGGGGGCTTTACAGACCGACACTGATATTCAATCCTCCTCTTTTACTGAAGGACTCAACCAGGCAAAGACACTGAAGCCTGAAAGGTCAAGGCCCCCCATGACCTTACAAACATGTGTATATATCTGTTTCTATATGTATACATATATCATTGTATGTGTCTTTATATATATACTTTTATATAAGTGTGAATAGATACAGTAAGCACAAATGTTTTTGTATCATTTGAAAAGCATCTCACAACGTGCATCCTTCTCCTCTGCAGCAGTGAGGAACGACAGGAACAGCAGGAAGGGGAAGAAGGAGGCGGTGAAGATGACCGTCATGGAGACGTACGAGCTGACGGCGGAGCTGGGCCTGATAGTGGAGAAGATCTGCATTGCTCACAGGGAGACCTTCCCCTCTCTCTGCCAACTAGGAAAATACACCACAGTGAGTCGAGACGGGACGGTGATGTGCAGGAGGCACTTTGTGTGAAATGTGACCACATTGTAACTTTTCTGTAACAGTAGTTCTGCAAAGAGCTCCAGGGTGGATAGTTTAATGTGGAAACTACAATGCAGATTAGGTTTTTATTTTTAAATCTGTATTGACTCATTTTGAACCTAGTTTTGTAAATCTAAAAATCTCATTTATTATCAACTTCAGAAATGTATTCATTGCAAAAGGCCTACTAAAAAACCAGACCGTAAAGTACAAGCGATTGCGTAACAGCAATTGTTTATCGTTGTCATTGTAAGTAGCTGTATTTCGTTTTGTTTGCATCATCTCACAGTGTAGTATCTCAACATGCCAAACCTCAGATTGCACGTGAGCGGGACTGTGAGTCATCACTGCATGTGACACGCACCTTGTGTGGCAGCATCTGCCCCAGTGTGTCAATGTGTGTGTGGGTTAATGCATGCGTGTGTGCGTGTTTGCGTGTGTCAGCCGAGTCATGCATAGTATATTCCGGGGCGATGAAGCTCAGCGTTTACGCCGGTTACAACAAAATGCTTCTCTGGCGCCACCAACAGGAAATGGACCACATTGCAACGTTTCTACACGCTGTTGGCAGTATTTGAACAATGAGCCCCAGTGTGCGTTCTATAGTGAAAACCACAACGGAATCAATGACTGTGTGAAAATCCCCCACACACGAACGCTAAGTACCTCAAAATAACCTCTTGGTCCTTTCTCCTCCATCCAGAACTCCAGCTCGGACCACAGGATTCAGCTGGACCTCGGGCTGTGGGACAAGTTCAGCGAGCTCGCCACCAAGTGCATCATCAAGGTGGTGGAGTTCGCCAAGCGAGTGCCTGGTTTCACCGGCCTGACCATCGCCGACCAGATCACTCTGCTCAAAACCGCCTGCCTGGACATCCTGGTACGCCTGTCTCCTAAACATGGCTTTCTGCTTCCTGGTGTTTTATTGGAAACTGTGACAATTGCTTAAAGTGAGGTGTTTATAAAAATAAAATGTCCAAGACAAAGAGATGCAGAAGTACAAGGGATCAAATAAATGACGTCCGGCTTGATTAGAACAACACATAATGTCCTGTGCCGTTATCGTGGTTATTTCACAGATGCCGGTGTAGAAATTATGGATGGATCTGTCAAATCGTCTTTCTTTTCTCCTCCCCTTCCTCACTCCTCTCTCCTCCCATCCCAGATCCTGAGGATTTGCACTCGCTACACTCCCGACAAGGACACCATGACCTTCTCCGACGGGCTGACCCTGACCCGCACTCAGATCCACAACGCCGGCTTCGGGCCGCTGACGGATCAGGTCTTCACGTTCGCCGGCCAGCTGCTGCCGCTGCAGATGGACGACACGGAGAGCGGCCTGCTCAGCGCCATCTGTCTGGTCTCCGGAGGTACTGAGGCAAACGCACAACCCTTACTTCTATAGCTCTGGGAGTGAAAAAGTGAAATACTCTGGTGGGTTTGAACAGACCGACAGGACCTGGAGGAGCCGTCGAAGGTGGAGGTGCTGCAGGAGCCGCTGCTGGAGGCGCTGAAGATTTACTCCCGCAAACGGCGGCCCAGCATGCCCCTGATGTTCCCCAAGGCCCTCATGAAAATCACCGACCTCCGCAGCATCAGCGCCAAAGGTCAGACAGCGACATCAAGTCCTTCACTCGTCATACAGGGATTCTGTGAGATGTTTCCTCTCGTGATTATCCAAGAAAGTGGTGCAGTGAAGACCAGGAAGTGTTAAATGCCCTTTCGAAAGAGGAACTGCTCCGTGACGGTTCTCTCGTTGTCCCTCAGGAGCGGAGAGGGTGGTGACGCTGAAGATGGAGATCCCGGGCTCCATGCCCCCTCTGATCCAGGAGATGCTGGAGGATCTGCAGGACCTGGAGAAACGCTCTGAGGAGAGCCAAGCGGAGGCCAACAGCAGCCAGCACACACAGCGCATCGTCTCCTCCTGACTTCTCACTCAAAGAAAGAAACTTTGTGTCCCGAGGGGACGCTAACAGGATGAACTAAAGATCCGCAGGGTTACTAGTGTCTTACCTCAGTTTCACAGAAGAAGAGATTCAGTTATTACGCTGATGAGCAAAGTGCTAATTTCTGCCTCAAAGTGGAAAAAACTGAATGGTGTAGTTTTTAGATTGTATCACAGTTTCCTTTTTTTACCCTCATAACCAGTGGGAATAACACAGGATTCTACTGTATTTATACATGCATGGATTACGTTTACCTCATTTGATAACAACTTCTTTAGCTTCCTAAGTTATTTAACACACAGACTTAAAACGTCTACTGCTTGTACACGCAATTGACTGTTTGTAAAAAGAAAGCTGTGAACAAAGCAGATTTGTCCAGACAAAAGGGAAACATTTTCCGGAAAGGTGAATGTTCATAACCGGTAAAGTTCACAAAGGTACTTAACTGACTCTATACAGGCCTTGAAAACAAAAAAGTGAACAAAAGTACTTATTCAGGGATGAGTCTTTGACTTTATCTGAACAAAATGATTTAGATAAGTGTTTGTCTGACAATAGGAGGCGCAACATTTTGCTCATTTCCATGAAGTAAAATGGGTCAGAATTTTGCACTTTTACTTGAAGATAAATATTGTCGCACTGCAGTGACGTCCTTTTCTACCTTTCATATTCAACAGACCGAAGGAATCATTTCTATTTGGGTCAAGTCCCTGAAATATTTTTTCAATGAAGAAATTATCGCAAACCATATCAAAATGATGGAAATCATTCATTTGTTTCAAAGAGGCTCAGCCCTGTGATGCGATACATTCCACTCTGTCATTGTTCGCAGAACGTACTTTAAATTATATTAACACGTTTTTCGAGAGCTCTATAAAATGATCTCTTTTCACACTGAATAAAGATGTTGTGGTAAATGTCGGGATGATTTCTGCCGCGGCCGCTCTCTCAGCGAAACAACAAATAGTCCGTGCACAACGCTCGCCCTGTAAAACCACCAGCGGTTGTTTACACTGTTGTTGTTTTTTTGGTATCAAATGGAACGGTAAACAAACAGGAAGTACGATGTATTTCTCTAAATGTGGAACTGCTCCTTTAAAAACTTCAATCAGTTGTTGTACATTTTGCTGGATATCTGCAGTATAAAATATATCTGCACCGTTAGTAAGCTAACGCACAACTTTATTCCATCACATATATTCTACATGCAAAGTTTAATCTCAAATGTTGTTTTTGAAGCTATTAGTAGGCCTCCATGTTTACCGAAATTTTGGAGTTTCAGTAATAATAATAGATAAATAAAAGATCCTTATTTTTGAAAGCTCAAACTTTTTTTTTTCCTTTAACAAAATAAGTTTTAGAAACGCATTGTTTTTGATATTGTCCTATCACGGGAAATACTGTTTACTGTAGAAATAATACTGATTAAAAATCAAGGAAACTTGCGACAGGATAAAAAGGATTATGGGAAAAGCAGTCTAATGTTACAATACGCAGAGCGGTATTTATATTTAACATCAGAAACATTTGTGCCTCAAGAAATGTACATTCTATTAAACAGACTTTGGTTGGTGTATAAAATATCTTCTGTAATTCTACTTTAAGAACTCATGTGCTCACTCCACATATGCTATCTTAGATATTTTGTGAATTCTACATATTTTGCCAATTTAACCTGGAACATTTCATCACGTTTGATATGTTTGTTTTTCTTGCTCTATTAAAGTCTTGTGTATATGATTTAATTTAGCTGCGTCATGTTTCAACTGAAGCTGCACAATTGATTAACGCTTGTATTTATTATTCAAATTATGTTTTGTGATGGCATATACATTAATTGGATATTTTTACTCATTACACTCCTTTTCAGATATTATTCAAGTTTTCGCTTCCTCCTCCATTCATCAGATATTACCTGATAAATGATTCATTTCATAAAAGACCTTTTTTTTTTAATCAAACCTCTGCAAAAGTGTATTTAGAAAGTTGTGTGTGTTCCAAAGAAATTGTCTTCCTTTTTAAACTTCTCAGATGGTTTTATTTAAATAACTTTCCAGGTGCAAGAAAATCCAATGTATCATCCGGTAAGTCACAACCAAAGAGCCACACAGATGAAAGAGGTTTCTGTACTCGTCGGTGATCTTGATTGTAGGCGTCTTGACATTGTTGTATAACTATTAAGTTTACTACATCTGTTTCAAACATTTTGTCTCAGCCCACTCAGTGCATCAACATTGGCGCCAAATGCTTTTACAACATAATACACAGCAATAACATTGTCCGCAATAAACAGTTTGTTGCGTATTTCATTTCAAAATAGACATTTCTTAAACAGATTATATAGACAAATCCCTTTTGGATGAAAGTGCATACGGAAGTCAGCTCCATCTGTGCTGCGCTCTTTAAAATGAAAACATTCTGTGATTAAAAATACACGTTTCGGCCGTTAATCAAATTGACAACGATAACAGGATCTCAGAGTGCACGTTCTTGTAGTCGGCTGCTTGTGAAGCCGCAGACAGACATTGTGATGTTTTTAAATACGAATATTAAATCGAGGTAAAGTGTCTTTTACATTTATTCTTATCATTGGAGACCTTTGTCTCGCAGCCCTTTTCGAACCAGCTGTGTCCTGCAGCGAGGAGTTAAAACTGGTCCTCGGGATTGAAAGACTCAATGACTAAATGAACAGCACACATTGATAAAGGACTGTTAGAACATCAGCTCTTTTGGGTTTTTCATATTAAGGGTTCCTGTTGGGATGAAAACTTACCTTGTCTTGGTTTAATCTTTGCAGCAGCACAGTCACTACTGAGGCGGTGTGTGAATCAGCTTTTCCATTGGCCTCCATTTAGAGATAACACGTCTCGATGATGAACCTTGAGGCCATATAGTCATGTTTCCACTGAAGTGATGTTTTTCACTTACCCAGATTGAATTTAGTCCCAAGTATGAGGAGTACTTGACCTCTACAGAAATACAACAAGCCGAAATCGTTAAAACAACAACAACTTCGAACACCACCTCCTCATGATAAATGTCCTCTTGTAAGTCATCTCACTTCATTGCCCCTGACTTTACATCAGCTGACAGTTAACCACAAAGCCCATTAGACGGTCGTTTTTCTCTCAATATATCAAACAAAAACAAATCTAATCTTAACCGTCCTCAATTTTCAATTTTCGAAACCCGATTCACCTGAGACAAAAATGACATGTAATGAGACGGGATTGAGCGACAACACTGCGTCCGGCTTTTGTGCCTCTCCAGGAAGTGCTTCTGCGCTCGCTTCCTGTCCCGCTCTGCGTTCTAGTGCATTCTGGGAAGTGTGGAGGCCGTCCATCAGCCCCATCATGAGGTCAGAGATCCTGGAGCCGACTTACACGATGTCGGGCCGCTGGTCTGCGTCTGGACACAAACACCCGACAGGACGTCCCAGGACAGGAGGGAGTTAAAACCATTATGCCAGTAATCGCTATATAACTGTCAGAACCCTCCTGTGTGCAATAAAAGCCTTTTTTAATCACAAATATATCAAAATGACGATGCCAGGTATATGGAAATGTGGTGACTGTTCCTTTGAGTATAACTGACCTTTAGTACATTATCATCCAGAATTTCAAAATAAAACCTCTCGCCTTCTGATCATGTCTCTCCCTGAGAAAACTCCTCCTTCAACCGGCCCGTAGACGGCCTCGACAATCTACCAGCACAGAGTAAGAAGTAACGGATAACAGAACGCAGATAAAGGAACTAGCTGAGACGCGTGTGTGTGTGTGTGTGTGTGTGTGTGTGTGTGTGTATAACCTTGTTGGGCATCGGCAGCATGTTACTGCAGTTGAATGGAGGCTGTAAAGGTGCCATCTGGTAGAGGATGCAGCCCAAAGCCCAGACGTCAGCTTTCTCTCCACGCGGCTCGTTCTTCACCACCACTGGACTAACACACACACACACACACACACGCACACACACATACACACACACACACACACACAATCACTTGCTCGCGTTGCCTTGAGACAAAGCACAACGCATTCCCAAGTATCTGACCGTGCTGTACCTCAACCTAATCTTAATCAGCCCTTAAACAACAGCTTGTTGACAAAGAGAAGACCTGAGATATACTTATATACTTCCTTACTTACTCATCTACTTACTTACTAATCCGCAATACTTACTTATTTTTAAAGGGTTGATTCACCCAAAACACATTGGGTTATTATTTTGAGATAACTCCCCCTTACAAATTACATACATTCAATTTAAGGTGCTCACCGTAAACATATATTTTTCTGGAAACGGAATAAGAATAAGCAAGAGAAATGAGTAATTTGCGATTTCGGGCTGTACAAAATAAAATTAATTTAAATAGCCGACCATCTCCTAATCTAAAAGCAGCTGGATGGTAAAAATGAACTTCCTCACCAGGAGTGAAGGATGGCGCCGACTGCTGACGTTTGTTTGCTGTTCTCCTGTTTCTGCTTCGCGAGGCCAAAGTCAGCTTCGGGTAGAAGAAAGTTACTGTATTATGAGGTATTTCAACAAAAAGCTACTGGTACGTTTATGTAGTTTATCAGTAAAGGATCTGAGTAAGCAATGAACAATGCAGAACGTCCGTGCACGTTGCCAGCACCCCGGGGCCCCTTCTCATTTACCAGCAAGCACAATGCATGTGTAGCGTACGCCGAAGCTCCGGGCCTCAAGTTACCAAATGGAGGCGAGGAGACATTCCAGGATCCCCCCCCCCAAAAAAAACCACAATGTCAGCCAGGAACAACACTTTTTTTTTCAACCTCTTTTTTAAATGTCACTGTAAATCAGTGTAAAGTGTTATCACAAAAGAATAGCTGTTTGTCAATCGCGTGTGTTGTTTGAGCCTAAAGGAATTCGCTGAAAGCGTTCCTTGGATATCTCATCTTTGAGAATGTGGAGAGCGCTGAGGTCACAGTAACAATCAGTTCACCCTCGAGTCCACGTGGATGTTTGTGCCAGATTTGAAGAGGGCTTCCCTTCGTTCCCACACTGAGGATATTTATGAGCATTTTAGCATTGCACTGAAAATCATTAAGTGCATTAACATCAACGCTTTGCCAAGTGCAGATTTACGTTTCAGCTCCATCACAATGTCCAGCTCGTCGCCCACAGGGAAGAGTGATGCTTTGAATTTATTATATATTCCTTTCTCATAGTATCAGGGGTCTAAAATGATCCTCACCTTCCAAAAATCTTGTAGTATTTAACAATTTTTTGGTGCGTCATCTAGAAGAGAACAAACATTAACAACAAAAAATGTAGCTTGTTCAAACTGTTTTTTGTTGAATTGACTCTGCGGCTGGGTTGAAACAACAAGGATCAATTACAAAATTGAAGTCTAAAACTAAATTAAATTGATTTCATCATAGTCACGAACCTCAGTTGGTTTGAATCCGTCCACTCAAGAAGTCGGCCATTTTCTAAGTTAAATCTCCTCAAGTGTTCGTTAAAGGTGATACTAGAACACAGTTTGAAGTTTAAAGAGAGGCTTTAAATGATTATTTATTAATGCTTAGATGGCTCAATCAATCTTGTTTCAAAATGAACCCACGTTGGCGCAGCCCAGCCTCAATAAGTAAATGTGTAACCTTGTCCCTGTTCTTTGACGAGCGTCGGCTCTGAGAGGATTTTCTCCACGCTGCTGTCTCTGGACTTCTTGTCTTTGCCAAACGCCGGATTACGGAGGTTCACCTCCTTCACAGCCAGGAGGTTCTGGCCAATCTGCTTTCGGACCTGTCATGTGGATAAAATCAATAAAACCAGAGACACTTGATGGCATGAGATCACAAAGGAGCAAAACAGACCCGATATCACGTTGCTGTTTTACCTTAAAGACGCTTCCTAAGGCGCTGGTGCGCAGATGGTCCGGGATGGAGTAAGTCCAGTTCCTCTTCCGGCAATCCAAAACACACAGAACTCCATCCCGTAGTAAAGAACGGTGGTGTATATTTTTTTTATTTCACAGCTCACAGCACAGCAGGATAAACTGATGAAAGCACTTAGTAGCTCTGCTGTTACAGCGTAGAATGAAACTTTGGTTTGCAGTCCGTCGTAGGCAGCAAGGTCACTTACATGGTGTCCATCATATGGACATCAATAAACAACTCAAAGAGGTCTGTGGGAAAGAGCTTGAAAATGAATGACACATTACATAACAGCATTGGAGAACATTTGACGAGATTATTTTCCTACTGTAGCCAAGGGTTGTGCAGGAAATTAAAAGTATATTACTGTGCTTTCAAAAACAAACAACCTGCAGTTCACCTCTTGAACAGATGTCTGTTTCTTTCCACCCTGAAAAGAAATCGGAGGGTCCGAAACGCACAGCACTATGTGCAAAAACATATGGTTAAATGATAAGGCAGTAAAAAAATCTACTTTGACATCATAATACAAGTTAAACCTATCTGAAGCCATATACCTGTAAAGGTGTGACCTTTGGTCCAGAGTTCTGTGGTAAATTCAGATTTTGAGACAATATAAACCCCATTTTCCTAAGAAAAGAATGACAGAATAATTTGACACCAATATTCTACAAATTGTAATTTGTCAGCAAATTTCCATCCTATTTCCATCGTGTCCTGCTCTTCATGTAAAGATGTTTGCTTTACCTGCACAATGTAGTGAGCAGATGTGCCATCCAGGCAAAGCTCAGTCAGAACTGTGCAGCAGGCTGGAAAGGGGATTAAAGGGGATACGACTTCATTCAAGAATTTGTACACGCAATTTTGTATTTTTTCAGATTATCCAACAAGCAGCTGTGCATGTTAATAATTCACTTCTTAAACCACAGGTCGCACAAAAACTCAACACACTGAAGCCTCTACACTGTAAAAATAAATGTTTCCCCCGCAAATTCTTGTTGGGACGGATGAGACGAAATGTGAATTAGTTTTCTTCCACAGCCTTTTCTTTATACCTTCAGAAAAAATGAAATTTACAACTATTTCCTCCAAAGCCTCAAAAGATCTGCTGTTTCCATTCTGAGTAAGTGATGACCCTCTTTAGGGGAAATCTGGGGCGCCGCAGAGCGTCCCGAAGGACGAGCGGTCACAGACGTACTTGCTGTTGTGTGTCACCATACCAGATAATGCAAATAGCACCACACTGTCTTTTGCGTTTGCCTCGAGACAAAGCTTCATAACTGAATAGTATTGTGATTGATCAACATTGACGCTGCAAAGGCTGAGACACGCTTACTCTCACATAAGTCAATCATCAAATCTACTAGATACTAATGTTCCCATAATGCAGCCAACAGAATATGCATTTCAGATCTTCCCTGGTTGGTGACTCAGTTTATAGTACAGACATTATGCTTGAGACGAGTGTCCCAATCTAAGACAACTAATGAATGACTGTCACAACCTGCAATAAGAGAAAAGGCCAAGAAATATAATAACCACCTATCGTGGAACCAACGCAAACACATTAAGTACACAATAAGCAGCGAGTAACCGGTTCCATTGCGCCAACAGGAATGACTATTACGGCTTGAACTTTATCTCCGAGGTGAATATGAAAAACGTAATCACAGATATCCATATGTCAGCTGTCACTCACCACGTGAGTGCTCCACTCGATGACCCAGGCTCTTTGATCCTCAACAGCAGACGGCTTCTGAAACATGCTTGCAGGGCAACAAGACAGCGTTGTGGAGGACGCACAAAAGGCTCGTTCCATAACGTGTCTTGAAGTTGCCTTCAGATCACTCACAGGTCATTGAGACCAGCTTCTGCACAGCAAACGCATGTTCGCGTGCAAGATGCCGCATAGCGACACGCTCCATAAACTGAAGGGCACGTGAGATGTGTGAGGATAAATCACAAAGCACAGCCTGTTTGGTCATGTGAGAATCACCTCAGAGAGCATTTACCCGAATGCCTCGGAGCTGATGGAGGGTTTTCTAAAAGGAAGCAGTTAAAAGAGGGATTACTGTTTTATTAAAAACAAAAAAACATCACGATTACCTTATAGTGGGGATCTTGAATCAATAATCGACCTTGCGAAGTAAACATTTTGGGAGACAAGAAATGCTGCAGTATTTTGAAGTTATTTTACCTGCAGTAAAGTCTTGAGAGATTGTCGGAGAATTATGCATTGGGAGCGTGCTGATACTTCTTTGGTCTCTGTATGTGATGCTGTAAAAGTGAGTGTATACACATGATTAGGGTCACTGTTGTAGAGACTCTATTTGATTTAAGAGTTGAAAAATGACAGACGATCAAATCCAAACCTGAATTTCTCCAGTTTGGAAGCCTCACAGGAGATGTCACTCTCTCTCCTTTGTGTAGGCTTTGAGATTCGTCTCTGATCACGACATATCTAAATAGTGTTTTTTTTTACTCAATCTCTAAAGACAACATCTTTAAATATACAAATACAAACACGTTGTTCACTCAACACAATGGTTACAGAAACAGTAATGAATTTAAAGTAAAAAAGAGATTGGATTAGGATTAATACATTTCAACATCTTAAACTATTTATTTATATTGCTTTATTTAAATTTAAATATACAATTCATTCATAACATTCATAATCATTGCAATGTAATAGCTACTATATAGTATGCAGAAAATGTATTACGACGTGTTAATACTCCATTTCATATATTAGATTTGCACAATGTGTACTTGTTCATTTGATTCTATCAAAAGGAATAAATGTTAAGGAAATTTTAAATGATTCTATTTTTTATATCTTTGATCGATAATTTGTAGGATTATATATTTTGCATAGTAATAACCATGCTATGGAATCTTAAATTGACTTAATTATGGCATGATACTACCTGCAAAAATTAGACACGACACTAAATATTCATGTCATCAAACGTTATGAGTGACATAAAAATGTAAAATTACTTCAACATGATCAAAAATAAAGTCTTTTTCACAAAAAAAAGTGTTTCTAGTTATCGCGAGAACACATGAAGACTCAAAGGTAAATAGGAATGATCGCGAGACTAGAGTGTTCCTCCCTTTACGATTCACGTAGAGTTTACGTCACCCTGGAGGCGTAGGTTCGTAGAGAAAGGCAAGTGCTGCGCGCCTCATACTGCGTAGTTCAGGCGAAATCAGCGAGAAGGGGAATGTCGGCTCGTGAATGATCGTTTTTTTTTGAGGCGGCAGGGAGCGTCAACGTTATGGGTGAGACTGCATGTAGCCATTTATTCCAAAAACCTTGATTTTAAAACACCAACTGTTAAGACTTGTATTGGGTTGTGTTAGCTTTTTAAATAATTTGCCCGTGCCGCTATTTTAGCTTCTTCAGTTGTCTGAGCAACCAACGCCCAGTCGTCCGCCTCCAGTTGGCTTGGTTGCAAGCTAGCCAGCTAGCGCTAGTCGCTAGCCGGGGCTTTTGCCAGCAGGCTGTACTGCCTAACTGGAGAGTCATTTCCTGCCTAAAGCAAACTTTCTATTTGTGTTAATAGCCAAGACAAGAAGCCACGTTAAGACACATATCAGGGTTACCTTTGCTGTTGTTCTTCTAAATATTGTCCAAACATCTAGCAATTAGACTAACTAATTTAGCTAACTTGATGTAGAATGTTGGATTAAATGTTTCGTGTAACGTTAATTGCTAACAACTACGTTATTGCTTGCGGGCTGAAGACAGTCATTGTAGTTCGCAGTGCGTTTGGCTATTTGAAAATGCTTCTCAAGACGTGGAGAACGGTCACTTTATGCCGTGCATGTAACGTTACCCCCCGATGGGGCTGTGTTAACGTTACGTGTGTGTGAGAGATTGATAATTCTCTTAAACTGCCATGATTGGAGCCTCTAGGTTAGGCAAACAAAGCCGAAGCTGGAAGATGTGCCTCGGTTAAGCATAAGGAGGGCACGGCTGCCATCTAATCTGGATTAAAGGGGATCTGGTACCTTTAGAGATCATTCTTTTTTTTTTTTTTAAAGTTCATTGGCTTCAGACCTCCTAAATCAAAATAATGTACCTGATTCCCAACTAAAAACTATAAACACTTTCTGTTTTCGAACAGACAAGTTGTCATTTTTATATTGACACCTTACAATTTCTGCTCTGATTTTTAGATTATAAAACCCTGTGATTTAAAAAATGAGAAAAAGAGATTGGCGGTTAGCTTGGTAACATTTTACAGAACCCAGTATGTAATGAATCCCAAGCTGAAGCATAGGCTGGTGCTGAGATCAAACTGCGATTCCTGTAGGCAAAATCTGCAAATGAAGTCCTACGATCACACAGAAGACGTGTGGGAGGCTGTTGGTTGGCAGGCAGATGCTTCACCGAAAGAGGCAGAAATCCTCTCCTCCTCAAATGGAAAGCTGCAGCAGCAGTGGGGGGGCGCCGTGCTTTATGGTGCCGGTGACATTAAAGGAGCAGGTTGGCCAGCGTTGTTACAGTAGCCAGGATTGTGAATCATTTGGCCCGGAGCTTCTCTCAGCTTGGGAAGCCGATTCTGGAGACAGAATGGTTTGTGTGTCAGATGGCCTGAGATTGATTCTCTGTTGCTTTTTTTGTTTCTGTGCTCTCTCCCGTTGCTTTGTGACCCCGGACACGCTGGCCTTTCCTGCACGTTGGGAAAACGTCACATTGATCTGCACAAAACAGCAGTACAAACAGTAAGTATTGGAAGTTACGCCTACACTTTAAATAGCTGGACATTAACCACCAGTGTTGTTAAACTCTGTAGAACGTAGTTTTGAATCTTACTCAAAATCTCCAGTAAACCTCAAATCTTAAATATCTCCTTTTACTTGTTGCATCTTGAATTGGAATATTTTACTCCATTGTACATGTTAAATATCTTCCATTCAAACTGGATTAAGCAGAAGTGTCAAACAGAAGTGGGAACTTGATGTTCCCCTCCAGGGTTCAGGTGGCTTTAAAGCCTGCATTCAAGCTGAGGTGCAAGATAATATTTATTTGTGTATTTAATGTGCTTAATACATATATTTTTTTGCAGCAGCAAAAGAATCTGGAAGGATATGTTGGCTTTGCAAGCCTCCCCAACCAAGTGTACAGGAAGTCGGTCAAGAGGGGCTTTGAGTTCACCCTGATGGTCGTAGGTAAGAACGCACGCTGCTCAGCCTTCTTTTGTATGAGTCATTCATTTTAATTGTTGGAGTTGGTATGAAAAAATCCTCCACTCTGGTTTGTTTTTAAGAAACAAATGTTTTGTATGTCCCTGGTTGTATTCATGCTCAATGCACAGGCCCCCGGCTACTTATTGATATGAGTCAGAGAGGAGGGCACCTCTGCATTGCTGGTGTGTGAGTTTATCTCGATGTCAGGTCCTGGTCAGTGTGGGCCAGGACAGAAACATTCGGGGTGGATTCATCTAGAGCTGCCCTCGCAATCAAAAAAAGGACACATTCTTTTAAAACGTCTGTATGTGGTGGTTGACGCTGAGCCAAGATCTTCCCCGGCTGATCAGTCCCTGTTTGGAGAGAAAATGTTTCTTCGGGTCAAAACCATTTCCTGTGGTGGGACCAACAGAATTTACCCAGCATGCCTCCTAAGAATAGCGCATCTCCCGTCGCGCTCAACGCCGCTTTGTTGCTACAGGTTTTTTGCTGAAATTCTGCCGATAGCTTTCAGTAACTGCAGCAAAAACCAGCTGCACACAAATATGTTAATATTAGTGTTCAGCTTGTTTTTGCTGTTTTAAGGAACTTGCATTAGAACATCTCATGACCAGGCACTTGGCTTGTCGATGCTTCTATTCTCAGCAGTGTTCTCTGTGAAAGCTGCTGGATGGAGACCAAGTGGTCCTCTGGGGCCTGTGAATGCCTCAATGTGTTCAACAAAAAGCCTCATTTTGGGAAAAACTTTAGACAGGGTTGCACTTGATGCTTTTTCACCCAATGGTTATATTTTGGATTACTTGATCTTCAATGATTATTTTTAACAATCAATTTACCAAAACGAAATATCAAAACTTTCAATCAGGGAAATACTGCACCTCAAATTCATCAGTTTAATTACTGTATTACAAATAACTCTTGCCATGTCTTTGTACTTATGTACTTGTACTGGTGTTTTTAGCAGTGTGGGAGCAAAAATCATAACATTCAAAGACTGTCACAACAATCCATTTTCTCCCTCTTACACCGTTAAAGCGAACACAACAATGTTAAATGACGCATGGCAGTTTCTCCTACAATTATATTGGGGCGGTGCCCCGTCCAAGAAATGACTCTGAAAGGGCCCTCTGGGCACGGCAGAGTCACACACACACACACGCGCATACGTGCGCGCACACACAGGTGAGCACGCTCCCACCAGCGGACACGAGTCCTAAAATGCCAGTGTACGTACGTCTGTATCCGTCCTCCTTCAAAGCTGTGAGCCGAGGGGAAACACTGCACGGTGTAACATGAAATTATCCTAACCGCTTCACACAGAGCAGCAGCTATATCTCTGGCCAAAACACTTCATTGGAAATGTTGTTTTGAACTAGACAAAACTGAACTTGTTCTCAAGGTGAATATCTGTTTAGACTAGACATGCACTTCTTGCTTTCATATAACATACAAATGTCGTTGCATCTATTAACAAGGAAAGTAGAGAAGGTCCTCTGGGCTTGTTGGTAGTTAAATGCTTGCTATTGTTGTTATGGTATCACCCTCTTGCATGGACACACACACACACTTAATATTCCGTTTTCCCCGGCTCTGGCGAGCTGTTGGCCCACATGTCCCCGCCGTGCAACGCAATGCGTCACCAGTCTGGTGTGAAAGCGGATGAAAGGACAGGGAAGGACAGGAGGGAGATGGGACCGGTATCGCCAGCAGTGACTGGCCCGTCGGCCGACGCCTCACAAACACGTGACCTAAACAACCTGCTCAGACGGCAGAGCTCATTTCACAGGCCTGTCATCACCGCGTACATTTGTAAATGTAACAAGCGCCTTCCCCTCGCACCCAATGTGCGACAGGCAAATGCTCCCGTGCGAGCTTTCCACACATCACCCGATGACTGTTGCTCTGGTGTAAATGGTGGCTCGTTAAATATTGACTGGGCAAACAGTGTCAGTGGTCATTTCCACTAATGATTCTTTTCATTGGGAGCTTGGAAACTGGGCACAGAATGGCGGGCCGAGCTCGAGGAGCCTCCCAGACCACACAGCCAGTCAGCTGCACATAACAAGAGCCTTTGTCTGTGTGCTTTCCTCGGCCCTTTAACTGTTAACGCAAATGGATTAATGTCTTTGGCAAATGTCAGTCTCGTCCCCCGGGACAGAAGGCGTGGCCTTTGATGGTCTTTATTGTGTCAACAGGGATGATTTTGTTGAGGCACTATAATAAATGTAAGGTTTTATTCCAGCGCTTTACAGCCTGACCTCCTTCCAAAGGCAACAGTATTCTTTAAGCACTGATTTCTCTTCCTTTTGTCTTTTTTTTACCCCCTAGGCGAGTCCGGGTTGGGCAAATCCACGTTGATCAACTCACTGTTCCTAACCGACCTGTATTCAGGGGAGTATCCTGGACCTTCACATCGAATCAAAAAGACTGTACAGGTACGTTTCGGCACATGAATCCGATATTTTGGCCCAGATGTAGCACACGGCGTTCGCAACATCAGATCAACTTTGGTTACACAGAGATGGATGAGCTACACTATCCAAACCATCAATGTGAGGTGGTATTTGAAAATGTGTGGCTTGTTTACTGTCTCATAGTACATTGAATTAATGACGTAAATAGCAACTTTTATGGTTTCTAAATATGTTCTACTATGAAGCACTCAAGTAGATAAACTTCAAAGTGAATACATCAACAGTCAAATTCTTTTCTTGCTATTTAATATTTTCAGCAGCAACTGGACCTTCACAAAAACTACAGATTATAACAAAAACCTACATAAATGCAATGTTCATAAAATATTGTGACTTACAGTATTACGGTGCCAGAAAAGCTTCTCTGCTAAAAACGGAAAGAATCATCTATTTCTGGCTCGGCATTCATCATGCAGACTTCCCAACAAAGAAAAGGTCTCCTCTCAAGTTAAACTGTGGCGTCATCGTAATACACATGAATATTTAGATAATCATGCAGTTTGGCGACTGCAGTCTCTGATCCTTTTTAGATTTCTATGTCTGTTGTGATGACGTTCGCTGAGTGTCTTGTGGTTCAAACCTGACTCGACGTCCTCTCTCGCCACAAATACCTTTTGTCTTTCTCTCCCCAATTACACAACGTTATCCTGCATCTTGACTGACTCGAGTGCTGCACTGTGTCTGTCTGGCTCCCGGCTGACGGCATTGCTGTCTCCAGATGCTTGTGTGTATTTCTGGCTTCTCGGCATAGTTAGCTAAAAGCACAGCCTGACGCGGCCTGTCGCTACACGCCCCTTCAAGTGTTTTTTTTTTTTAAACGTAAAATATATATGATCTGCGATGCTATTAGCCCCCAGCGCTAATGATTTCCCACCCTTTCCTTTTGATATGTTGCGTTTAAACGATTTGGTTTCAACGGCACAGTTTGCGGCAGAGGTAAACGCCACCTGCCCTTCATCTCTCTTGTGTGCCAGGTGGAGCAGTCCAAAGTTTTAATAAAGGAAGGCGGCGTCCAGCTGCTGCTCACAATAGTTGACACCCCGGGGTTTGGAGATGCCGTCGACAACAGCAACTGGTAAGGATAGTGTTTGTGTGCGTGTGTGTGCGCTCCGTAAAATGTCAAAGCAGTTTGCCAACATTCTTGTTTTAAAGGATTTGTCTCTAACGCAAGCTGTCGTTTGTGCATCACGCAGCTGGCAGCCAATCATCGACCACATAGACAGCAAGTTCGAAGACTACCTGAACTCAGAATCCCGGGTGAACAGACGGCAGATGCCCGACAGCCGAATTCACTGTTGCCTGTACTTCATTGCCCCGTCGGGACACGGGTGAGTCCGAAAGATCCAGAGAGGCTCCTGAATTGTCCATTCATCAGACGGAGATAGAAAGTCAGGCGAGATTGGGGCTCGAGAAAGGAAACGGTCGGGAGTGGGAAGAGGGAAGAGGAACGGTGTGAGGAAATGAGTAAAGAATAGCTTAAGGCGGGAAATGAGAGGTCAAGGAAAGCAGGCCTGTACTGGTTACTGGTAAGGGTGGTTGGTGGCCATCGCCGTGCAGCTTTTGCCGTGCAGTGTGTGCAGAAACGTCTTCACACTCCCACAATTACAACCCTCCCCCAGGCGACTGCTGTAAATAATAATGCAGCTGCCTGTCTTGCAAAGTAATGGTTAAATTTGAAGACGCTGGCAAAATGCCCAGCTGATGATACTGATCGTCAAATGTTTCATAGAGGGATGACTGTGTGGAATTTTTACTTTGTTACTCACAAGCCACCTGCTCTTCTGTAGTCAGTTTGCGGCTCCGCCATGCTCGTCTTATCTTCCCTTTTAAGATGTGTACATGTCTCGCGCGATGCACGTTTTGGTCAAACGGCAGAATGTGTGGGCGACGTGAACTTGAGAAAGTTAAATGTTGTGGTAATGATATCTTACAAGTGTGAGTGCTGGCTGGCCTCACGGTTCCATTCCATTAGGAGTCTCCTGTCAAAGAATCTCACTCTCTCGTCCTCGATGTTCTACACTGCTGCTGCACTCGGCTCCCTTTTTATCTAGAAAGTGCTTCACAAACAGTCTGTAACAGAAAGTGCTGCGTCTTTTCAATAGATTAGATTCAATTAGATTAATTGGCAAGAGTGAGGTACAATACTGAGTATGTCTGTGTGAACCACCTCCGTGCATAAACAAAACTGCAAGAATAGCCGCTTGAGGCATTTTATACGGCATGAACTGGCCTTGCAGACGTTAGCTAGTTAGTTAATGACGTTTCTCTACTCATAGAGACCAAACCGAACTCCTGGTTATGTTCTGTCACTGCATCGTCCTGCACGTCCTGCACATCTACATCCTGGTATACAGAGTACCCGTCCGCTCTCGTGGCTGCTGTGTGGAGCTACGCAATTTGCGTATATATGCAAATGTGAACCGTGCTCACATGCCCTTGGAGCTGTTGACCGTGACGATGAGCCTTCATCCCATTCTCTCTCTGTGTTGCTTTTTCTCCTCCTTCCTCAGTCTGTCTCTTCAGTGAGACATTGTGTTTGTACAAGCCTGTCCTCTGTGCCCACACAAGCAGTACTTTAGCCTTGAGGATGGGCAGCGTATCCCCTCACACACACACACACACACACACACACAGAGCATCCACTCATAACACCAGCTGACTGCTCTCACAGCAGCACAATGACCTCCAACAGAGAGACAATCTGAACATTGAACTCTGGTGGCTGGTCGTCTTTGTGGTTTGAGGACGGTGACTCATTAAGTAAAAAAATACCCCACTTGAATTTATGATTAATCCGGAAACTTGGCCATTCCCAAAAGTTTAGTTAAACCCAAATATCTGAGATGTTTTTTGACACCATTTTTTAGGATTACAGCTGATCGGCCTTGCTGAATGATTTATTCATGTTAGCTTTCGACGGAAACATTTATTTGCGTGTGTCCCCGCTGCAGGACAGTGTTGCGTCCTGATATAGTGGCAAAGACGGGAACGTCACATAAAGGCTCAAGACAAAAAGCCCAGAATTTACGCCAATTGCAAGTCCAAAATGAGGCTTGTTCAGAATGGTTCAAAAAATGGAAATTAGCTGTTGAGCCCTTAAACACAGAGCTATTTCTTTCAGGTTTTATCCTGATGGGTACTGAATCACCATGAGGTTTATCCTTTGGGATTTTTGTGTAGCCTGTAGCAGCAAAAACGCGTTTAGACATAATTACTCGTGTTTGGACATGGACCGTCTGAAGGCCAGTTTTTATCTGATAAATTGAGAACCATTGAAATAGTTTTTATTGTTGTTCTTCTTTCAGATTAAAAAAAATTCTATCAGATGTTCCTTCACGTTCCGTAAAGTCACCTGCATGTCTGTTGGCGCCGCAACGAACATCGCATCAAATTCTGCTTTGAAGCCAATTTGGACTATTTGTAATGTGCACTCAAAAGTATCAAAAAGGAAGAATATCTTGACAAAATGCAAAGATATAGCTCAATAAATTACTCCAGTCAAATGTTATTTATTCAGTTCAAAAACAGCCAAGACTAACAATGTTTTCCCACGACCACCAGAGAATTTTCTGAGAATTTTGAACATCAGTCACACTGATGCTTTTCTATATTTGGTAATGTTGTCAATGTTGAAACAGATAAACTAATTAAATGCAGATCAGAAGAGCAAAGCAGCCCCAAAGTAGTTAAGACATCCGTATTATGTTTGAGTTTGGGACACTGCTCGCCGTATACATTTAAACTACAAACTGCCTCTTTTTTTTATCCACTCAGACTGAAGCCCCTGGACATTGAGTTCATGAAGAGGTTGCATGAGAAAGTCAATGTCATCCCGCTGATCGCTAAAGCAGACACTCTCACCCCGGAGGAATGCCAACAGTTCAAGAAACAGGTCAGTGATTTCCACAGCTGTCTACCACTGCTTTGATTTCTTCATTTACTGCTGCTTGTTCAACAATGACCTGAGGTGTGAGGAGACTTTCCCGTAACTTTTACATAATCAATAACAAGATTTACTATTGCGTTTTGAAGGGGGCTTCTGTGCAATGTGTTTTGCTAAATAACACCCATAATGCACATCAACATGTTTTAGCAAGTAGCTAAAGTGATATATGAATTTGGAGCATACAAGGGGACAATAAAGCGACAAGACGAGTGTCACCTATTAAACAATGAGCGTATGGAGAGTGTGTGTTAAACAGATTCATAATATAACTTTAAAGAATGATGTGCTGCGGCCTTTACCGGGGCTTCACATCAGCTGTATGTACTTCTTTGATAAAGTCAAACTGTGACGGATCAACACCAGACCACCGTGGGAACCTGTTTTGAAAGATGTTTCCCTGCTAGATCATGCGGGAAATCCAAGAGCATAAAATAAAGATCTACGAGTTCCCCGAGACGGATGACGAAGAGGAGAACAGGCTGGTGAAGAAGATAAAGGTACAGCTCGTCATCCGATCCGTCATATTACACTCGTTGGTGAAAGTGAATTCTGAATAATGTTGTTCTGCCAGGACAAGTTGCCGCTGGCTGTAGTAGGAAGCAACACCATCATCGAGGTGAACAGCAAAAGAGTGCGAGGGAGACAATACCCCTGGGGGGTTGCAGAAGGTGAATGTTTGAATTGGTTACCAATGCTTGGCCTGTGCGGTGCAAAATTGAGTGTCTGGGGTCACAAGGTCACGTACTTGTTATTCTGGGGATTGGGTGACTGAGTTCTTGTTTTTCCCGACTAGTTGAAAACGGTGACCACTGTGACTTCACCATCCTCCGGGATATGCTCATCAGGTAAGCTGCACAGATGGTACACACTCAATCAACCAGTCACAGTATACACACACAGCTACGTTTAAAGGCGGCCTTATAAAGACCTTTTGGTTTTATTCTATGAACCGTTTTACAAATTCAACTCAATGATCAAAAATCATCCTTTTTATTTCATTTATTCTTTTTAATGGTATACAAATTTTACATAGAAATTATCGTTGATATATTAGGTATTTTACCCCATTTTGATTATCATAGACCTTCAAGATATCTTCCATATGTTCTCCCAGCAACTTACCGCCCTGTTTGTAAACATTTATCAATAGGTCCTGCTATCAGTTAGTGCTACAGTAGCTTGCCGTCATAAACCCTCAGGGCCTTGAGACAGTCGGGTCGTCTACTGCTCAGGCTGCAGTAAAACACAAAGTTCCCCTCCAAACACTTCACTCCAGAGTATTTAAAACATTTGAAATTGCTTTGTCGTTCCTCCCCAGGACGCACATGCAGGACCTGAAGGACGTGACTAACAACGTCCACTACGAAAACTACCGCAGCAGGAAGCTGGCTGCTGTCACCTACAACGGAGTGGACAACAACCGGGCTAAAGGTCAACTGTCCACCAAGTAAGTCCTGGTCAAAGGTCACTAGAGACCAGACTGGTTAGCTTCTGATCAATGCCGACCCTTGAACTTCAACTTTGAAGAATAGAAGTGTTGGTAGAATTGTAATTGGTTTAATTATTTTCTTTATTTAGCCGATTTACAGGCCTGTTAGAATTTAGGAGAATAATGTATCACTCTCCAAATAATATTTGCTGTGAGGTCGTCTCTCACAGAAGTTTCATTTTTCGTCCAAGTTGGCGGATTTCATTCATCGCCCGCTGCTCTCGCTCTGTCGTTTGACAATCACCTGTTGATTCTGCTTTCGTCGCAGCCTCTCGCTGCACTACTTTGCATAAAATCATGCCACTGATTTTCATACGTTTTTATTCAGAGCGCCATGCGACTTTCTCATTCCTGTGGACACGGGCAAAATTGCTAACTCGCTAAGCTAAATTTCCAGATCTACAGAACGGAGGCCTCACACCTCTGATACTAACACACACACACAGCTCAACATTTGGCAAACTGCTAATGTATTAACACCCAGATCACAAACCTAGATGTTTTTTTTTCCCATTTTCTATTTTTGCCGTCAGCAGTGAGACAGTAGAGGAAGTCACGGAACACGTCTAAGAGGCCGTTGTGTTATTTTAGTGCAAGAACTCATTATTGCATGCTGTGTGTTGTGTGTGTGTGTGTATGTTTGTGTGTGTGTGTGTGTGTGTGTGTGTGTGTGTGTTTTGGTTGTATGTGTTTTTTAGACTTGACCCAGTTGAAGGAATGTAAGTGGTGATTTTTATTTCCTAATATTTTTCAGCCCCTTGTATGATGATCGTTTCTCTGCTCTTCCTCCAGTCCTCCTCCTCCCTGTTGGCTGTATTTAGGTCTCCCCTCCCCTTGCCCCAAGACTTCCCCCTGTCAGTTGATATTTCCAGGAACTGCGGGCGGAAACCCTTGAATTTCCACACTTCTGTATCCTGACAGCTATAAATGTGATGCCTTCATTTTTCCACCCAACAACAAAACCTTTCATTCTTCCCACCGGCTCGGTGCATGAAATGTTTGGAGCGGTTACGAACAACTGAGATTAACACATAATGCTGAAATTGCATATGTATGTATTTAAAATATTTAATTATGTATTGCGACCTGAAGATGTCTCCCTAAGCAATTCCCCCTTTCATGACTTTGCAACCGAATCAGGCCAAATCCAGCTTTAATCTCAGGTAACCTCTCCACATACTTCCTGGTGGGTCTCTGTTCACTAACACGGCGACAAAACATCCTGATGAGCTTTACGAACATCTAACCCGCCGTGAACGGCTAACTGACATCTAGCTTCGGGTTCCCTTCTCTGCCTCTCAGGAACGCCACGTGGTTGCTTTGGTTTCCTGTTCCTGTCACAGCCTTGTTGGATCCCGGCATTCCTGACTTTTTTTTTTTGCCTCCCCGCTCCGCTTTCCCTCTTGCACCGAGATATGTTTATTTTTATGGGTGATATTCCTGTTCCCAATGCAAACTGATGAATACGCCTGTGATGCTGCGCAGTGCTGATCTCTGTGTGTGTGTGTGTGTGTGTGTGTGTGTGTGTGTGTGTGTGTGTGTGTGTGTGTGTGTGTGTGTGTGTGTGTGTGTGTGTGTGTGTGTGTGTGTGTGTGTGTGTGTGTGTGTGTGTGTGTGTGTCTTCGTGTTCATCTCAGGAGTCCCATGGCCCAGATGGAGGAGGAAAGGCGGGAGCATGTGACCAAGATGAAGAAGATGGAGATGGAGATGGAGCAGGTGTTTGAGATGAAAGTCAAGGAAAAAGTGCAGAAGCTCAAAGACTCTGAAGCCGAGGTAACACACACACACACACACACACTCTCTCCTGCGGCCGTTGCCCTCGTGGAGTTACTCATCTGTCTCCGCTGCTTCCTTCCTCTTGTGCGGACGTGCTTCAGCGGTTGCAAGTGTGACTGAGCATTGTGTTTGTGTGTTGTTAAATTTGTGTAAATTGAGGTTCATGTTCCCTCTTTTGTTCCCACGTGTTTGTAGCACTTTTCTGTATAAAATCATAGGACACCAAACTCTTCATCTTCAGAGCTGCAACCTTCGACAATGTGCACAAATCATTAACTCTTTTTGTTGAAGTTAAGATTCCCATCGCGGTGTAATCAACAGACACATTAAACATGTTAAAACCCGGACTAAGGATCACTTAAGCAGTGGATGGAGCTGATACGAATGACATTTCTTGAATTGAGGCAATCTGATGGTTTTGGCTTTGAAATGCACATGGAGGCCGCAGGGTTTCTCCTTGATGGGGTAATGGTGAAGTCTGCAGCTCACATGCTCTTTGACTGCGCCTGCTCGGGTGCCTTTTATCAGATACAGAGATCCTGACCTCCTCTTTCCCATCTGCCTCTCCGCAGCTCCAGCGGCGTCACGAGCAGATGAAGAAGAACCTGGAGGCGCAGCACAGAGAGCTGGAGGAGAAGAGACGCGTGTTCGAGGACGAGCGGGCGAACTGGGAGACCCAGCAGCGCCTGGAGCAGCAGAAAGTGGAGGCTTCCAGGTACGGCTGAGCCCAAACGCCTACTTCATGAACAGCATGACCACGGCCGCTTTCAGTGAATCGCAGGGGTAAAAGAGTAGTGGAGTAATGAAGTACATTAAGTTGAGGTAGATCACAGCAACGTCGTTTTGGAAATGAAAATGAAATGAAAAATGAAAAGACTCTCGTATGTCGTCCCTCTCTACTCATTGTTAGCCGTGTGGAGAATGATTCATCGAACATGTGAACCCATCCCACGGATGGCTTACACCATATTAATGCGTCAGGCTTTTGAATATCTGGTTTCCAACAGACGTGTCTTACAAAGTCATTTCTGTATTTCTTGCGTAAGTGAATCTTCAGTTACTTATTATTGAGCCTCTGTGTCATTCTCTTCCCTGCAGGACTCTGGAGAAAAACAAAAAGAAAGGCAAGATCTTTTAAGAGAAGGTCGGCCAGACGACCCACAACGCCAGTTACTTTTTGTTTGCCAATGTTGCCGGTTCAGGACACCCGTGTGTGGCACTGACATCCTCCTCCTGCTCCTCCTCCACCACATACTCCTCCTCGGCAACTGCGAGATCGTCGCCGAGTCTCAGCACAAAGACAGCAAGGGCAGCTATTCTGAGGCTTTCAGGAGGTTTTTTGGTATAAAAAGAAAAGAATCTTTTTTCTGAACGGCCACGGCCGTCCCAAGTCCCGAATTGTCTCGCTCTATTATTCACTGCTGTACGCCGCCAGCAGCTGCTCTAGTTTCATCGGAGGACTCGGCCTCACAGAGCCTGGAAGAGCACTTCAACCCTGGAAGAAAACCCAGTGAATCATGACGGACTGTAGAACACTCGACTCCCGAAGACTTTTATTTGTTTACAGGAAAGAGAGCGTAATGGTAAAGAACATTAACCTGATGGTCCTTAGTAAGAGAACAAGGCATTAACTAATCCTTTCTTTGTGTGTATCTGGTTAACTTTGAACCTTCCTTCTGTCAGTGTGACAGAAATGAAACGTGTCAACAAAGAAACTCTGAAATCAAGACAAACAATAAAATGCACCGTGGGCCTTTTTTCTTTTCTTTTTTAATAGATTACAAAAAAAAAACCTGCTTAAGCTTCTGAAATGTAACGCTTTCCTTTTCGTCTGTGTTTAGCTATTTTCCACCATTTATAATGTCATAACTGTTATACTTCACTTTAGTTTATTTTTATATATATATATACCGAGCCAGCTGGAGTAAAACTTCTTTTGTATGTTTAGAAAAAAAAGAATCCTCAGAGACTTGAGAGCAGCGTCCACTGTTTACCAGAAACACATTCACGTCTAACAGTGATCGATGCTTCAAGAAAAACTATTTCAATCACTCTGCGGGAACCGTCTGTGGAAACACCACAGTTTGCTTTGGCTATGTACTCCATCTCTATTTTTAATTTTATTTTCATTTGTATTGTACAAAGTCACTTAATAAACCTGTGATGATATTGAAGGGTGAGATGGATTTATTTTGAAAACTGGCTTGGCTGCGTTTGCAATGACAGTTTGTGTTTCTTATATAACTGCTAAGTGTGTATGGAAGCCCATCTCTGCCATGCGTTTGGACAAAAAGATCCTGTTAATCTCAAAATAACGACATAGCGAGTGTCAGTGTCTCAAAATAAGGAGCCGGCTGCTCAATCTGAAACCTTATTATTTTGGACATTAATCTCAAAATAAAAGGATAATATAATATAGGGAAATTATATTCTATTATCCTTTTATTTTTTACATGACCTTTCTTAATTAATATTCTAGGAAATGGGCCTCCACGCGTTCGTTTTAGTGATTGTCATGATTTCACCACCAGAGAGCGCTGTTTGCTTGAAAGTACAGAATTGGAAAAGGTTTCAAACGCCACTGATAATATCTGACACTTCTAATCAATAAATCACAAACCGACCAAAGAAAATAAAACGCTTCTTCTCAGTCTGAGATTAAACAAAGTAATAAATCCAAAATCTGATTCCTTCCAGTAAGTAAAATACATCGATCCTCAGAGGTTCATTTCCCCACCAAGGTTTTAAACCTACCTCCCGAAAATGAAAATATCCATTAAAATGGCACCTCATACATAAAAAAAAATATATATATATATAGAAAAGGCGAGAGAGAAATATGTCAGAATAGATATTTGACGTTAAAAGCAAACAAAATAATACTAATGGCCGCCGTTTGTAAAATGTCGCACGTTCTAAAATCCTGCACAGTTTTGCTACATTTAGCATTATCATATAACCAAAAAGGCACGACAATATTCATATGTCACTATTTCAAACATTTAGAGAGAAATTCATGTAAATTTATGCAAAACCTTTTCCAGGGATAATGTTTTGCAGTAACACATATATTATTTAAGTCGTTAAATAATATGAATGTTAAATGTAAATTTCATATACATGTATTCGTCTTTTATTTATTTATTTATTTATATCTATCTGTTTCCGTCTCTTTTTGGACATTTCAGGACGTGAACGTGTCCCGCGCGGTTGCTACGGGTAACCAGTGCGACGCAAACTCCCACTCCCGTTGTTGCACTACAAAATACGTTACATCCTTAGCTGTCAACAATGACGATCCCGTCTCCAAGCTCTCCGCCGCTCCTTTGCCCTCGCGGGCCACCGTACACAGCAGCTTGCTCCGCCCCCAACTCAAAAGCTTTCCAAATAGAGTTGGGGAAGTTCGATGTGTGAGAGTTTAACAGCACTCCGTCCTTTTACATTCAAATAAACTCCGCAAAAGACATGCTCGGCTGTTTGCGGTGAGTTCACGGCCGCCCGCAACGGGTAGGAACCATGGGCCCGTTGCGTTCAAAGCCCTCGCTGCTGTGGCTCGTCGCCGTCGTTTTGACAGCTCGCGCGAGCAAAGCTGCGGCGAAATCGAAACTGATCGATTACGGTTCGGCGTGTGACTCCCGGGACAACGAGCTCAGCCTGAGATCCAGCAGCACCCCCTCCCCGGACGGGCCGGAGCCGGGGGACCTCGCCGAAGCATTCAGCGTCCCGACTCTGGACGGGGAGTTCTCCTACCAGCCCGGCAGCGCGCGCGGACCTCTCGTCGTGCACGCCTTCTCCAACAAGTCGGCCTTCCTGGAGTGCATGTGGAGCTCGGAGTCGTCCCTGATCAGCCTGGTGGAGGAGCTGCCCAACAGCACCCACGTGCTGTTCCTGTCCCTGGACGAGTCGGCGGCCAGTGACGCCCTGTGGATGAGGGAGCAGCTGCAGCGGGTCGCCGTGCTCAGGTGACCCGGACGAGAGCCGCTGCTTCGAGGCCAAGTGTCAGCATGCAAGACCAGTCGACTCGTGTCGAACGTCGTGCGGCATCTCCACCGGTGCATTCAATATACTACTGTATTTATAGACCACTACGAAGTATTTGAGTACTTCCAACTGTTGGTCACTGAATATACTTTTACCACAGATCTTTTGATTTCGGATTTTTGTTTTCATCTCCAAAGCGCACAGTGCTTTTTACACATTCTATACATTTCTGTACATGCAAGTATCCAGCACTATATTTAGCATGAGTTCAACCCTGTAGATGCAGCATGAACATACTTCAGAGATTCAGCTGCATAACATTCATTTTTACATTTGATAGTTGCTGAAAAAAAATGAATACTTGAATGCAGGACTTTTATTTGTAATAAAATATCTAAATCCTTTGCTGCTTTTCATCTCAATATACAAGAAGTATCATTGGCGGAATACGTGCTCAGATCTTTTACTTAGTTTGTTTACTTAGTAAAAGAAGCAAATTTTTCTTTTAAAATGTTTCACAAGGTGTTATGAGATGTACTTGGTAGATGTACTTTGTATCAGAAGTAAGTGTTCTTCCTGCAGGAAAAAATACCCACATCCAGAGTTGAGGAAGAAATGCTCACATGTTTTAAAACCTATTCTGCATTCAAAGCTCTACCTTTTGTATAAACAGTGGATTCATTGATGTTCAAGCACGACCCCAAAAACATTGGTTACCACTTTGACAAAACACTTGTCCCCTCCAGGAATAAGGAGGTTCTGTCCAGACTGCACTTCTCCCCGGTGCCGGTCTTCGCTTTGGGTAACTGGATACCCAATGTGCTCTACTACTGGCGCGGCCGTGTCTTCTCCCAGGTCGTCTTCAAATCCGAGGGTGAGCATGCCGTCTTTGTGCCGCCCTGATGGGTCTGCGTTACACCCACATCCCTGAATGTCATTCATCAAAAATCGAGCTGCGTGAATATTTTGTGAAACTGAATATTTAAATGCGATTAACCGAGCTCTTGTGTACCTCGTTTCCTAACATTGTATTTATTGCTGTGGGTTAAATACAAGTGGGCAAACGGGTTTTCTGTGAAAACATTGTACCACAAAGCACAAAATCACAGGAGCGTCGTGACATTTCCATTCAAGTGTTGAATAGAAACTTTGAATGATTTATTGCTCTTCTCATCCTCACAGGGTGGAAAATGCCGATAGTCGTCAAGAGACTAAATGCCCGGTACGACTGGCTCGCAGCGCGCGGGGAGTCGAGGTCCTACCAGCTGCTGGGGGCCGGTGACGGCTGTGAACCTTCCCCCTCGGTGGCGGGAGCTCTGGCCTGGGTGTCCGAGGGCAACTGCTCGTTCTTCACCAAGGTAGAAGTCACGTACAAACGTACTGACTACGACTTATTCAGTACGTGTGAACTGTAACTAGTTACATCTACCGTTGTGTACAGATATAGTTCATCATGAATAAATACCATTCATCAGTGTGAATATCAGGGAACAGCTTTGGATTTGGGACAAAACAAGCAATTTGAGGATCTCTCCATCGACACGTGGCAATAAGAATCTGCGCTTCTCAGTCTTCTTAGATGATTTTTTTAACCAAACCTGCAAATCAATTTAATCGACGCAAACAGTAAGTATTGACCGTGGTGTAATGCCTTTTTCGGCGACCCTCGTCCTCCAGGTGCAGAGCATGGCCCAGTCCAACGCCTCCGGTGTCCTCGTCCACGCGCTCCCCGGTCACCCGATCCAGGACATGAACTGTGGCGGGGACGACTGCAACGCCACGCTGACCATCCCCGCCGCCATGGTGCACCTGGAGGCTTCTGTGGCTCAGGCGCTCGAGTAAGACCGACCGACCGAGCTGAGGGAGTAAAAGCCTCCTCACTTTGTAACGCCCTTGTACGTGGAGCAACTGAGCACTTTAAAGGTTGAAGTAATGTTTCCCTCGTTGTCTGTTTGCTTTCACTTTTCTGAAGCCGCTCACAACTTTAGGGTGATGTTTATTTTCAAAATGACACCTTTTAAAATCTTCTATGTCTCTTAAAACTATAGAAGTGTTCATTTCAAGCTCATTGGAATCACCGTGAATTGGTTTATTTTTGCACCGTCTTTTCTGACATTTAAAGTCTTCCTCTCCCGGTGCCCATCTCATCTCATTGGGATGTGATGCTTCTGCATTCTGTTTCCCAGGTGTGGACAGACGGTGTTTGCGTCCTTCCAGAACACCCCGTCCCCTACCTTCTTCATCGGTATTGACCACCAGGGGGCGCTGGCTGAGATGGGCGGGTTTATTTACCCCTCGTTCAGCTTCGTCAACTGGCAGGCGCAGTGGTGAGGACGCGCTCATTTGATCTCATTAACTTCACTAATCAGAAGTCATAGAGGCATTTTTACTGGTCTGGTTGCATCAACGGACTTGCAAAGTGAAAGTGAGGCTTTTAGGGGACAAATCCAACGGCATACGCTGTGTTTGTTTGTTATACACCCATTGCACCGTGCAGCCAAGATTTACTCTTACTAATTCCGATTTTTTTTAAACTACACTCACAAATTTTGATGCATAGGTCAACCTCTCCAGGGGGGCATGTTTTTCACGTAGTTTTGTGAAAAAGTAGATTTTTTGCACGTCTCTCTGACTCTGTTCTTTTTTTCCAAGGTTTGATTTCTACGCAGATCTGCAGACTAAACTTCAAAGTCCTGCAAAGGTCATTTCTGTTTTTGACAAAGTGCAAATGCAAGGAGAGGAGGGAGCAGTGGCCACCGTCCACCTGCCGATAGGTAACTTCAAGGACGCCATTTGGGAGACGAGCAGGTTTTGTGTATTTTGCGCGTTGTGGCTTTTTCATACCAAAAGTGGCAAGTAGTCCAGGATTGTCATCATTTATTATCATTTTTTTAGATTTTGATCTAAAGATTAGAAGATTAGAGCAACTCAATTTGGTTGGACCTTCTTTCAGGAACTTGATTATTTGACTAAACCAAAGTTGAAAAGCCATTGTGATATATCACAGGTCAGATTCGTTCTCTGGAGCAATAGTTCAACCTCAACTCTAGCACGGTTTAAATCTAGTCTTCTAATCATTTGGGGGGGTGGAAAAGTCCTGAAACTGAAATCTCTCAAAGTGGTACTAATCTTTAGATGAGGTTGTGTTTAATGCCAATGAAACCACAAATGTGCAAAAAATGTCAAAAAAAAAAAAAGTTCAGACGCTGCAGCCCAACATTAGAGCATCACCGTGACAACGAGCGTTTGAATGCGGCTGACCTCGGTGCGCCGCGTCTCTCTGCAGCCCTGTGGGACTTTGACACGCTCCAGCTGGACGCGTCCCTGTCGTGTCCCGGCCGGAGGGACTCGTCCTGCGCCCACTGGGATCACACGGTGCAGCTGTTCGTGTGCTGCGACCCTCTGGGCCCGTACTGCAACACGGAGCTGGGCCGATGGATCACCGCCTTCCGCAGGTGACGTGAAACACAAGAATGATAATCCTAATAATTACTACCCGTTTCCATATCTCATTATTAATGAAATGACTCTCCGTGGGTCTTCAGAATTCAGAAAAACACAAATCCATCTCAATTTAGTGGTTTAATCTGATCTGAGATGAATCATTAATCTCTTTTGCTTTTCCTTTCTATCTATACATACTTGTGTGTGTGTGTGTGTGTGTATATATATATATATACATACATACATAAACAGTATATATATATTTAGTATATACTGTACAACAGTTGATTTATATATCATTAAGTTGTTCTTTTTGGGAACAAATTAATATTTAAATTGTATTGCAATGCAGTTTAATTGTTTTATATAATATTGTTTTTGTGTTTTGTCTGATCACTGCATGCCAATAAACACAAATGTTTTGGCACATTTTACCATGTGTATTTATAGACAACACAACTAGAACAGACTCCTAATATTCTCATTATCACGTCATGTTGAACTTTGAAAAATGACTCCATGCTGTTTTTGCAGAGGCACCGGGCGCTGGCTGACGGACGTGTCCCCTCTGATGCCTCTGCTGGACAGCAACAAATGCACCCTGACCATGAAGACGCCCCCCTGGGCCATGCCCTGGATGGTCTCCCTCAACCTGCGATTCAGCCTCAGCAATCGGACAGGTACAAAATCCCAGAGCCCACATTCTAAAAACTGTCACGACGTCTGTGGTGGAACCATGGCGGTGAGTGCAGCGGGGCACAACATTTTATGTCCATTTTGGAGAACTTGGGGGTACTTTCGCTATGATTATGTTGCAAGTTTTGCCAATTCTGTTAAGAATTTTGGCAAATCTTTTGCAAAGTTATATCCTTCACTGATCGCACACAAAACCAGATATTTGAAACCAGAAATCTCACATAAAAGAAAAATGATATAAAACCGAGGAAAGCGTTTTCCCGGGAGAAGGGGCACCATTAAGCCGCCTGCTGGGATGCCGTCAACAGCAAGTAACGTCCCTCTGCGTTGCAGATTCTGAAGTAGAGATGCTCCGCCCCTTCAGAGTGATGCCACTGTACGGCGGCGGAACCTTCAACAAAAACTACAACAAGAGGCACCGGCCGGTCAAAGTGTCCGTCCCGGCATCGACAAAAAAGGTACAAAAAACTATCTCAAACCGCCCACGAACGACTTGAAAGAAGGATTTAGAGCCGTGTGACTGTGCTCAGGTGGAGCTGTACGCCGTCATCACGGCCCACGGCTACGATGAAAACCACTGTGGAGAATTTTGCGTCACGTCCCACCACTTCCTGATCAACGGCGTTTTCAACAACACCCTCACGTTCGATTCCGCAGGTGAGGAACGCACAAAGGTAGTCGAGCAAACGATCTCTTTTCACTGGTCATATGAGGAGCTGCTGTGGAGCTTTTCATCACGCCGTCCTCCTCAGCAGATGGAGCTCAGCAATTTTAGATGTTTAAACCAGAAGCTTTTTTGACTTGGGTCAAGCGTTGTATAGAAATGTAATTATTTATGAAAGAACCAGAAATGGAACTTGAGAATTCTCCGCCAGTCCAAAACCCAAAAGATATTTAGTTGACAAGGACATAAAAGGTTTAAAGAAATCCTCACATGTAAAATAGCTCTGAATATTCAGCACTTTTGCGAAGGGTGACTCCACGCACTGATTGTGATGGTTTTATGTGGTGGTGGTGGTGGGGAACCCTCAGGAACACCTCTGGACTGCACCCTCCGGGTGAAAGAGGGCGCGGTGCCCAACGAATACGGCACGTGGCTTTACGGACGCGCCGGCTGGTGTGACGGGCTGCAGGTCGACCCCTGGAGGACGGATGTCACTAAACAGGTCCGGCCGCAACGCGCCCGATTTGTCACTTGATTCTCATTGCAGTATCGACCTCGAACGTTCTTATTTTGTCTACAATGGTTGTTTATTTAATGTGCGTGGCTGCTGGATTAAGGGATTTGGTTGTATCAAGGACTAGAATAAAAACACTCTCAATAAGTTGATTTTTCTATTTCAGGATAAACGTCAATAGAGCTATCTTGCTATCATGATAGAGAAGCGATAAAACACTTATTTATTATTAACTATAAAGCCTCCTGAGCATAATCATGTAATCTTGTTTCCTGCGCGTAGTGCTCTCTCCTTCTCAGCACAGATTACCTGCAGAGTTTATGTGGAAAAATACACAACTAGATATTACATACAAATGTCAGACGTGACAAGTTTACACATTCAGACACTCAGTTTGTGAGTGTCTTTAATTCTTCTAGTCTTCATGTATTATTGTGGAGGTTTAGACCAGTTGCATACGCTTCAGAGTGGATCAGATGGGTTAATGTTGCATTCTTTCTACTGACCACTAGGGGGCAACTCAGATAAATCTGGTTGTATAGAAGAAGTTAATGAGTTGCATACAGTCTATGATTTGTAGTCCGTTGTAGTTGTATTTGTTGTGTGATTAATGATACAAGGGCATCTTTGTTTGCCTCAGTGAGATACCTGTTAGAGTGAAAGAGGGGCTTGTTTGTTTTATTGACTGTGCTTTGAGGATTTCTGTTTGTCCCTGTGCTCTTTCAGCTGAACATGAGCCAGTTTGAATCCAACACTGTTGTCTACTTCGGCTTGTTCCAAGGGAAGGATCCTAATCCGTCGAAGGAGCCCGGGTACATCATCATGTCTTCTTTTCTTGTCTTTTACAAATGATGCCCGCCTGTGAATTTGTGATGTAAATTAATTAACTTTGAATGTGGAATTATTAAATGTATATTTTTTCTACTGTTTTAAAAAAAGTGTTTCTATTACTCTTGCTCCGGTTACATTAATGTGGAATCAACGCAACCTTTGGGCTCGCAAATGATGAAAGGAACTCAGATGAAAGAAAAAAAACATCATCCAGCCTCGCCCGAACGCCCAACACGACCAAACGTTTGCATTTTTCTTCAGACAAAGTCAACGAGAAGAAGACCTGTATCCAAAATCAGCATTTCGTTTGCCTGCGGTGCCTCAAGCTGGAGACGCACTGTCACTAATTACATGTAATCACTTCCAATTTGAAACTTTTGAAATGAGAAAGTGTTTCTCAGTGAGTCATCTTCCTCTCATGGGAGGCGACTCCTGCTTCCTGCTGGCATTGTCTTCTTTTCTTTTTTTAATATATTTGCACAGTGAAGATGAGCCAACTGACAAATTGTTGTTGCAAAACAGCTACAATAACAGCTCTTTATTACAAGCGGGGAACAGCGTGTACTGTTTTATTGTGGCAATTATATGTCTGTCTGTGGGAAGATTTTGTTACTGTGCAAGATGCGCACGAAACTTCACATCTGCATTGTTAAAACTAAGGCCAAGTTGGGAGAGACAAGTGGTCTGAAGTTGGTCGCCAGTTCAGATCAAGTAGTTGTATGCAAGAGTTCCATTTTGGGGGAAATGTTAGGGTCAAAATTTAGCATGAAAACAAATATTAGGTCGGAAAATGTTTTGGAAAAAAACGTATACAAATATTAGGCCGAAAAGTGTTTTGAAAACAGTGTTGTCTAAAAATGTTATGGAAAAATAAAGTAAAAAAATCTTACGTCGAAAAATATTTTGAAGAAAAAAAATGGAAATTGAAAAATGTCAACAAAAAAGTGACAAAAGATGTTATTTCAAATATTTGAAAGAAGAAATTCAAAATAAACGGTACAAAAATTTTCTAAAAAATACATGTGTCTAAAATTGTCATGGGAAAATGTAAAATACTAGCTCAAAAAATGTTGGGTCGAAATGTGTCATGGAATAAAAGTATACAAATATTAGGTTCGGACACAAAGTAAAAACGTGGTTGGGTCAAAAAAATCCTTGGAAAATAGTTGGTCAAATCTATTTTGGAAAAATAGTCTAAATATGTCGTGGAATGATAACATGGAAAAGAAGTCACAAAATGTTGGGTCGAATAATCTTAAATGTTAGTCAGAGATGCATGACAGTTATTTCCCTTTAGTCCCTTTTTAATCAAATGTCACAGTTTTACAAAACGGGTACAGAAAAGAAAATACAACATTGCATCATACAAAAGGGTTACTTTTGAATAGAAAGGTTAGTGTTTACAAAGTTTGTTTTATTTCTTTACGGATCATTTCCTATATATCACAGGCTTATTGTGATTCACAAATCGCTCTGGCCAACAAGAATAAAACATTAAATCGTACTCCATCTCCATTTGAAATACATTTTGCTGTAATGATGCCTATTTTATAACGTTATCTTCCCGTTTATTTTCCCTATCCGCGCTGAAGCTACAAGAGAAATACTGATGTGCTGATGTGGAGGTTAACCACATGGCAAAATCGGTCCATCGGTGCGTTAGACCTTCACACAGGTTCCTCTGCAGCTTAGTCGAAGTCCCGGCACGGTCCCGGATCCAGTAGGTTGATGCAGCGCCTCACTGGAGACGACAACAAACAAAAAGTGTAAAGACTATAAGACTTAATGATTAGTGTGTTACTCTGCTTGTGCCGTACATTGAAACCAACCGTTTCCATCCTACTATCTCCTCGTTACCTGATGTCTCGGTGTCAGGAAGCAGCAGCGGAGGCCTCGGCGACGCCGTCTTCTCTTCGGACAAGGTCCTCGGAGCGACGCTGCCCTCCGTCACGGGTCCGGGTAGAGGGACGGCTTCTCGGACGGGCTGCGATGCCGGAGGGCCGGGCTGTGATGGAGGAAAGGCTGGTGTGAAGTCTGCTGCACCTTTTACTAATCCAGGTAAGGAGATACAAACCTCACCTTAAACGGACCCAATTACATTATGAAGAAAACAAGAGATGTGGTTGGATACTACAAATTAAATATAGTTATTTTAATAAGGAGCTGTATCACACAAAATTTAGGTACTTTAAATCTCAACACATTTCCCATTTCAATTCAATGAGAAATTATGTCCAACCTTTCAACTGGCATTGTTTATCTTTTTTTGCTTCACTGCAAATAATTTTGAGGGTGAGTTTCTTTAGAAATTAAGATTTTTTGAAAGAAATTTGATGCGCTTGTAAAATATAGTGCTTTGTTATAAAAGCTGCAGCAGCATATAAACCTCTACATTAACTCTATATAACCTGTGAAACATTCAACTTTTGTAACACCGCGTAAGTGGCCAACAAGAAAGTAAAGACAGATTTCTTCTTCTCACCACCATCTGAACCCTCCTAAGGTCCCCCGTGGAGGTCGGGGTGTCGGTCCTATACGGACGCTCTCGGACGCTGCCGGAGGCCTCTGGGACCCCTGGGGGCCTTCTGGAGGTCAGGACGGAGCTGAACGAACGTCTTTCTCCGTCTTCGCATATGCAACTTAGCAGTTTCCTCTCCAGGGCTGCAACGTGAGAGGACCAATACAGTAAATGTGCATTTTTACATCTACGGTTTAAGTGCAGTCACAGCTCAAGTGGCAGCAGTTTGGGTTGTCTGGCTCATTTGCAGTGAGTCGTAGATGTTCTGTATCAGTATCTCCATGGGGCCCCGGGCGTCAATGATGGAATCATTAAGAGCCCATTTCTATTTACTGTCGAGACGGCATCACTTTGTTTATGTTCAACGAAACCAAAAATAATTTTCCTCATATTTTCTCCTCGTGTGGATCTGATGTGGTCACGATGAACGGCTCACCGGGAAGTTCCCTGAAGTCATTGATCTGGAACACGTGGTCGCTGTCCGGCGCCATGACACCGAGCTCCTTCTTGAACTCCCCGTGCAGCGGGTCGCTCCTGTTCACCACGGCGACCACAAACGTCTCGATGCCGCTCCCCCGGGCGTCCGCCGCCGCGCCCTCCAGACCGGCCGAGTCTCTCTTGTCGGCCTTCCCGCCCGTGATGACGACGGCCACCTTCCTCACACCCGCCCGCGCCCCCTCGAACACCCTGTTAGCCCGCCACATGGCGCTACCCGTGAACGTGCCCTCGCCCATGAAGGCCATGGAGCGCACCGCCGCCTTGATCGCGTCGCGCGTGGCTCCCGGCCCGAGGGCGACCACCACCGCGCTGACGCGGCTGTAGAGCACCACGCCCACGCGCGTGGCGTCCCGGCGGACCGAGGCCCGGTCGATCAGCGCGTTGACGAAGTCTTGGACCCTCTGGAAGTTGTCCGGGCCGACGCTCTCGGAGCCGTCAATCACAAAAACCAGCTCCAAGGGGGTTCGGCGGCAAGTCGATGCACAAGCTGGCGACACCCAGAGACGGGTTATAGACAACGCAGTGAAGACATTACTGTGACTTTGTTCTGATTACTTACTGCATATGGATCTCACTAGTTTGACGATTTCTTCCCTCTGTGAAAGACATCAAAGCTTTCGCTATAAACTGAATTGACACTTTATTATTTAGCGATTAAAGCAAAGCTCGAGCTTTAATTTGAAGCCGTTTACATTTAAATCAGTGGCACAGTTTTGCTTCTTTACACATATTTTACCAATTTTAGCAAAGAGTAGGACAAAATGCTGTGTGTGATATCAGTGATGCAATATACTTACTGTCAGTGCAGACTCTCCCTTCTGTCCCACTCTCCCCTGTGAGATGAAAGAAATAATGTATTAGTTAATTAGGTCTTAGCTGAGATTCCCTTGAGAGAACTTTCTTTTCTTGGATAAAAATAGAAAGATATTCATTCGTATGTTGTGCAAATATTGTTGAATAGTTGCATAACAATAGCGGTAATGTGATATAAAAGGGTTAAAAATGCAATTTTCATTACAAAAGCCCTGAATCCAGTACCAAAGGTCCGACGGCGCCGGCTCCTCCCCATTGTCCTTTGTTCCCCGTTTTGCCTTTTCCTCCTGTGAACCCTCGATCGCCCTGCAAGAAGAAAGCAACAGTCATCTTAGATCACACTGTAGTAGCCTTGTAGAACTGCACCTGGACTGCTTCCATCCAAGACCTTTAACTACGACTCATCCAGGCTTGATGGATTCCGTTTACTGACTTCATTTTCCTAATTGCTAAAGTTATTCTCCCCTTTTGCTGGAAGCTGCTGATGACTTGCAGATTCTGTTGTTTTAATTTTGCTTTGTCTTCATATTTCACAGTTGGCTGCCATTAGTTACCTTGTTCCCCCGCAGAACTCGTCCTGGGGGACCTTTTGGGCCGGGGATGCCCTGAAATCCAGTCTCCCCCTAAAAACACAGAAATCAGAAGTCATTAGCATTTCAACCTTTTAGGCACATTTGTCTTCATGCTGAATCAGTTTCCCAAATTTATTTGAATTGTTTGCCTTTTATATTGTTCCCCAACTATAAAAAAAACAGGTAAATGCTTTACTGTTTTACATAAACCCCTTAATACAGCCGCTGTAGAGTCCGTGTCTGACGTCCCACAACGTTACCTTTGGTCCTTGGATCCCCTCTCCAGGTGGCCCCTGTGCACCAGGTTGTCCCCTTTGGCCAACTGAGCCCTGCAGGGAAAGACAACGTTCTAAAGACTTTATGGATACCAAAACAATTCATGTAAAAGGCAATTTATTTATAAAACATGAATCACGAATATTAATTTGGAACAGGATAGATTACCTTTGGACCGATTATGCCAACCCCGGCTGGCCCCGCAGGTCCAGGAGGTCCAGGCAAGCCTCTGTCTCCCTGAACAGGAAACCAAAAGTTACAAAGAAACGGGATGGATATATCTCATTCACCTGAGCAATCTAATCTCAGGCTGGAAAACGAAGGAGCAATAACGGAAAAAACAACGTGTCAATCTTAAAAAATCTTTAAAAACCGGGGCTTTAAAACAAAGATGGAATACTTAAATATATAAACACAGCAGGAAACCAAAATAAATAGTGTTTCTCATTTTGAGTAAAACTTTTTCATTATTTTTATCTCCTCACACACCTTTGCTAACATGCATAAACAAACTAAAGTCAGAGTTTATTATCTCTCAATATCCCACAGTAAGTCCTACAGGATAAACAAAAACCTTTAATGGGCAACATTAGCAAAACACACAATGTATTGCGGTGCAATAAACTACACACAAAGCATCACAATGCATTCAATACCAACAATAGCAGCACAATAACACAACATACATAAACACGTATGCAGTGACAGAAACAGTTTAACTTCTATAACAGAGCATAACACAACCGGGCGCTTTACATTTCTATGGTTTTTCCTTCGGTGCTACTTGTACCTTTGGTCCTGGTAAGCCGTCGCCATCTGGGGGGGTCTCTCCCTTCAGACCAGGAGGGCCTGGAGGTCCCTAAAAAAGACGTGGTTGCAGCATTACATGGTGGGGGAGGCGGAGCGATGAAGAGGGCTGTGATGCAGGTCGATACTCACCGTGGGGCCGGGGGAACCGTCACCTTTAGCCCCGGGTGCACCGGGAGGCCCTGAAGACCCTCTGTCCCCCTACCGAAAACCGAAACACGCTGACGTTATTTCTGTTTGGTAGAAGGATGAGTGAGGAGCAAACCGTGACCCACCTTGGCTCCGGTTAAACCCGTCCCCGGGTCTCCTGCAGCTCCAGCTGGACCCGGGGGGCCCACTTCTCCCTGACAAGAGAAAAAACACAGGCGTGGATCAGATGTTGTTGCTGACATTTGCTGAGGCTGTTTGTTTGCACCACGTGGTCTTGCTGTACCTTAGCACCAGCTGTGCCCGTCCCAGGGGGTCCTGTTGCCCCCGGTAGACCCATATGTCCTGGTTCCCCCTGAAAAAGAAGAAAGTTCAAACTAATAGACAAAGCAACAAGGTTTCCCTCAGCTGTTTCATTTTGTTTAGATTCGTTTTAGAATTATAATACTAATAATAAAAGTGTGAAAGCAACTCACTACTAATGAAATATGTTTTGAGGTGGTCATCAATGATGCGTTTGCTGTTCAGAATACACTGTTAAATGATTAGCCTTGCCCCTTAAAGAACGGAAGATAAGACAAATCTCTACTTAATAACCTTTTTTTCCTGATCATTTACTTTATTAAAAGAAGCCCTAGTGTAGAAATACTGTTAAAAGTAAAATCCCTTTATTTATTTATTCAAGTATACTCATCAAAATATGCAAACGGTTCTCCAATTTCTGAATAGACCGTTTCAGTATAATAAATTATGTAACTGGATTAATGTGCATCTCATTGTCATTGCATAATGTATTTTATTTGTTGGTAATATTTTGTATTCCAAATCTGAATCAAATGCAAAAGCAGTAACAATATTTTTAAAATAAATGTGAAGTACCGCAGAAGTATCGCACTTGAGTAAATGTACGTAGCTTCATGCCGTCCTGCACTGCACTTCTATTCTCGCGACTTATTTATAAGATCCACAAATGTGGCGGCATAATTTTTAAGTTGTTAACTCTCATAAAATGCATCTTTATATAACCCCTTACCTTTGACCCCATCGGCCCCACAGGACCGACTGCTCCGGGTCGTCCACTGGTCCCCGCGTCCCCTCTGTCCCCCTGTGACACAACAATCAATAATCCTCATTAACTCACCAGCTTTGGGTGAAGCCTTTAGATAAAAAAAATCTACCACAGTTCACATTCACTCAATCGTTTGCCAAATGTCCGTCACCTTTGCTCCAGGTGTGCCCTTATCAGGAGCCCCGTCGGGTCCCCGGGGCCCCGCCAGCCCGACGTCACCCTGCCGTCATTTGAAAACGATAAATAAACCATCGGACTGGTAACAGATATGAAAACATTATCTATTTGTATTTATATTTCAAAAGGAGAAAAACGGGTTGAGGTTATGCAGTTACCTTTTGTCCCGAGGCTCCATCCTCTCCTGGCTCACCTGGTAACCCTGGCAACACCTCCGCCCCCGGGTCACCCTAACAGAGGAGAGTTGTGTGCAGGAGCATCAGAGAATTAAGTAAACCACAAAAACCCTGTTAAAAAATGATCCGATCAATTAAAAAGTCAGCTAACTGCACGTTTAAAGCTCACTAACTAGAATAATATTTCTTGCTTGTCTGATTTGTAGAAAAACCAAATGACAATTGTTGATGTGTGGCTAAGCTAACTAGCTTTCTGCTCATATGCGTACAGACAGGTAAGTGGTATCTGTGTGTGAGCGAGGTGAGAGGACTTACTTTAGGTCCTGGTTCTCCAACGCCTCTCTCCCCTGTCAGTCCGGGATCACCTGGAGGGCCCTGGTCCCCCTAAAACATCACAACAGCCACACAGGGAGAGAGGTAGTCTGTTAAATGTACAAATGAATCAATGTACCAGAACTAAATGGGAAACAAACATGATTGAAGTTATGAAAAACCACAGATGGCATTTTCTCTGCTATGAGACCGAAGCGTTTGATTGACAAGCCAGCTGTGTTTCTCCGGCGCATTTATGTGATGAAATATGCAAAATAATTCAGATGCAATCGGACGGGGAATCAGCAGACTGTCAGTCATGATTATGATCTAAACTTCTGTCTGTGAAGCAAACACCTCCTTACCTTTGGTCCTGTTATTCCAGGACCGTCAGCTCCTCTGGGGCCTGAAGGACCAACTGGGCCGTGATCCCCCTAAAAAAAAGAATGAATCAATCGAAATGATGGGAGCAGGTTTGAGGCGCTGGAAACTCTCTGTACATCACGTTTGAATATTCAGAAAGTGTTAAAATGAGTAACTTTGATTGAGGTACTTAAAGAACACTTTAAAAATACTCCAACTAGTAAAAGTCCTGCATTCAAAACATTACTGAAGTAGAAGTTTGTAAGAATTATCAACAAATTGTACGCTAGGCATCAAAGTATTGATTGTGTACCATAATGGGTGTTTTTTAAGTATGATTTATGATATTTCTGGATTGATATGCTGCATTCATGTAAATACTGCTATCAGTGATGTAATGTCATTTATAAGGAAAACATCAAGCGGTCCAATAATGTAGTGAAGTGAAATGTCTCACTGAAATGTGATATTGGAAGATGGTATGAAAAGGAAATACTCAAGCAAAGAACAAGAACCTCAAATGTATTAAGTACAGTATCTGAGTAAATGTTCTTGTACCTTTTCTCCTTGAAGTCCTAAACCGACGGCACCTATTGGACCTGGAAGCCCGAGAAGCCCACGACTTCCCTGAATAGAGAAAAACAAGCATCCAAGCATCCGAGGACGTAGGTGAGTGCAAGTAAATGAGGAGCGGTGTGGCCCTTACCTGGTCACCTTTGACCCCAACACCATCAATCCCCAGATTGCCCTGTGGACCCTCGTATCCTCGGTCCCCCTGAAACAAGAAGGGTGGACGTGTGACGCAGACGATCACACACATCCGAAGCTAAGAGCCTTTCCACAAACACGTGCAACGCACAAACCGAGCAATGCAGAACACAAACGATGATTCAACAATGACATTGTGAAAGGAGGAATTGCTGGACCCATGCAAAGCGTTGCATACTTATAAGCACCATAACACTCTATCCAAGTGTCAACATTAGCATATGATTAGCTTTTTAATTATTTATAAGTTATGGCCAAAAGTGTCCTTTGTAAGCTCACAGTGACCTTCAAACATCAAGAACTTTTGCTCTAAATATAAGGAAATTCCCTCCAGGCGCTTTCACGAGAATGGGAAACCGTACCAACAAACCCCAAACATAACATACATTTGTTTTACAAGGAAACAAGCTGAATAGTGTTTAAAACGAACATGATGCAACGTGAAAAAAATAATGACTGAACAATGTGAAATTGTTCACAGTAGGAAGAATATGCGAGATAGAATAACGTTGTTTATTGACCAAAGTGCAGAATTGTCTCTTGACATTGCAGATCAATATATTGTTATTATTGTTATTGTTTACTGTAGCACACCTTTGAGATCGTTCTTCTTTAGAACCTGACCCACCTTCGGTCCTGGGAGCCCCTCTCCAGGTGGCCCTGGGATTCCTTGTGCTCCTGGTGATCCCGGGGGACCCTGAAATCAAGCCAGAGACTTTTAATCTGAAATCTTCGGTAAAAGCCGCCATGAAACAGTGACGAGGCTCAGAATAAAGAATAAAGGCGCCACGTTGCATATTGTTTGCTGCAGGTGGCAGCAGGGCTGTGAAATACTGTTCAAAACTAGCAGGAAAGTGAACACGCTCATGTTGGCGGTATTACATGCATTCAACAAAATTAAAGTCAGATGGAAAAGCCATCCTGCATACGTGATAACGTTCTCTGGATTAGAACTATTATTAAATTCTAATCTTTAATACATGTATTTTACAGTATTAAAGTATTGTACTTTTTACTTCACTACATCTATTTGAAAACTAAAGTTACTAGTTACTTTGCATTGCACTTTATATTCTACTAAAACATTTGCTCCACCTCAACTAGCCGTGATATTAAAATCTGTGTCAATGCATCAATAATAAAATTCAAGTTATTACTGTTTAGGGGATATTATTCATTTAAATGACTTGATACAAAGTTGATTTATCAGGTAATACTTGAGTTGTAATACTCAACAGTTTGAATGCTAGACATCTACTTGTTTTTAAAAGATGTAGTGAGTAGTAGTAGTTCTTGGTAGATTTGCATGTATTTATTTTCTAAACTTTGCTCAAGACGTTGATGCATGAATTTATACAAGACATTGTTTAAAATACTCACTGGTAGTCCTGGTTCTCCGATACCAACCGGACCTGTGGGACCGGATCTTCCCGGAATTCCTATTTCACCCTGTAAGCGTCAAACGGCACCAAACGGCATCTTTCATAATGTTCCAGTAATTCATTAAAGTGTCACAATATGTATTCCATCTCTGGCAAAGGCCTCATTAGCTTCTCGTTCTCAGAGAAAAGGACTTAGGAGAAACTATTTCATTTAAACCGTGACCATAAGATAACATTGGTATATACTTACACCTACGTCTTGTATTTAGAACAATGCTCTACTGACAAGAACAGGCTCACACTGGTACGCATACAGTGTACACTGGAGAAGCATATTACACGGTCAAGTAACTAAACCACAGGGCAAAAATAATGGCTCCAAGCATCAGCTATTCACAGGCCAAGAGCGGACCGGCTGCTCCCCCAGCAGAGGGCAGTCACTATGCACATCTGTGAATATGTCAAATACACTCAAAGGTCCAGATTAAGACCTGAATCCATCAATTAAACAACAAAATACCAAATGGTTTTCAGTGACTGTTGAGAAAATTTAATTTGTCTGTTTTTAAAGATAAGATAGATAGGATGTAGTACATCACAGAACAGTCCCTTGAGAACACATTTAGGCACATTTGAGGGAGATGATATGAATGTTTCTTATGTTTGTATCAAAGAGTTACCTTAGCCCCTGGGAATCCGATACCGACGCTGCCCGGTGGTCCAGGAGCACCGCTGCGTCCTCTGTCCCCCTGCAGCAAGTGGACACGTTCAGAGCGGAACAATGTTTTCAGCTCTTTTTATTTTATGCAAACAATAAAGATTCTGTGGAACTAACATTTTGCCCAAATGTCCTGTGGTCTGTCTGGGGTGCGCTGCGGTTGGATACTATTTTCTAATTATGAACAACAATATTCTTCAGTTTACCAAATAATCATGCTTTCACAGACTGCTGGACTCTTTAGCAGGTTGATGGCTGAAAATGTATTATAACAAAATTAGAAACACGAGAAGTAAAACTTTCTTACTACTAGTTGGATGCCCTGACTATATCACAATGAACTACAGCGGCTTCTTGTCATCCCACTGCGGTTGCCAGGCAACAGGTGGAGATGCACGGTGGCACGGTGGGTTTTTTCCTGTGTACTTTGGACAGAGCCAGGCTCACTGTTTCTTAGTGATACCGGCAAGTGTTTTAAATCGACATGTCGTGGGGTTTTGTTGTTGAAATACACATTAATCCAGCCAATCAAATTGCAGAAAAGACCCATTTCAATGATTGGTTTTAGGGGAACTTACTTTAGGTCCCGCCTGTCCCTTTGGTCCCATGTCTCCTTGTTGTCCCTTTTCAGCCTGCAATGAAAGAAGAAACATCACACACAACGCAACATTTACATTTGCTTTAATCTAACGTTTTCGCCCTGTGATTTTCTGAATTCTAACACCCAACTTTGATCACGTACGAGGCTAAAACGAAGCCTCCACATTGTACGACCCAAGCTGCAGGTCAAAACCCACCAACGCCACTTCTGAAGTCCCTTAAAACAACCCGGTTGCTTTCATGTCGTTTGATTCTCAAGCCAAAGCTCACGAAATAACACGGTTGTAATGACATTGTGCCAGCAGCACCAGGGGAGGGAGAGTGGTGCCGGGTCCGCGCACTAATCCCACCTCACAAAGAATAATATCCTGCAAGCCTGGATTCACTGCTTCGGATAGCCACATCAGTATCAGGATTACCCATAAGCCAATATTCACATTCCATTAGTGCAGAGATGAAAAGGAGACAGATTCCACTTCCATCTTCCCCATCGGAGTGAGAACAGGCCGTCTGATGTCTGCGTATCAATATCAACAGCAGGCAGTAATCTGTATGTTCAGGAGCACGGAGGATGAGATCAGGAAACCGCCGGTTGGATACGGTCAAATATTTAATGAATACATTTCAATATGGAATTCATCCAGATGTTCTCCTGCGATAAGAGAATCACAAGTTGTCTGAAAGCGTACATCTAGGCATCATATTTTCTGACTCCTAACCAGAAGAAAATATAATACAGGCTTAGAAAATAAATAGCTACCACCAAGAAACTTAAGACAATCATTCTTTTTGTTTGGGATTTTCTAAAATCTTCATTTTAAATCTGCAAATGAGGAATAATCCATCACTAATTTATGGTAAATCATGACAAGTCTTCGGACATAAAATTAGTTATAAAAACCTTAATCATGTATTTTTTATATTATCTTTCTGATCTGAAAAAGTCATGAAATATCAAAACCGACTCGTGTATGAAAAAATACTTTAGTTTAAAGTGATTTAATTAAATCTAATAATAAATCCGTCATCAAGATCAAGGCTCTTTGCCTCAAGCTTCAAGGTTTTTGAGTATCATGTGTTCTGCTGGTATTTGACAAATAAAATGTCATGTCAATCTATCTGACAATTGTTGAGCCGACCTTCTCAAAACATCAAATGTGAAGCTCATAGTGGCGGAAAAGGGAAATTGCCTTTGAACTGTTTTTAGGGTTGAAAATGAGCAACATTTATCCAAAAGGCCGTCCTGCACCTGTTTTCCTTTTCTTCCTCTCTGGCCTGGTGGTCCCTCGCGTCCCTGCAAAATGACCAAGAAATGATTTACGAGAGATTAAATCTGAGGCACCGATTGAAATAATGTATTGGTATTTACACAATGTCCCCCCCCCCGCAGTGCCAGTTTCCTCTCCCCCCCAAATGACCAACGAATAGATTGAAGATTCCATTGTATGTGCTGAGAATAAAACTATTAGCATGCAGCTGGAGTCACCCACCTTGTTTCCCTTATAACCTGGATGACCCTGTCAAAGGTGAAAAGGTCATCAAATCTGAATTTCTTGGTATTGTTTCATAACTTTTTTAAATTTCTTTTTACCTCTGGACCTTCAGTTCCAGGTCGAACGTTCAAACCGGGCTCCCCCTTAAAAATCATGAACTAACTTAAAATCAGCTGCACCAAAAAGAAATCAGACAATAAAGAGGGTTGTTTTGTTTGTGTCATGACTCGTTCTGTTTAGACCGGGTGTCCCTCTGAAGCCTCGGTCACCTTTTCTACCCTGGAATTAACAATCGTTGAACGAGTATCCTACAATTACAGGAAAGGTTACAGTTTCTCTGAGGGAACTTACTGGACGTGCTTGAGGGCCTCTCTCTCCTCTTTCACACGAGCACGCTTTAGCCTGTGGACACTAAGACAGAGACAAACCATACACGCCAGTGCAAACACCTACACCGTTTAGTTAATGAAGGAGAAAATGATGGATTGCGCTGAAAGACTTACCCGGTCCAATGCGACGGCACCCTGGATGCAAAACACAAGGTACGAAATTTTTGTGGAGGTTCATTCATTCACAGAAAAGCTCAATTTATTTGCTTTCAGCGAGATCTTAGAACGTTCTTGTTTGCCCTCGACACAATTAGTTTTTTCTGAGCAAGCTGTAATTGTGAATGAACAATGTCACGCCGTTCCGAGCAGCAGAACAAGCCATGAAACTCTCAGACATCCAGATATTGGATATTTGTGTGTAAAATGTGTTTGTGTGTGTGTGTGTGTGTGTGTGTGTGTAAAAAGGCGCAACACAGCATGCAGCAGCTGTCAGGGACGTTTGTTTTCACAGCTTCAACCAAACAAGTGGAGGTGAATACATGAAACATCTGCTTTAATTTGGCTGCAGAACCCCTGAAGCATCTTCTAGCTCAGAGGTCCCAAATATCTCTTGGTCTGTTCCCAACATTTTTTTTGCTTTGGGATGACACCGATGTTGTGTCAATGCGGGCCGCATCTTAACGGAGGTCATCTCGCATCCATGAGCCGACGCTCACCATCTCCATGAGCATCTTCTCCTGCAGCTGACCGTCCAGCAGACTGTGGACAGACTGCGTGCTGCCGACGGCCCGGAGCTTGGCCGTGTTTCGTCTCAGCAGAGCGACCCCCGACAGTCCCACGGTGAAGATCTTTATGCCGTGACCTTTGGCCTCTGCCGCGGCCTCGACGGCATCGGGGCCGCGCGGTTCGTCCCCCCCGTCGGTCATCAGCACCGCGACCCTGACGCTGTCCGCCGGCGTCTCCTGCGCCAGCAGCTGTGAGGCGTTGGCGACGGCGTGGCCGCTGCGGGCGCCGCGGCCCATGTAGGCCATGGCGTCGACTCGACTGTGAAACGCATCCAAGTCCGTCCAGGCCGAGAAGCGCTGCTCCACGGAGACGGAGACGCTGTACTGGAGTGCGGCCAGTCGGATCTTCAGCGCGCGGCCGTCCACCCGCAGCGCGGAGAGGCGGGTGCTGAAGCCCAACACGAAGGCCTTCTGCTTCTCAAACAGGAATATCGTTGCACTGTCGGAGCTGTCCAGGATGAAAACCACCGCCAGTGAACATGTCCGACCTGTGGGAGAAGAGACAACGAAACCTCAGGTGAATGCAGAGATTCAACATGCAAGAGGGGGATGTCTACAGACAAATACGATACGTATTAAAACAAGGAATCTCAAGAAATATCCTTGCAAGGTGTCTTCCTTTTGAGATTTGATATACTTAGAAATGGATTTGTTAAAATATTAATATAATACTGTTGACATTTTCAATAGTGAATAAAGTCCCAAATATCCAGGTCCCACCCGTAGGGGCTTTAAAGCCAACAACTTGTATGCAAAGATGCATATAATTTCTCACCCTTAAGTTTGATTGTGAAAAATAATCTCAATTTAAACCAGGACAATCTGCCTGAAATAACTACAAATCGATGTACAGCGGCCCTCAGAAACAAGGAGACCTACCTCATCTATTCACTGGAGCAGTTATGAAGAGAAATACATCAGAGAAAGAGTGAGAAGGCGGCACATGGGGTGTGCAGGGTGACAATTGGTAAGTGGTTGCTTTAAAATGGCGTTTTTATCCAGAGCGCTTGACAGTTTGTAAGCTGCTCTGTGAGGTGCGAGACCCTCAGCACCAACACGTGGATCCTTCATATGGAGAAATTACCATCTTCTCCATCGTCATTCAGCCTGTAGCTGCTCTCGCGTCCGATCTTCCTCCTGTGGCCCGAAGCCTCGTGTACGAGAAGCAGCAGCAGGCAGAGCCCCACTCCTCTCCACAGGTTTCCCCTCGGCGACTTTTCCATCCTGGCAGAGAACGGAGAGCACGAGACCAAGTTTTGTGCAAAGCTAAACACATCCAGTCAGTATTAGATTCTATCTTGCATTGTACACACACACCGAACACAACAGAAAGTGTTAGGCAATGTGAGATCTGTTTCAATCCTGTTGCTGATGTTGATAATGTGCTTTATAAAAATGCCTCAAACAAGCGTGTCAATCTATGACATTAACATAAATCCAATCAAATTCATTTGAAGTTATCTTCAAAGTAATTGAGGTCATGCACAGTACATTTTTAAATGTAAATTAATGACAAACATGGACAGTATTATTGTCTAAGCTGTAGTACACACATTACAATGTAACACAACACAACAAGGGACTAAATCAAGTGCGCATACTTTATTAGACATGCAAATAAAAAAGTTATGTTACCTTAAAATCTCATTTAGCTGCAGTCAGTACTTGTAGTCCAGTCGGCTGTAGCATTTCACTGCTTGGTGAAGTCCTTTAAACCGGGTTGAGTCCCCCTGAGGGCCGTCAGATGAGAAAGTGGGTGTGTGTTCCCGGGGGCCTCTGGACAACAAACCAATCTTTTTTTTCTGACGAACCTCCCGCAAAAATATACACATTGCGTAGAAGATGGACTTCACTTTCTTGCCCTCAAAAGACATGTTTATCTAAATAAATCTCCCGTAATAGTACAGACGAACCATGTAACGTTAAGGTTATTAAAGAAGCATTGAGGTATTTTTGCGCCCAGGGAGAGTTATCCTCATTAAAACACTTTATGGAATTTAAATTTGGAGGATTAATTCAATCTTTTCTTTGGGTTTTGTGTAGTTGGGTTTTTGAGGCTGTGCGTCCAAAACGATTATCAAAATATTTAGATAATGTATGTAGGTTTTAATAATTTGCATTGCTTTTCTTTCTGTGTCTTTCCACACACTTTGTTACGGCGCCCTCTGGCGGTAAACGGCGCGCACAACAGCGCCTGACTGGAACTTTATTATATAAAGTTCGCAACCTGACGGACGTGTTATGGTGTAACACACAACATTAAGACGCGCTCGGAGTGTCCCTGATCGACATGTGCACACCACATTGTCATTCCCCCACTCGGTTAAACTATCTGCATGTTTGTAAGTAACAACATCATCGTTAATAGCGGGACGTTGTGTAACATATTTTCGACTGTTAGCTAGTTCCGCGCTAGCTAAACGGGTTTTCTGCCAGCATGTCCTTCACTCGTTAGCATTAGCTTAGTGGAATTAGCATGTCAATAAACTTTGGACTTTAGTTTTAGCTTTGTCACACAGTAAACAAGCTGCATAATTTACCTCACGTGGCTCTTTTTTTAATCTCAAACCAATACTTTGCAGACTAGCTAGTTAAAATCAGGCTGCTAACCTTTTTGCTTTGCAATTATCAGCAGTAACGTTTACATGACACATAGTTTAGCTAATAAAAGTTAAACATTTAAGATAAAAACATCATGTTTGTGTTATTTGTCAATCTTGTCTTTTGGTTTTATACATTTTTGCCCCTATTAGTATTCATTTTTCATTTTCTTTGCTCATCTGTCCATATTCCAGGTTGGAGAAGGCCGATTTAGTTGAGATCCTTGTAGCTGCATCTGAATCATGAGTGGCTCCAAGCCGGACATCCTGTGGTCTCCTCACCACCCGGACCGCTATGTTATCTGTGACTCAGAGCTGGGACTGTATCGCATCGGACCCGTGGGCAGCTCAGAAACCAAACCAAAGGAAACTGCTGCCACACTACTGGCCATTAACTCGGACACCCCTTACATGAAATGTGTGGCCTGGTACCCGAAGCATGAGCCAGAGTGTTTGCTCGCTGTGGGCCAAGCTAACGGCAGAGTGGTGCTCACCAGCCTGGGGCAGAGCCACAACTCCACGTATAAAGACCTGGTGGGGAAAGAGTTTGTGCCCAAGCACGCCCGGCAGTGCAACACGTTAGCATGGAACCCGGTGGACAGCAACTTGCTGGCTGCCGGTTTGGACAAGCACAGAGCTGACTTCTCTGTCCTCATATGGGACATCAGCAGCAAGTTTTCCCCGGAGGCCAGTGTGGCCTCCGAGAAGAGCCGCTTTTCAGCCGTGGAATTGGACTCGAGCACAGTGGTGACCAAACCGTTGTACGAGTTAGGCCAAAACGACGCTTGCCTGTCCCTCTGCTGGCTGCTCCGTGACCCAAAGCTGCTGTTGGCCGGCATGCACCGCAACCTCGCAATCTTTGACCTGAGAAACACGAGCCAAAAAACATTCGTCAACACTAAGGCCATCCAAGGCGTGACCGTCGACCCACACTTCCATGACCGCGTGGCCTCTTTCTTTGAGGGTCAGGTGGCCATCTGGGATCTGAGGAAGTTTGAGAAGCCCGTGCTCACGCTCAACGAGCAGCCGAAGCCGCTCACTAAGGTGAAGTGCGGTTGGTTTCCCAGGAGATGAGCAAAATGCCCAGTTAAAGTTGTGATAATGTTGTTGAAACATTAAAGTAGATTGTGAAAACAGAAAGTTGCATTTTAGCAACATGCGTATTTCCTCCCTCGTTTCAGGTGGCTTGGTGTCCAACTCGTAACGGCCTGCTGGCCACGCTGACCCGCGACAGCAACATCATCCGCCTGTATGACATGCAACACACGCCCACGCCCATCGGCGACGAGACGGAGCCCACCATCATCGAACGCAGCGTGCAGCCGTGTGAAAGCCAGATCGGCAGCTTTGCCTGGCACCCGTCCTCTCAGAACCGCATGGTGGTGGTGTCGGCGGCCAACCGGGTCATGACCGACTTCACCGTGTTCGAGCGCATCTCGCTCGCCTGGAGCTCCACAAGCTCGCTCATGTGGGCGTGCGGCAGACACCTGTACGACTGCGCGGAGGACGGCGCTGAGGGAGTGCAGGGCGCGATCGAGAAAGACATCGCCACGAAGATGAGGCAGAGGGCTCAGTCCAGCTACGGCCACGATACCGTCCAGGTGTGGAGGAACCACCTGCTGGCGGGGGGGAACGACTCCCAGCTCAAGTGTCTGTGGTACGATCTGTTTTATATCCTTTTTCGGTGGTGATGAGGGGAATGTACAATGAGACTACTGCGATTGTTTCGACAAAAATGTCTGATTAACTTTGTTTCTACTTTGGTCCGGTTTAAATAATGCAATGAAGTTTTGTCGTAATCCTGGTTCTTAACCACCTTCATGCATGTGTAATAAGTATGCTGTTAGAAATGCAACATCCGTTACAATTCCTATAAAAGCTTCACATATGAAGCTGTGCGCAGAGGACCCGGAGCTGAAACTCCAGGGGAACAAACAGTCGCTGGTCCACTCTGGTATCAAGAACATTGTGAAGACCAGCTCAGGTAAGTCCAGCGACTGACTGATGGTCTGAACCAATATTTGCCATGATGGACACTGACTGTCTACCTGGCTCCCCCCACCCCCCGTTAGGTACAACAGAGAGTCGCAGGTGCTGGAGTGGCTCAGACCGGCAGACCGATGTTCCCCGGTACCACAGCGAGGAGCGCTGCCTCGCCCTGCGGCTCTGCGGCTGGATTAGCAGGGGTCCCGACATCGACGTGGAGGTATTCCTGCGGTCGCTGGAGCACGAGCGCGAGTGGGAGCGGGCGGCCGCCGTGGCTTTGTTCAACCTGGACATCCGCCGGGCCATCCAGATCCTCAACAAGGGAGCCACTGCTGAGAAGGGTGAGTGGGTGCACGAAGGGGTAGAAGCGGGAGGAAGGGGGGACCAGGTGTATGTTTAAAGTCAAGGTTTAACCGGAAGGAAGCGTGTTTCCGACCAAACACATTGACATGTGCGATAATTCTAACTTTTAACTTTTTATCATTTTAGGTCGCAGATTATTTTCTTGGTTAATCTGTGAAAAAAATCCATCACTATTTGTCACAGCGTCTTAAATATTATGGTTTAATTCTTTAGCGGCGACCAGTAGGTCATAAAGATAATTCTATCACTATATGTCCAAGTTGTTCAAAATAGAGGAGGCATTAAATCAATTTAGCCAATAAAAGAGTGATAACATGTGAACTAACTTTCTCTCTTACTGAGATCTTATTGATTTGCAGTAAAGCGCGATCTGCCTCTGCAGTATTGTGCTTCTGTAACGTTGTGCTGCTTTAACAGGAAACCATGTAAGCAACATTTATAAAGATATGTTGTCAGGTCCAGAACGTGTTTAAAAACTGCTCAGAAGTAGTTAACTATAAAATAGGACTTTATAAACATAGTTTATGCCTCAGCGTCTGTTTTCGTGTTCCAGTTTCTCAACAAATTAAGTTAAACTCATTAGGAATTTAAAAAATGTAACAGCAGGAGGACCTTGTTTTCCACACAACACTCGTCCTGTAGTGCTTTTCACACTGAGGATTAACAGCAATGCGGAGAGAACGCTGTTGTTTGCGTATGTCGTGACTTTGGAAAATTCCACGAATGTAGGTCAAATGTTTTCCACTCATTTTCAGAACATGACTTGACGGGGCGATTCATTAGATACGGTGCTGAACAGGGTTTGTTCTCAAACAGCAGCTTTGAGTTTATGTTCTGTTTTGGATCTTCACATTGGCCGTCTCAAAAAGATCCAGCGAGGTGATAGTCGAGTTTGATGAGTAACCACGAAACATGAAGCTGTAGCCACGCGATGCTGATCTTATCTTAGAGGCTAAACCTGTTAAATCTGTTTTTATTCCAAAATCTTGCAGCACCTCTAAAGCTCATTAATTTATACTTTTTGTTTACCAAAGCCCGTGTGTTAAAATGTCCTTTACATATGCTTTGAAGTCGATTTTTAAACCCTTTTCGGGTTTAACACACCCAGACAGAAGCAGGCTTGCCGTGTTCTGTTTTTATGCTAAGCTAACTGCCTGCTGCCTGTAGTTCCTCGTTTAGTGTGCACTCGTGAAACTGGATATGCGTCGTCACCAAAATGTCAAACTACTCTATTAAATCATTGACCGTTTTCTACATTGAGCAATGCCCGGAGCCTCAACACCTCTGGGAAAAATAAGCAATTTATGTTCTTAATTAATTGGTTTTAAGGACGCAGCATGAAGTTGTTCCGGATGTCAGCTGACTTTAAAAGAAATTACTTTATTCCTATTTCTCTCAACTTATTTTCATCGTGGCAAAAAGCTAGAAGTTAGAGTTAGAAGTTCCATCATAAGAACTTCATTATTATTTTTTTGTCCCACCACAGTGCTGCATTAAAGCCTATTCACAAAGTTAACAACCCCAGCGTGTCTGGCTGCTTCTTCCCAGGTGACCTGAACCTGAATGTGGTTGCCATGGCTCTGTCGGGCTACACCGACGAGAAGTCCTCCCTGTGGAGGGAGATGTGCAGCTCCCTGAGGCTGCAGCTGAAGAACCCCTACCTTTGCGTCATGTTTGCCTTCCTCACCAGCGAGCCCGGAGCCTACGACGGCGTGCTGGTAGTGAATCTCTTCCGATCAACGAACCCTCGTAGCTCTAATGCGAAACACCGGGAAGTGTTTAAAGACAGTAACTCGTATTCTAAACACTAATCGGTTGTTGATACTGCGTGATCTTTAATGGAGAAATGAACCATATTTAATATATATATATATATATATATATATATATATAAGGAAGAGACGTGTTTGAAACGCCTCAGACAGAATGTCCTCAGGACACCGAGTGCTCGTTTGTGCTCGTCAGATGTCGGCCACCTGCTGCTGTCACATTCATTTGTCTCTTTGGACCTTTCGCTGGCCAACAGGCTCTCGGCTTTTTGAATTGATTTAGCTGTAAAATAGTTTCCTGCAGAACTGTGTTCCTGGTTGTAACATTACAGGCTAAAGTTATTGATGCCAATATGGAGACGAATGCTGTGTACTGAGTGCAAGACGCTCGACGTAAAGCTTTTTTTTTTTTTTTTTTTTTCAGCTAACATCGTGGAGCAAAAATGAGTCATTTTGAAATGACGAGGGAAGTTGACATTCTGTTGTCTGTCTTTCAGTTTGAGAGCAGTGTTGCTGTGCGGGACCGCGTTGCCTTTGCCTGCATGTTTCTCAGCGACGCCCAGGTAACCCAACTAGATATGCATGATGGCGTTGCATTCCTCTTTGATTTGTGACATATTTGTAAATATCCCCGGGGTGTGCCTGCAGCTGCCTCGGTACATCGACAAACTGACCAATGAGATGAAGGAGGTGGGCAACCTGGAGGGCATCCTGCTGACAGGTCTGACCAAAGATGGCGTGGACCTCATGGAGAGCTACGTGGACCTCACTGGGGATGTGCAGACTGCCAGTTTCTGCATGCTGAAGGTACCGAAACGTAGTTACGGCTTAGTTAATGTTTAGTTCTTTTTAGTTTTGTTTCATTTGACCTCGGTTATAGCTCCCCCGGCAAGCCTCTTGGCTCCTTCAGAAAGCATTTTAGGAGATTCAAAGTTACAAACCGATTGATCGAGGACGACATGGAGTCACATTAAATGTAAAAATGAAGCGGTTTGTTTTCTCTGAGTTGCCCTTTCTCCGTGCCAAAGAACTTTTTAATGTTTGGGCGTTTGATTCATTTTGCCAAATAGTTTGCTGGCTTCATATAAAGTTTTTTTGTTTTGTTTTTAACTACTTTTAAATTATTTTGATTTAGAATATTTAAAAAAGTCAGTTGACGACAAGATGCAACTGTCAGTTTGATCACACCGCAGAAAAACACTCCAAAAGCACATGCTAAAACTTGATAGCATACTCTTAAAGGTCACAGCTGTTCTGTGTTCTTAAGCTAATTGTTCACTCCACTAACAAGCCGAAGCAAGCAGTCGTCTGCTCTCATGCTCTTATTTCGAAGAAGAAAGGTGCCAAAGTCAAAGCAGTGGAACGGGTCTGTAACTTATTCAACATGCTGGAGAACAACTCGCTTGCATCGTCCGTGGTTCTTTTTTCCTGTCCTGACCTGCTACTGAATAAAGTCCTGCAGGGGACAAGTTAACCACCACCTGTGCGTCAGATGTGCATACTTCACATACAGGTAAAATATTCCAACAGGGTTCCCCGGGTGACGTGTTGAAAGACCCTCGAGTCCAATGCTGGATCGAAAACTACCGCAACCTGTTGGATGCTTGGAGATTTTGGCACAAACGGGCCGAGTTTGACATCCACAGAGGCAAACTGGACCCCAGCTCCAAACCACTGGCCCAGGTAACTGGAAGCTGTGTTCATTATTTCAGGGTTGTACCCAGCAAGTGTTTCAGTGGTGTGACCGGTAATCTTGTAGCACGCTTTACTCTGGGCTTTTAACATTCAATTCTCCTCAGATCTCCTCTTAATATACTACACCCTGTGTGTACATAACACAGTACTAGTACATGCGTCCCAGACATCTTTCTCTCTCACATACCTCTCCACTCCTTTGGATCATCAGCTATACAGCTGACAATTGACACTGACAATCTGACAAGAACATCTCAAACATTTGCTGGCTTCTCAAATGTGAGGATTTTCTGCTTTCATGGGCCTCATGTTGCTCTTGAATCAAAGCGGTTGTACGCTCTAACCATAAATTTGTGTGATTTGATCGTTGCGACTCTAATGTGATCAGCTCACTGTCCAGTTTGTTTGCAGCCATGGATAGTGTGACGCTTTTGCGGTTTATTACAGCACAGGTAGTCCGTGCCAAGCAACACCCACAGCTCTGCTGCTCTCCAGATCGTGTCATGAAAATCTGTGTTCTAGCGAGCGATCCTCCTTGTTTCTTCTGACACGACACACACTCTAAATTCATCCCTTTTCTTATAAAGCCTTATGCAGACAGAGCCTTTAACTGCGCCGGTTCTGCCAGCACACCTCTTCACCGCCCAAACTGCACCGCTGACATTCCAAGTTCCACAGTTAAGCAAATTAGGCTTATCTCGCGCTTATCTCGCCGTAGCCTCGAGGGTTAAAATCAGACAGCTGGCAAGCGGTCCCTCTGCAGGTGTTTGTGAGCTGCAACCTCTGTGCGACAGGTGTTTGTGAGCTGCAACTTCTGCGGCAAGTCCATCTCCTACAGCTGCTCGGCGATGCCGCACCAGGGCCGCGGCTTCAGCCAGTACGGCGTCAGCGGCTCGCCCACCAAGTCCAAAGTCACCAGTTGCCCCGGCTGCAGGAAACCGCTGCCCCGCTGTGCTCTCTGCCTCATGAACATGGGCACACCGGTCTCCAATTGCCCAGGTAGGCCGGGCTGCGGGGGGGAGGGGGGTGCAGGCAGGTGCTCATGCCGGCATATTGGTGCAAGGGTTCATAACCGAGCATTTCGGACTTTGATCCTCAGAGGCAGCTGCACCTCGAGGTTCAGTGGCTTATCCAGTTTGTTTTATTGCTGCGCTCACCCCTACTCTCGCATAGATAGTACATTATTTTTTTATTGATGGCTAATATTGACTTTTGAGGAATCCCTTTGGCAGGAACAGGGAAGTCGGACGAGAAGGTGGACTTGACGAGGGAGAACAAACTGGCTCAGTTCAACAACTGGTTCACCTGGTGTCACAACTGTCGACACGGCGGCCACGCCGGCCACATGCTCAGCTGGTTCAGGTGGGCGCTCTCATGGGATGCGTGCACACGTGGTTCATGCAGATGGTCTGTGTACCTCCTTGTCAGTTAGATTTTCCAATTCAGTCCAAAGATAAAAAAAAGTCACAATCCATCAGTGCAAAAGGGGAATTTTATTCAAGTTAATACAATGTGGACACAAGCTGTGCCGAAAACGCTCTCTCTGCAGTAAGCGTGGAAGGCAAAGTGATTTTACCGAATTAGAAAAAGTACTCTCGAGATACCCGTCACTTAAGCTTGTAGTTGTCGATCTGACAAAACGATGGAAGAGTAGAAATGAATTTCCAGGGGCAAAACCCTCTGCTCCATTTTATTAGTTGAAAATCCATAAAAATGTTTTTTTGTTTTTTTTGCATGAGCCAAAATAATGTTTCTCCCCAAAAGCCTCTTTGCGGGTTTCTAATGAACAGAAGGTACTCCGATCTTTTCGCCATAACTTATATACCTACTGTTAACTCCTTTTTCTTCCTTGGGTCCATGTTGTGCGTTTTGTTTTTTTAATTGAGCCTCCTGTATCCGTTACAGAGACCACACGGAGTGCCCGGTGTCTGCTTGCACGTGTAAATGCATGCAGCTGGACACCACAGGGAACCTGGTGCCGTCAGACAGCAGCTAAAAGGGACGCGCTCGTCGGAAAAGCGAAGCCTTAAAACGAGCTGGAAGACGACCGTCGCCCTTGGAGGCCGCCACGCGGTGACAACCTGGGGGGGGGCCGGACAAAGGGGACCAGCGGTGTCCTCCAATGAGGTGGCTGCTTGAGTAGAGCGCCGTACTGTTTAAGTGATGTCTGATGTAAAGTTATAACAGAGCTTTATATGAAGAAGGGAAAGTGTGTGTGTGTGTGTTTCACTGATCTTACTAACTAAATCAATGACTGAAAGGGAGTAAACGCAAACTCACTGCTCTGCTAATGTAAATCCTGACTCAGAGGAAACATGAGCGCTTTAATCAACCTCACCCAATCCAACCTGAATCAGGATTACAGTTGTATTGTGATCTATTAACAAAAAACCACAAACATCTGATCAGCGGTGCTAATATGTGCGAGCTGTATGTGTTACGGGCTTTTTTTTTTTTTTTTTTAACCTGTGTTCGTCTCACGAAAGGATCTTTGCATACCTCATGAAAGCATCGGCGGGGGGGCGGTGCCCCTGGCGACTGTGCGGATTGTAGCGTGCACAGGAACACCATCGTGCTCTCTCCGTGTTTCTCTGTGCCACTCTTCATCTGGTATTGTGTGCAAGGGTTTCCAGTGTTGGAAGGGGTGGATGAGGAATTGGAGAAGCTTGGGAGTTGGGGGGTCGAGGGGGGGGGGGTGATCGGTGATCGGGAGCCGGGGTGGGAGGGTTTGCGTCTGTATTCACCAGCCCACTCCAGGCCTGTGGTCCATGAAAGAAGCTCGCCAGAAAACAGCAGCTGCTCGGCACTCTGACAAGACCCTCCAGATTGTTCCCTTCATAAAGAACCTCAGCTGCCGGAACACTATTGACTCAATGGGAGGGCGAGGGAACAGACAGCCTGCGCCCTGCGCCCCCGCAACCCCTTCGACATACACAGACCTACCCTCTTTTTCTCTCTGTGGTGCCCAAATTGCAACCCCCCCCCCAAAAAAAAAAAACTATGCATACCACACATCAATCCAAGGATGGGTGCCGTCTGTTGGGGTTGTGGGGGGGCGGCCGTGTGTAAGCCGCATTGTAAATGGATCTTTCTCTCTTTCTCTGCCACCCTCCCCGCTCTGTCACTAACCTAGGGAGCCATTGTAAGTGAGAGGCGGCCTGCACCAGAGCTGGCTAAATCACTTAGTCATGGAGCAGGGAGGAGGTGAGGAGGAGGGAGGAAGAGGAGGAAGAGAGGGAGGGGGGGGGCATAGGAGCTACTGTATGCGGCTTTCACCAGGAACTCCTCTCGGGGTGGGAGGCTTTATATAGGCCTGCATGCCCTTTTGTGAACTATTTTGAAGGAGCGGACAAATTGGCGAGCCGTGTAGCGTCCCAAAAAATACAGGGTGGCTGGAATTTCATCCTTTCAGTGTGTCTTGTGTTTGCCTTTTTAAATAAATTCCAAGTGACAAATTGGAAGCTGTGTTGAATGGGGTGTTTTCCATAAGTCTACATGGTTTATTTTTACATTATGATGTTTCATAGAAACAGATGGCGTGGGCTTTTCTATCCTGTGCGTGCTTTATCTTTTTCTTTAAAGCACTGAGTTAAAAAACATTCTCTCGTGGGAACTCTCACAGACCGTCGGTGCAGGCTGAAAGATGGACACCGTGGTTTACAAACAATAGATTTTGCACATTGAATGTAGTAATACACGTCTTGATCTTGGAATTTGATTGGAAGTTGATTCTTAACCTTCAAAACAGCTGTTGACCTAACATTATTTCCAATAGATCCTAGATGTTCTGGAGCTTTTTAGATTTAGTCCTAATCATCGGATGAAATTTGTCCAGTTGTCAGATTTCGTCTTTTTATTTCTTCCAAGCACTTGTCTTTGTTGGCTTGACAGTTGAGACAAACAAGACTTGTGTCCGCCTCAACACAATTAAAATCAATTTGACAAAGATATACAGTTCTCACCAGGTTAAACAAAAGTTATTTAAATTGTGTATGCAATGTTGGAATAAATATGGTCTGTATAATAGTTTGTGTTTTTATTTAATTGCAATGTGCCCAAGAAAACCGCGAATCTGCTTTTCCTCAACTGGGGAAACGCCATCTGCTGAACGAGGTCGTGTATGGAATGCCGTTTTAGTCAAAATTAAATAAATGAATAAATACGTAAATACATGAAATATGCATTTGAAATACATTATGAAATAAATAAATGAGGCAGAGGCCCGCCTCTGGATATTGGATTTCTCGGGTTGATAGACCGGACAACACAAAGTTAGCCAGCTTGTCGCCAGGAATATCCAGAGGCGGGCGTCCAGCACCTGTGCTTGTAGTACCAGCGCTAATCTCACGTCCCTTAGCCAGCCTTCTTTTGCACACGGCTCTGTTGTCTGTTTTGAATGTTAGATGTAGCCACGCCCCCTGATTTGCCTATAAGAACGTGAAATGTAAAACGGCATTATGAAATAAGCCTCTGGAAATGAAAAACGGCATTATGAAATAAAAGACTCTGGAAAGGAAAAACGGCATTATGAAATAAAATAATCTGGAAATGAAAACTGGCATTATGAAATAAAAGTACCATGAAATAATTAAATGTATTCAATATTTATGTATTTATTGCCTCATTTATTTATTTCATGATGTATTTCAATTCATGTATTTACGTATTTATTCATTTATATAATTTTGAGCAAAACGGCATTCCATAGTCGTGTGACGTTAATAATGATTGACAGCTCTTCAACAGCTGCTATATATAATATAATATAATATAACAATATTATGACTAACCGATACATACTATACATTCTACATACAGGCGGCACACATGTGCAATAGTTTGGTTTTACATCTTAATTTTCGGAAATAAACTTTACACAATAATAAGACGTTTCCACCTGATTGGATGAAAGTGCAGCCCATAGAAAGATTTCCACCAATCAGCGACATTACTGTACAGAGGTTGTATCCAATCAGAAGCTCAGGAGCGACAAGTGTAGCCCGCCTACAGGCATCCGCCAGTAGTCTGGCCGAAAGAACTGTCATTCAGTCTGAGTGGACATGACGGGGAAGACACTACAGGATCTGGAAAACACGAATTAAACGTCTCGAGAAGTACGGAAAACTACTTTTAAAGTTACTCGTGTGATGGTTTAACCGTAGTTTGGCATGTGTTAGTATCTTACCGGTAAGTTATCACCAAATAATGTGTCTTTTGGTCCCTCGAACGCATGAGTTGATTTCTTTTTTTTTAAAGGAAGCTAGCGTCTTTTTGTTGTTGCTAACGAGCTAATGTTTATCTTACCGTTCATTCTTTGCCCCCTCCCTCCCTCCCTCCCTCCCTCCTCTTCCTCCTCCTCCTCCTCCTGCTTTTAGAGAAGCAGCAACTTTGGCAGTACGTCTTTCCTCACTGCGATAGGAATTGCAGCCGGCCACGGAGGATGTCCGCCCCGAGCAACTCTCTTCAGCAGCCGAGGGTGAGACGCAGCAATGCGGGCTCCCCCGGCTCCTTCAACGGCAACGGCAGCGGCTGCCGTCTGCACCCCATCCGTGCCACCGTGCCCTTCCAGCTCCTGCGTGGGGGTCCGGGCAGCCCGACGCGGGCACAGACCCCCTACGGTGGAGCCACGAATAGCCGAGGCTCAAGCCCACCATCCAGCCCGTCGCTCAGTTCAGGAAGTGCAAACGTGAAGCAAAGACTGTCCCCCGAAAATAAGGACTCCTCCTGTACCACCGACTCTCCGGCTTCCAGAGGTAAAAAAAAACCCAACCTAAAACAAAAAAAAACTTTTCTTCAACTGCCTTAAATTAGATAGGCCACGAAATGCCATGTCACCACGTGCTGCTGCTAACTGATCATTTGTCATGTTAACTTTTGTTTTTTGCTGTCACGCCAACCAGTATACAATATACCTTTTTTAATCTTTCCAATTGTGCAAAACACGTGTCATATATAATATTTGATATGGTCACCTTTTAAAGTCTGGAGCAAGGTTGGCACGAGGTTGGTGGATTAACTATTTAGCCTGCTATCGATTTCCGCAGTCGGGCACTCATAAAGAGAATAGAGTGCACTCTTAGCTATCGTTACCCGTGGATTCTTGGATTCCACAGCAGAGGGGGAGGAGATGATTAGCAGAAAGACCTGATTTCATTTGTAAAATGGGCCACGTCAGTCCCAATAGTCTGAGCGAATAGTCAGGTGTTGACTCTCTTCGGTTTCTCCCTCCCATACATACAGCATGCACCACTCTTTTCACATCCTGAGCCGATGCCGAGCTTCAGCACACTTGCACAAGGAGGCCTGTGCTAGCTTGTTTCCTGTCATGATCAGCTGCTTGTTTTAGAAGTGATGAGAAGAAAAACTGTAGGAGGATGCGAGAGTCCAGGCGTCCCCAAATCTGCATTTACTAGTGTGTCACTAAGTCTCATCTATGTGACAGCCTTTCCTGCCAAGTATTGACGCTGAGGCTGGTTTTCCAGTAAAAGTAAAACTTTTTGTGGGCCAGAACAGCATTTATAATTTGTCCTAACTACCGCTTGTTTTTCATGTAAGTGGAGACCACAAGAGACCATCTCTGTTACCCTGAGTGGGTATTTCTGACTCCCATGAAAAGCACAAACTATTGTCACCGCAAGTGTTCTGCACTTAATGAGATTAGGTCGCATGTTGCAGCACAGAAACCACAACACTACAGCTGGATCAATGCCGCTGTCATTAGTCCCTGTTTAAAAGCTTCTCCCTCTTGAACTTTTTAACCAAAATGGGAGCCTGCCATTTTCAGTGCACGATTTTAGTTATTGTGGAATTGTGAGTGCTTCACATTCCTCCGTTCTTTGAATGAGATGACCTCCAACCTTGACCAGTGTACCATGCAAAGCAGGAAACAAAGTCTCTTCCATAACCGGCTCGCCAGGCACGACACATTTCTCCCATGTTTGGTTAGCGTTTGGTGTTGATTTCCCACCACGGTGACATGCCACACATACCTCTTTTTCTCTGTAACGGGCTTCTTCTAACTCAGGCCAGAATCACCGTGTTAGTGGTGCTGATGGAGTCTCCACCCTCCTTCATCGCAGTGACCTCACAGCTCAAACACCAGGGAGGGGCGTCAGATGATGACTATGATCATTTCAACGCAGCGTCAGTGCAGGCTACTGAAGGTCAGAATCGTAGTGGATTTGGTGATCTTCATCTTTTATCACAGAAGCCAAACTTGATTGTAATTAGAGTAGGCAGCTTTACACCTTGTAATTCGTCGTTCATTGTACTATTTCACACATAATGCGTGCCATTTGGTGAGAAAATTCAGTCTAAAGTGCTTCGTAACACCATCCGTGTCAATGCCAGACCACGTCCCGCTGGTAATGGGCTGCTCTGGTGTTTAGATCCTAGAAGGATGATGAAAGACGGCGTGAAGAGAGTTATATTCGACATGACCTTTTAGGTTCACCAGCATGACATCATTCACTTGACACGCTGTCCCAACAATGATAGTCCTGCTCACTGTCAAAAGGCCAGCTGTGCTGAAACAGCCCTGCTTCATTGTCACCCCTTCAAACTGCAGAGTAGGACCAAATGTCAAAATGAGATGTTGTCCAAAATCAGTCATCTCTGGTGGAGCCGTGCTGTGCTTTCTGTCTGTACGTGACCGACTGGGTGGCATCTGGTTGAACCTTAACTTTGATGTCACGCTTTCTCATTCTTGCAATACAGTTGGAATCGTTAGGACTATTAGCATATCCTCGTCTTTCATTGAGATGCAATGAAACTAGGGCAAGCTAGTTTATTCTTGGAGCTACTCATTGACTGATTTGATTGATGTCAAATGCTGATAAGACATTTCCTATCAGCTGAGGGAAAGCTACTGAAACTCGTAACCTAAACCTATCCTGGCCACGATTAATATCATTGTTCATATTGTATGAAAGCATCACCGTTCTGCTCACTGAACAATTCCTATAGAGCAACACTGAAACATGAACTGCAGGGTTTAAGGGATTCCTCCATGATGGTGTGTTTTTACATTTAAATGATTTAGTCAACGTGATCTCCAAACAGCAAACAAACAGTACAGCATTGAGAGTTTTTGTTTTTCACTGTGTACGTCATTCGAGCAATTACAAAGTCCAATTGAATAACAAAATGTCCAGGCTTTGACGTGGACCAAAATACTGTTGTAAAATACTAGATTCCGAAAGTGATTTTGTTCTGTAAGCACAAGATGAAGCTAAATGGTTGTGATTTTCCTTTCAATCGGGGTTGTGCAGCCTTTTGAAAACTTACAGGAAACCATTCTGCTATTGTTTACTGATCTGAACCACGCATTTGTTTTCACATTTGCCTCGGCTGTACAGTTAATAAACCACCCATTTATTTCCTGGAAATGAAGACACTTTTTTTAGAGCTTGCTTGGTGAGAGAAAGTGCTTATTAAAATCCAAACTAAAATTATTCCTTTTTATTATTGCATTCCATACTTAGCCTTGAAATCAACACATGGACTGCTTTGATGTCTTTGCTTCTTTCACGTCGGAAGATTATTTGGAATCTGGGGAGACGATGGAAAATACCCACAACCCCAGTTCTGAGAGCACTGGCTTGGCCTGTATCAATATTGATGGAAATTTAGCCTGCTTCCTTTGTCTACAATGCTTTAGGGAATTTTACTGTAGCCGAGTAAGCTTACTTAGGCAATACCTTTGGGTGAGTAGGTCTGTGTATTCTATGTACAAAGAACTACAATGAACAGCCATGTGGTTGTGCGAGGAGAGGGGGGGGGGGCTCGTTCAGAGAGTTTAGTCTGTGTGAGTGTAGGTTTGTGTGTTCAAGTTCGAAAGGCCTCTTCATAAACCAACTCTGACGACGGAACAGAGTAAATGTTTCCTGATCATCATGCGTTTTTCTTTCTACTGATACGGAATTGAAGGAGCTTTCCTTTGCTACAGTACAATTTAGCCTAACAACACTTTGCGCCATTCTCAAGCAAATGCAAGTTTTGCATGTTTTGTTTTTCTTTTCTTACTGCATGTTGCTGCAGGAATGTTGAGTGGATGCAGGCAGCATTGGTGTGCATTGTGGTGTGGTTGTTTATGGGTTCTTATGTGGGTGGTGTGTGCGCTTAACTGTTCTGCCTCACAGCATACTGCTCTCATAACATCACATACTCCTGCTCAGCCATTTACATTTGCTTCAGGCCTCCGTTCTCAAGCCTATTTGTTTGCCCTGCACTAATACTCGTGAGATTAGGAAAAACTGTCCACACTGGGAGAACCAGAGATTGCAACTGAAGTAGCTGCCTTCAAGAGTTTGGAAATATCGGCCACTTGGTGCGCTTCATTTTGTCTCTTTTGTTCTTTCCCGCAGTGGAAAGGTCCAAGTTACAGGTTCGGAGCTCCAGTGCCATCCGACGGACATCTTCCCTGGACGCAATCACTGGACCATACCTCACCGGCCAGTGGCCTCGGGACTCCCATGGACCCTACCCTTCCTGTATGAAAGACAAAGCCACACAGGTACATTCATGTGTGTTCTGTAGTTTATGAAATATTTACTTTGTTATTTATTTTGCAGACCTAGACAGAAACATAATGGCACAAACATAGTTGAGCCTCCGTATTTACTACCTGTTTAGTACTAAATCAATGTGACTATCATTACTTCGCATCAAGGCTTAGTAAACTAGATCCATCCACCTACAGGCAGACTGATAGATGACTAGTTGGTGATATTATGTACTGCTCTCTACTTGAAGGATTAGTATAACATTATATAGATAATTTACAGCACCTTCGTTCTCACCCCGTCAGCTCAGCCATATGACGCCTCAGGGCACAAAAATACTTTTTCCCCCCTAGACTTATACTTGCAAAAAGACGTCTGTAAATCGTTAGGTATCGCCGTGTTTCTCTGAAAAACAATCCCAGAGACAAAGGCCACACGTGTCATCCACATTAACCAATGAATTCAGCGTTCTGTGTGGCATGAATGAAAAGTAAAGCGTCAAGTCTTAACGAGGGATGTTTGAGAACAAGCTCACTCGATTCACTTTATGTTAACTTATAGAATTGTTTGTTTTCAGCGTAGGAGTTTGTGGAGATGACAAATTGAGAAACTGTGACCAATTGTTTTGTAATGGTAATCTGGTGGTAGTCTGTTGCGTCTACAGGCCAAACGGACTTATTTAACATATTTAATACAGTTAACAAGACCTGTGCGTGGATTTCATATTGAGCCTTGGAACACATTCTTGGCCAGCAGCCCACAAATCAGCACCCACTAATCTGACTGATGGCTAAATGCAAATAGTCTCTTGCAGCTCTATTTTTGGGGGGGGGTGGAGGGGGGTGTTCTAAAAGAATATTGACTATGCAAGATCATGACAGGGGCTTCTCCCTCTTTGCTGACGGGAGTCTTTCATCTGTCTGAATGAAGACCGCCAAACCTAATTTACATCGGCTTCATACCTTTAACCCCTCATTTGTCTCGCATTTCTTTGTGTGTAGGTGGAGAAAGTGGTGGGAGGGCTGACAAGATCTCTTGAAGTGGTTGTAAACAGGGTAAACGCTGATCATTACAGGGTTCCTTTGCAGCCCTGGAAAAAATAGACTATTGTGGACGCAGTATATTATATAATTAATCAGTTTTTGAAAATGTTATTGCAAAAAAAAAACAACATCTGGGTGACATACAGTGATCTTGTGGCCAGTATTGCCTTTTTTCGCCCGTTGAGATTTGCCAATGCTACGTAGTGACATGGCCATGGACCACATATCCCAGCTATTATCAGCACAGATCTGATTGAAGCCAAATGCATATCCTGTCAATGGATTTACGGCCTTCAAAGGAAATTTGTCATGGAAAACATTTGGCCACGTCGTGATGATGATGTGTGTGTGTCAGAGAGTGTGAGAGTTGAAAATCCTTGGACGATTATATGCACAAACTCCCCCAAGAATAACGAGAGACCACTTCCTGTTGGAAAGCTGTGCCTGGGCTCTGCTCTTTCAGTAAGACAACAACAGCAGAGAGCAGCAGACAAAAGGTCCCTGGCCTCTTTTGTTGTGCAGCACACAAGTTCGAGACAGCCTCTCCTTTTGAGCTGTTGTGTGGCCTCGCATGGAGGTGAAGCCGTTTGCACCTGTCCCCCGAGCTGTGGCTGAGTCGAGGAGAAATCCCACTGCTTACCACCTGGCCCTCGTGGCTGCTCTGCCCGCCTGCCTTTTGTGTGGGAGTAGAGGAGCAGAGGGCCCATACATATGCTAATCACTGTTCCGGGATAGGTCTGCGAGTCCTAGGCCCCGTGGTTACAGAACACAAGAGCGTGTCTGTATGAAGATTAGGGCCCTCGCTCACCATGCCGACTTTAAAGAACCAGACAAAGGCGCCCCGATCAAACGGCTTGCGCCGCTCCACGTCTTCTGTTGAAAGTTGCGCTTGTAGACGCCACAAATTGTGCCGCATGCATGTGCGTTCTGAGCCTGACGAAACAACTAGTCGGCAAAGACGAGCAAACCAGCCGGCGGTTTCTCACGCTACAGTGAATCTGCCCAGCTAGAAGTACATGCTCTCAGTTAAGCCTGTTAGAAGCAATCCAGCGTAATAGATCAAAGAAGGGGTTCCACAGTTACTGAGCATCGTCGATAATGCCTCTCGTTGTAAAATGCCGGCTGCGATCGAAGAAAGTGGAAATGACAAAATTGCTGCCATGGAGACTTTTACTTATTTTCTGTTATTCTAAGTTCGTTTAAGACGTGTAGAGATTACAGATTCACAAAGCCAACTTCTCAAATCGGACCTCATCTCTAAACCCCACCCAATGATAGCAGTGGCAGTCTGCTCGCACGTCCCGACATGCAGTCCAAACAAAGCCGCACAAGTTCCACTTACATTCTATTGAAGCACGGCTATTATTTCCTGCTTTGGAACAGAGCTGGATTCTTGAGGATGTTGCCTCCATGTAACCTTGTTGGGTGGGAATCCTAAAGGGAAGCAAGCTGCAGGCTATGCTAACAGTTTTATCTGCACCGCAGCACATTATCAGTCAAAAGCCTCAGTACAAAAGTCTACAAAGCACACAGCTCGGGCAGGAAGCTGGAGAGCTAGCATGATGAAAGGGCCTCTGAGATTAATAAAGGTGGCTGTTCTGGTTAACGGGCAATTTATGTGGGAGAGGGGAGTTAGGAGGGCAGGCCAGGGCTGTGTCCCTAGAGGCTGATGGCCGGCTGCCTTTCATACTCTGTATCCCTGAGACAAGATTTGGATCAAACTGTAGGAAAAAAGACAACCACCTTGATGCTGTTAACTGGTAACACAGGATTTAAAACAATCTTCCTAGCTGAATTCTCACACAAACTGTTGCTGAAAGTCTGTAATATTAAATAAGATGAATAATGACACTTTTTGTTGTCCGTGACAATGAAGCTTTTCTTTGATTATTAAGATTTTGCTCTTTTCTTTTTTTTTTGTCCATATCGCTCACTGCCAAATGAGGAACATGTAGCAAAGCAGCACTCTCCATTTGACGTCAGAAAACATCTGTGAAAACTTAATTTTTTTTTCCTCAACAGCCACAAACTCCATAAAGCCTCCCTGCCCTTTTACAGCAATCTGCATTCTGTATGAACAGACTAAGCTGCGGCATCAAGTCCCTCTGAGGTCTGCCGGTGGCATCAAACGCTGCGAGCCATTCCTCAGGCCGTGCACGAAATGTTAATGCTAAAGGCTAACTACACATCTGCCGTCCAGCGTGGCCAAGCACAGTAGTCCCCTCTTCACGGGAGGACAAGCACCCATTTAATTCGCTGTCCTTTCCCGGGGAAAGCAGCGCCAGCCATCCAGCGCAGACGGCTTCACGGGTGTTCCTCATTATTCACAGTGCGATATTCCATATCATAGGGCACGGCTTGTGCGTTAGTTGGACAGACAGGGGTTGTTCTGTTGGTGTGGGGTCAGACGTAAGGCAGTGTGGCGACACTGACATTTTAGATGTTTCGCACTACTGTGCGGACTATAAAACGTCAGATGTTTGAGCACCAGAGGCACTGTTGATGTGCATAATCGGGGGGGAAGTGGACTGTAGTATGTGCCCTATGAAACATCCTCTTTTTTTTTTGCATATATTTACATGATTCAGCCGTTTGTGCAGTAACGGTCTAAAAGACATCTTCAATGAGACAGAACGGCCCCTGTGCTCTCTGGTAGAGAATGTTTTGTATACCAGATGTTTTCTTATCGGTTTGCTGTAGACACCGGATCTCTCCGTGCTGTACATATTCAGCCAAATCCCATTGGCGTGTAAAAAAAATAAAATAAACCGTTCCACCTGTTTGTAGACTAACTAGAGGTGAAAGGATGGAAACTCCAGGGGGAGAAAATAGCACCAGTTGAACGTAGGGCTTTCTTAAGGGATACAATCCCTTAATTGTTTTCCTAATATTTCATTGATTTCAGATTTTCTACTATAACTTTACCATTGAACACGGCACTCATTAGGGAGTTCACCCACTTCCTCAAGTGGTTATCCAAACATTTGACTTTTAAGGTATCGAGACGACGAGCACATCTTCACGAGTCGTCACATCAGGTATTCAGTTAAGAGGTCTTTGTATAAACTGTTTCCTACTTACACAGCGCAAGCCTCACGTTCATCTTGAGTGTATGTGTTCGTTTTATAATATTTCCTAGTGCAAATGAATGAATGAATGAATAAAATGAGGGTATTTCATAAGACTCTTGCGTTTCATGACCATGTATTCAACAATGAATTTGTCACCTCGGTTATCTGATCTTTAGGCCGACCCGCCACGTACGCACACCTCAGATGCTGCATCTTGGGTAATCCTTGACTTTGAGGGATTTGTATTCCGTTTAGATATCTTTGTTTCCACACTCAAAGGAAACCTGTGTTTATGCTGTTTCGCAGATAATGAGTGCATCATGCTTATCTTTTGGGTGCCGATTCAACACAAGACATGCCGTTCTGTGGCCACAGCACATTTGGAGCATGTATCATCACTGCAGGAGTTGTGTCTGTTGTGGGTGGGGAAAAGAGTTGTGTAACAACACGTTTGTCATGTGTCTGCATGTTTTAATGCTTTTCAGACTCCGGGTCTCTGGATTGATGAGGGAGCAGAACAGGGAAGTCCTCACCAGCGGTCGGCCTCCTGGGGCAGTGCGGACCACCTCAAAGAGGTAGATTCACCTGTCCTGATCGTAGCACCTCACAAGTCACAGCTGCTACTGACAGCGAGCGGCCCAGATGGCGGGTTAACAGAACGAGGCTGTGTTCGGCGTTCTGTCTGGCTCTAAGCTACGCCAGGATTGGTTTAGAAACGTACGTGCAGCCGACTCAAGGAGCATGTTTTTGTCATTTATGAGATTCGTTCCATTTATTCAAGATGTGTTTCAGTCTGGGTCTGAGGTCGGCCTAAATATTATGCTCCTTAAGGTGGGTTTCCACTCTGTCTGTCGATCTGCCGGACCCGGTGGCCAACCAGCCGACCGCATGGAGCTATTAGCTGTCCCAGCTCTCCAGACAAAGTCTAAATTTAACCTCACTCGCATCTCATTACGGCCGGTTGTTTTTAAAAGACTGTGCAGGAGCACCTCCCAAGGGTGATGCAGCCACATTGATCCCTCTTTTTCTGTTACTTCAAAGCCTTTTGTAAGTTCATAATAAATTCAATTTGATAAAACATTACTACAGTAGGTAAATATAGCAATAAGTTTTGAATGAACATGGCAAGACAAGGATTACGCACTGAGCACATTAGATATACAAAATGTAATGGTTAACATATTACTATTAGATTGTGAAGACAAGTAATGTTCAAGCTTTTATTGTGAATCTATTCGGACAGGCTGTGTCCAAACAGTCCTAAAGGGGGAGACAGAAGGAGACTTGTATTCCTCACAGCGGTGGGATCTCATGAAACGTGATCGAAGAAGAATGTTCGAAGAATCCGATTCCGTCCCATCCAAGTGTGAATGTAGTCATACATTAAAACCAGGCCCACTAGAATAATTAAATGTTGAACTTTCTGCAGACGACCCCGGGGCTCCGGCCTGCGCAATCAATAGCGCGGCCAGGAAAACCTTTTTTCTCATCTGAGATCACATCGGGATCGCCTGGACTTGTCATTATAGACTGCTGCGGTCAGTCAATGGATGAACTGAAATGCATCCCGGCTCCCTAACCGCTGTGGTTACGTGTGTGTGGGAGGAGATCTTTGAATCGAGCAGGTTTCTTTTGTTGCCAGGATTACAAGTTCAGCCCTGAAGACCGCACCTTTGTCTGCACAGTACAACTGAGGCTGTTGGGCTCACAGAGGGTATCTTGATTTTAGGCTGATACTGGGTCCGATGCAGTGACACCCATTGATCTGACTGTTTTTTTTATCCTTCGACATGGTCCATAGGGCCCTGCAACAACATTCAACAGTCTTTATGGGGCCTCAGTCGCACGCGTTTTGTGGAAAAGGGGCCATATTTATTTTGCACGCCACATAAATCAGTCTCCCAGCCGTCTTAAAAACCATGAGAAAATATGATTTTCAACAATAGCACAATATTTACCGACATTTACAGTTACATTAAAGAGCTGGAATGTTTGGTCAATCAATTTCTAATTATTTAACACGCATTTCATTATGTCAAATTTATTTGAAAATTAACTTCTCATAGTCTTAACTTCTCAAATGTGAGAAATGTAGCTTTTTGAAATGACAAATTGAATGTTTTTGTTTTAGGTCTATTAGTTGGACATATCCTTGAGCTTAAGCCAACTGCAACACGATTAATCAAAACTATTTGTAACATTAATTGAAAATGATCGTTACATTACATTACATTACATGTCATTTAGCTGACGCTTTTATCCAAAGCGACGTACAATAAGTGCATTCAATCGTTACTTGCAACAATGAGTCCCTCCGTGGGCCAATCACCTCCTAGATGAATTCACTCAGTTTGAATTCACATGTTGACAGAAGTATTGCCTTTACAACGGTCAGTCTTTTGCTGATGTGATGTTACTTGTCTTCCAGCAGATTGCTAAACTGAGACTGCAGCTGCAGCGCAGCAAGCAGGTCATCCGGCATAACAAAGACCGGGAGCAGAGCATGCCTGCGTTCCAGCCCCAGGTGAGTTATTCACGTCGGTATTCACGCCGTGGCAAACGGGGTCACCCGGCATGTTCTCTTTCTGGTGAAAACATCAACTCTGTGACTTTGGTGATGTAGGATTGGGTGCACAATAAGGTCGCCCAGCAGAAAGCATTCAAATGAAACAGATGGTGACCAAACCCCATCCCAGCTGTTGAAGATAACAGCCTATGAATATATACCCGGGTTAGGCAAGGTGGTTTTCTGCATTACTCTGTTAACGATAGCAAATTATTAAATGTGTTTCATTTGTTGCAATAATATTCGTTTGGTAGTTATACATCTTTGGGTTTTAAGCATGCAATTATTTTGCAGTTCCTATTTGAGGAGGATCCCATCTGTAGTTTCACTTCACGTTTTGCATGTGACGGTCCGGCTCGTGTACAGACCACATTTGAGAGCACAGAGCAAGTTTATGTTGCACATCCTTTTTACTGAAGGACGTCTAGTTAATGAGTCCCTTCTGACCAGTTATGTCAAAAGTGGAGAGGGAATGTGTCCGGGCATGCCCTGTCCTCTCCGTGTTTGCAGTTCATTCATTAACAGATGCCCAGTAACTGCACACATCACCCACTGTGGGAAAACAAACTAAACTAAATATAGTTATCATACAAAATAAAGGGAGTATGCTTTGCTCCACATCCGCATATGTTCGATCACAATCCGGGCAACGTAATGTCAAAATGCGATCAATGTTTTTGTACTTAATATTTAATCCCACTTCAGTAAGACTTATTTAAACTGAATGCCTCAACCCATTAGATGTCTCCTTAAACTGGATCAGGAAACGGATCTCGGTGCCACAGAGTCTGAGACCCATTCAGTATTATGACTTTAATCGCTCCATTAATCTTGAGTTCACATCTATTCTTACTCATTTTTGTCGGTCTTTCAGTACAAGGGAACTTCATCCGCCCTGTCAACAATCCCTCTGCCAAAACCCTTCATATGCAAGGTGCCGAGCAGCGTGGAGGGCATCAGCCATGAGCTGGAGAGCGTGTTTATCAGAGAGAACTGGGATCACGGGATACAGGTAAGGATGTGTACACACCAGCAACCGGGTCAAACTGTTTTTGTGCTCGTTGAACTGTAAGCGTGTCAGTGCCACAGTACCAAGCGTGTTTGTACCACATCTGAGCTCACTTAACAAGTCTTATCATTTGTACCGGGTGGAATACATTTTTACATCTTGTAACGAGTAATTTCTGACAGATAAAATCACCACAGCTAATTTAAAAGGAGTTACATAGATGGCCAACAAGGTGATAACCTTGTTGGACATCTATGTAGGTCAGCTTATTGGGAAATTGCTACATAATCATACAAGAGAAAATGTCTAAATGTCTGATACTTCCCCTAATGTACTAAAGTAAAGTACTTTCGGAAAAAAAAGTATTTTCGACTCTCCACAAAAGCAGTATTACTACAACAAAGATTGCTACAGGTTGGCTGCTGTATCTTTTATTAGTGTTGTGTAATGTGTTCAGTGTCAGCTTGCGTTTGATGAAACGATTCATTACGCAGCAATTTACTGCCGTTGATCGGCTAAAGTATCTTTATCCACCGCAAGCAACTATCTGCCAAAACTGTTTTATACTAGTGAACACTATATTTAGAGTATGTTTGCTAGTTGACCTTGGTGAGTCCGCTATTTAGTCCCTTTCCTAATGGGGACATAGAGCCTTTTATTTTAGAGGGATTACAGCTGTCTGTTTTTTGTTATTGTAACTTTAGATATTTCACATATTTATTCACCCATTTAAACATCAGTCAAACTTTACGTGTTTATCCCTTTAATGTGTATTTTCAAAATGAATAACTTGCTCAAGCAGTCTTGTAAATTCATTTTCATTGTGGTGAATCACAGGCTTGACAGTAACACGCGCGCAAATTCTCACTCCCACTGAATTAGATCGCTTAAAAGCGAGGACACCAGTAAATCCTGTCTGATGTGGGGTGGTGAACCTTGGCAGGACTGTAAAACTCTTCTTAGAAAGTCACAGACATGCGCGCGTGCACACACATTTTAGACACACATTTAAACGTACGCACCACTACAGATTTATAGCCTGCTGCGCTCCCCTCGCTTTCCTGCCTTTCATTTGCATAATTTGTGCCACAGCAGAACGCTCCTCACATCACACTGCTCGTCTACTGTCACGTATCACTGTCTGGTGTGATGTTTGCTTCTCCAATTGCTCTTTGAACACACACACTCACACACACACACCGTTCTTAGATTCAGGACATTTTAGCTGGTGCTCTGAACCCAGAGTGACGAGTTAGTCACTCAAGGACACTTTGCCTCTGATCCATGAACCTTTTGAGTTATGATTCCATCCGAACGCTAAGCACCACCCCTCTGACATTTTAAGGTCTTTGTGCATTAATGCTTCGACTCTCCCCGCCCCCTCTGCACTCTGACCTCACAGGCCATGGACGTGGTGGACGGCCGCCGCGCCCCCTTTCCTCTGCATCGCAACAGTCGCAGTGGGGACACGCGTGACACGGACACACAGGCCCCCTCAAGTGGCAGCTCCAGCCCGTCTCCCCGCCCCTCCAGCTCTGACCACGCCCACTCCCCCGATGGAAGCCCATGCTCTGCAGAGGAAATTGACAAAGGTGTGATGTTTTTGGGGGGCTTTAGAGGGGATTTTATGAGAATGCTTTTATAAGAAGCAATTTATGGAATGGCAACGTCTCTGGTACAGTTATGAGTCTGACAATGCAAAACTAATGTGAGCTTGTGGTAAATAAGTTTTATTAATTTACTGCCATGCTGAACTGTGACCTCCACTTGCGTTAGTGTGTGTGTTTGTTCAATTGTTACTTGCACGCACTTAAATTATATTATAATTACATAAGCTTGTCTTAAAAACATTGACAAAGACACATGGATAATACAGCAAAAGCTGTGCTGCTTGTTGAGTCTCAGCAGTTTTTGACGAGATACTAAAAGCTGTCATTAGGTAACTGTTTCCAATAGTTCTATCACAGTTACACACACATCATTAAAAGAACCTATAAATATTTAATCTAAGAATAAATTAAGTAAAATGTCACTCAGTGCCGTGTATGGAGATGTCAGGTTATTGCCAAAGAGACCACAAAGTTTTTTTTTAAATAATTTTTTTTAGAATTAATAGTAGCAGACCACTGTTAATCTGTGATCCTTCCGGACTCCCCCTCGCTGCTCAGCACACATGTGAACCACGGGTCAACATGGCGTTTGTGAAAACGGGTGTTTACAATGCATAAAGCAGGGATCTGAAAGCAGTATTGATTTGGTGGCGGTACGGAAACTCGTATTGAGAAGTGTCTTACTCATTACTAATAACCAGGTTGTTTTATTTTGTTGTTTCCAGATAGCGTGTGCAGTTCTCCTCTCCCTAAGTTTGCCACATCTCCCAAACCGAACAACAGCTACATGTTCAAACGGGAGCCTCCAGAGGGCTGTGAGCGAGTCAAAGTGTTTGAGGAGCTGGTGTAAGTCTTGTTTTCATTTTTTACAATGTGTTATTTTTGTTTTTTTCAATGCACCACCTGTACTACTTCACGGACCGTTAAGAGGACAAAGCCAACCAGCGTATTTGCATCGTGGGTGACTGGTTGAAGGCAAAGCGTCTGTCTGTGACAGACAAAGTATTGAGTGTTACCTTGAATCGTCTACAGGTCTGGCAGATCAAAAGGCTTCCCCCTCTTCTCGTGCCCCGACAAAAACAAGGTGAACTTCATTCCCAGAGGCTCCGCCTTCTGCCCCGTCAAACTCCTCTGCTCCTCCCTGTTCTCCCCCATCTCTCCCTCGTCCTGCTCCCCCACCAACCACCACGGCATTGACGGCCCGGGGCCTCAGGTGACCCCAACTCTGCACGCTGCACCACTAGCCAGCTTTCCGGCACCCACCGACTGGAGCGCTGTCACGAGCGCCAACGCAGACGGCCAGAGCGCCGACATAGAAGCGGGGAAAGACGACTCGGCACAGGTTCTCCTCACCAGCTAGTCCTCAGGTATTCACAAGCAGACCCACCTGCAGCTGAAGCATCACAGCAAGTCAGGTGGTTTTGGCTTTAAAGCACAAAAGAAAAAAAGAAAAAAAATCCTTGCACAAGCCAGCAGGGGGTGCTCACGGTGCAGGAATGACAGAACGCAACGTCGGATGATGGTACCAGCGTCCCGGTGCACAAGCTTGATGGTGGATGTTGAACCCCGTCTCTTCACCCATCGCTAACCTAGCCTTCTTTCCTTCCTCGTGTACCGTGACGACACCAATAGCAAAAACAGCTTTGCTTCAGTTCGCAAAGATAAAATCGAGACTGCTCAAATAATCTTGCGTGAAATCCAAAAAGTCTTTCACCAGAGACAGCTGTGAGGTATCAAGCATCTACTGCTGGTGTTATCTAACCAGCGTATTAGCTGTTCAGTGTGCTAACATCTAAACTACATATACATAAGCTTTTTTTGACAGCATGGGACATTCCCGATTCATGTATCAGGGTCGGAATGCATTACACCCACGTTAACCACAATGTTTGCACTTGTTACGACGTGGCTCAGAATGATACAGGCCATGGCCTCTTTTGTTCTGTTTATTTCAAAGTATTTTGTAGCACGTTGTCTTTGTGAAACCAGCAGTTGCTTGAGTGCTTCACCCAACGGGCTCACAAGCACAGACCTAGATCTGCTTTTCCAGTCCCATCACTATTTGCTCATCACAAAAAGCAAATGTCAGCATTTTTTTTTTTTTTTTCAGTGACCAAATAACCAATTAAAAAGCACACAACCCCCCCAGTTGCCTTGATGTAATGCCCCACACTACACAGAGCAACAACTCAGGTCTTGTGGAATGTACTTGCTTGGACTATGTGGCCTTTCCCGAGTGTTTCTGAATTTATTCTACTGAAGGACTTTCCCGTCTACTGTGGGAATTGAAAATATATTGTTATTACGGAGCGAATCGACCCATCGTTGACACGCCTCGTGGCCTTTTGCGTTAACCTGTTCAGGTTAGAGTTTCAGGTGCTATGAAGCATTCCAGAGATCACTGTTGCATCCATGAACCGTGAGTAGCGGAGCAAGCTACATGAGGTACACCTTCTCGAATTGAGACTTTGACAGATGTCCCCTTCCCCTCGACCCTTTTTATTAAATATGTACCAAAGCAGATTGGGAAACCTTGTGAGGCCAGTCACGTGTTTCGGACACAAGCAGCCCCACTTTTTGCCAGAAGCAGAATGTTATGTGCATTTTGTTTAGTCTATAAACAGTTCAGCGCCATATACTTTGGTTCATAGTGTTTAAAACACGGCGATAATCGTTGAACCAAAACTAAGCACTTACTTGGAAGTGAGATGATAATCACTTTTTAAAGTTTTATTTTAGACCAATTTTTGTAAGTTAACACAATCAGAATTTAAGTGTGCAATTGATTTTTGTTTGAGGTAAAGCTACACTAACAACTTTTGTGTATCAGTTTTGTTCAATATACAGATCCAAGAAGTTACCTGCACAAGTTATATCACGGGAACATATGACTATACATGACTTATTTCGAGCATGTTGAAATTATAAGATGATCTAGTAAAGGTTTCATTCCAGATCGTTTGTCTGTACGGCCACGACGACACAGACGATAAGAACCACATGCAACACATTCCACACTGACAAAGTTCCAATCCTACTAATTTCTATTCACAAGCTCATTGTGCAGTAAAGAAATGGTTGTCATGTTTGGCAATGATTATTCAGTTCTGTCTATTACGCAATTTTATGTAGATCTTGTGTTGTTTTTTTCTTTTTCAATAAAGAAAACAAGAAAAGTCTGTTTTTGAATTGGTATGTAATCTTTTCGAAGATCATAGACAGATACAGCGACAAAAAAAATACCAGTATTCAGAAGCATAGCATTCATGTATAAATAGGGGTCATGGTAAGGCAATCAATGTATTTGGTTATGACTAAATATTAACAAACGTCACATGAAACAAGGCTAGATTTTAATAATATAAATGTACTTTAGAATTTATTCAATAATTATGTGGTTCTATATTTTTGATTTGTAATTTGATTAAGGCGTTTACACAGGTTTTATTCAAATCATGCATAATTGTCAATCAGTATAACATTTTATTTTGACGAGGTTGCAACAAAATCTACTGAAAACTGCATATTTTTCCCTGAAAGCCAGTAACTGGGCAAAATACATACAAAAACATTACACTGATAAATGCATCGTTCATTCTGTCACACATTTACCTGGGAACATAAAGCATGCAACAGGCAGTAATGGTAATGATGTGTGAATTTTTTTTAAATGTATTTAAAAATACAGCATGTAGCGAACATCGAAAAGCATAAATCGTAGAACGGAGACCTGTTTAAATGTGGTGTGGCATCGTTGCCTTTAATTCTGATCCGTGCTTAAAGTATCGTAGCAACGGCAGAAATACTTTCCTCAACATGTTGCAGCATTTCGTCAATACAAACCAGTGCATGTGATCTTTTGTCATGTTGGCTTTCGTTTTGCTTTTTGTGCAACGTTCTGTCATGAGAATCAGAAATAAAATATGAATGCTACTTGAGTACGTATTTTCAAGGCAGCTAATGTCAAAGGCTTCTTCTTCCAGACTTACTTTGGTGTTGGTGCTAAACTCAAGTGAGCCAACAGACATAAGCTATGTTTGTCTGCTAGATCGCTTTATGCTGCCGCACCCTCCATCCATCACAGGTACCCATCTCAGATCGCCGTGACGATGAGGCAGTACTACGCGTTGTGAAGTTCGTGCTCTCGGCCAGTTTTGCCGACGGCGTCTGGATTGGAGAGTGGGTCCAAATCGGCGAACAGGTTGAACCACGCCGAGAGGTCTTTCTCTGTAGAAGAAAATGAGTCGAAGGGTAAATTTCGTATCACACTGGAAACATTCCCCCCCCCGTATGGCTGAGATCCAGAATTATGAAAGGAAAGAACGCAGAAATTCTTTGGAAGTGCCTGTACGCAGGTTTTCGGTTGGATAAGTCTTGTTGAATGAAGACCTACCCTTCACTGCTGGCTTACTGGGGTTCTGATTGGCTCCAGGTGAGGGGTCCTTCGCCCAGGCGCCGGGCGGTGGAGCCGCGCCGGCCAAATCTGAAACGCAGGTCCCAAATTTTAGACCCGATCCAACAAATCACACCGTTACACACTGGCTCATTTCCAAGAATATTGTGTAATCGTCACAAACTAGCAAAAATCGATATCAGTATCATGGCATGTATCAAGTTTAGTGGTATTATACAAGATGCAACATTGAAGTTCCAATGTTTCAGGCAAGTTTCCTTAGCATTTACTATTTTTTCTTAGTAACAATACGTGCTCCAAATACGGGTTTAAAGTACCAAGTAATGTTTTGGAACCTTTGCATATAGTTGGGTCCATTATATGTTCCAGCATCCTCTATGAGTTTGACCTTTTTTCTTTTTTTGTAATGAAATGAAAGCGTCTGAAATGCACATTCAGTGCTTTAAAAAGTCTTCTGTATTTTACCAGCTCTGATTTTAAGTGCAGATGGATCCGGCCAAAGAGCGCCGCCTGTAGCTGGACTCTCAGCCTCCCTTTCAGAACTCATCGGCATCTTCATGACTGTCGCGGCTCTGACCCGGTGCAGGTACAGTTTACTGTAGCGCTCATTTGATAACTCCAAGCTTTGAGAAGCTCAGAAAACACTGACTGATCGCACCAAATGTCGGCTTTATACATTTACAGAGGAAACCCATTGTTAATGGGGGAGCTATACAGAATAACGGCTTATTAAACATGTTGATCTAGAAGAGGACGGCGGAGACCTCGAGCGGTCTCATTTGCTTCAGGCCAGTGCGATCTGACCTGAGAGGGTCGACCGTTGGTCACTCAAGCTCTGGTCCCACAGCTGTGACGGTAGAAAGAAGGAGCTTTCCATCCGCTGGGCCTCGGCCGGTCTCCCCGGCGCCGTGCTCGCCCCGTCCTCTGTGTCTCCGAACACCTCCGTCCACTCTCGCGAGAAGTCGCTGTCCTCCACTGACGTGCTGCCCAGGATCTCGTTCAGTAAGGCCATGCTGTCTTTCTCCTCCCCCTCTAACTCCGGACACGCAGAGAGATGGTCTCCAGCCCCTGAAGGATCAGATGAGACATCCAGAATGTTACTGGTGATTTCTCATTTTTACAAGTACTTACATTTTTTTAGAAATTTCTTGGTGAACAAAAGCGGAATGAAGCTTAATATTTGCTTGTTTACTTGTCCTTCATTGAGTAAAGTGAGTATCTTTCGCTATTTTTTTTAAAATTTCATAATGAAGAAAGTAACCACCAAGCAACTGAAGGCTAGTTTTACTGTATTTCCACGTTAAATATTATAATACTATGTTGTATTTTACCTTCTCTGGTGGTACTGCTGGTGTTTTCATTCACGAGTGAGATGAGTCTGTAAATATGACAAACAGCCGATTAGTTTATAACATCACGACAACACAAAGCGCCAGCTGTCGTGTCTCGTCTCTCAGCGCCTGCATGCACGCGCTTGGTCTACCTGAATGAGTGAAGATCACAACGAAATAACTCACTGCTCATCTGGGGACTCTTTCTTTCCCTCCTCCACCTCTGCTCTAAGTTTCTTCTTCCCTTTCTTCTTAGCCAGCTTGTCCACGGGGCCTTTTAATGTCTGAAAGAATAACCAAGTCGCCGATTATGCTTATTGGCCGCGTCTAAAGCTGTAGGACAACTTCGGATCCAGGCCCTTCTGACCGTGAGAGCGGAGAACTCGTACTGGGGACAGCCCTTGAAGCTCTCGTGGATGGCCGCCATGGTGCGGGACGTCTTCTCCCAGAAGTGCAAAAGTGTCGTCTGTAACGGCGGAACAAGCAGAGTCATTATGTCTCCTGGCGGGGTCCGACACTTCAAAAATCCCCCACGCCGCGTCCTCGTTCCCTCCCGGAAAACATGCAAACAACCGGGCTTGTGTTGTACCTGATATGTGGTTAAAACGTGGGAGAGCAGGTTGCAGCGACTGGCTCCCAGCAGGTCCACCTTCTGGCAAACGTCATTCTTCAGTTTGTCGAAGCTTGTTTTGGTTGTGCGCACCTGAGCCTGAACCTGCGGCAGGTAGATATAGATTTATTTATATACACACACGTGTCGCACAGGTTTCAACAGGGAACACACACACACACAGGATTGTGAGGTTCTTGACGAGCACCCTATTGTGGTTCAACGGACCCACGATTCGGGGTGCGCTCTGCCCTCTAGTGGCGTTACGCTGTAACAGTTGGGGCGCAGGTGCGGCTTTAGACTTTGGACTTTTAATCTATTTTTTTCAATTACTCATTTAGTCGATGATATCCTAAAAATGTTTAATAAATAACTTTCAATGACTTTCCTGACTTTCAGACATGCTGCCTTCCTCTGGGACGCGGTGTGTTGTGTGCAGCTCACAGGTGCGAATGAGAACATCAGGAGATGCAGCTCTGTGTTCTGACAGCGGTGCGACCGACCAAACCTTGCGAAATTTCTCCATCTGTTTGTGGGTATCCGGATCCAGCTCCTGCGACACGTCCTTCATCCAGAGCAGCGCCCCGCGGTATTCCGTCCTGGACTGCTCCATCCGGTTCACCGTCAGCCACGTGTCCGAGATGGCCCGGTAGCGAAACGTCTCCACCTCCTGGTACAGGCGGCACAGCGGGTTCCTCAGAGCGAGTCTGTGTGGGGGGACGTAACGGGTCAGTTGAAGTGAAACAATCAACTGACCCGTACATGAAACTATTTTGCGCTGAATGTGAATGAAGATCCTCGAGGCCGTTTCACGCACACGCAGGCGATTAGTTTTGTTTCCTACCTCTGTTGGGAGGAGAAGCAGAGTGCTTTGCCCGTGGCCTGCATGATCTTTCCAGCCCTGGTTTTGTCCTGGGAGCCCTGGGAGCGCAGGAAACGACCCAGTTCGTTCTCCTCCTGGGAGAGGACTGCACAGCGAGGTCAGATGAATGCACGCTACGACTCCTGAATGAAGCATCGCTGTGCTGATATTTGGGAAATACGAACTTGCGTGCACACCGCATTTGCTTCATTGTTTGTTTTGTCCACCGAATACTTACAGCAGATCCTCCTCTGGTACTGCTCGATGACCTTCAGCAGCTCCATGCATGTTCTCTGGATGGAGTGGAACACCTGCAACAAAAGGCGAAATGCCCAATCGCGGTGGAAGTCGTGGTCAGAGGAGAGGCAGCCCAAGCCCCAAGCAAATAGTGGCACCGTGTGAATCAAAAAGTCATTTTAGAATCTCCAGCATCTCCTTAATGTTTTCTCCTCACCTCCAGCTTGCCGTCCAGGTCGGCGTCCGACGCCACCACATGTTCGTCCTCTTTCTTGCCGGTGACCTTGATGAGCGTCTGCTTGGTCTTCCAGTACCTCTGCTGGAACTTGTTCACCACGGACGAGTCCTGGCTCTGGATGAAGCGGTCCAGGTAGTCTTGGGTGTAGCCGCTGCAAACCACACAGAGGTCAGACGGGCGCCTGAGAGGAAGTCGTTGATTTGGTCGTAAACACACAGGTGTATATACTCACAAATGTCCTGCCTCCATTCCTTTTTTTTTAGGTTACCTGTGGAGGAAATAGAAACTTGCTCATCACAGATGTAGTGAGGATTATCTGGTGGGGCCTGGAAACAGTTTTCAAGGTATATTTTATGCTTTTTATTTTTTCCATTATGCTTTGCTTATGTTCCTTGCATCCGTCGGGTTCGATTCAGTTGTAGTTTTATGGTGAAGCTCGGTTTGCTGGCTGCAAACCCCGGAATGCTTTGGAGGACATTTTTTGTCATCGACACCCAATTTATATCACAATCCCCCCCAAACTCAAGAGAAAAGGCCGCTGATTTGACCAAGGAGTTTAATCAATATAACATTATTTTCTGTATTGTATATGTAAATGTATATGTCACAGTATGACAGATATTCAGCAGGTGGTGTCTCGGTGTTGGCCGTTTCCTCGAACAAAGAAATGAGATCGTATTTCACCTGCATTGACTTCATGGGGCTTTGTGAACGGAGGCTCAGTATTATGTTTATTTACATGATTATTTCTCTTTACTTTGGGTGGGGAGGGTTAGGGTTATTAATATTATTTGGAGTTTTTGGAGTTATTAATGGTGTAAAATAAGACCTAGATGTGTTTTAATGACTAATTTACAAGTAACAATGGCAATACTAAAATGTAAAAATGTCTTACTACATTGGAACTCGACGTTTGAAAGAAGTATTTACATACTATACTATATATATATATTTTTCACAATATATTCAAGGCACCAAATTGAAAGTTACTCATTAATCTAATGTTTCTGGATTAGAATCATTGATGTACGTTTATTGCTTTTAACATTGCAACTCGTTAATATGAAGCCAACATCGCTTAGTCTGTCGTCATAACACGGCGCGGCTGGTATCTGTGTCGTCATGACACGGTGCGGCTGGTATCTGTGTCGTCATGACACGGCGCGGCTGGTATCTGTGTCGTCATAGTCCGGTGCGGGTGGTATCTGTGTCGTCATAGTCCGGTGCGGCTGGTATCTGTGTCGTCATAGTCCGGTGCGGCCGGTATCTGTGTCGTCATAGTCCGGTGCGGCCGGTATCTGTGTCGTCATAGTCCGGTGCGGCCGGTATCTGTGTCGTCATAGTCCGGTGCGGCCGGTATCTGTGTCGTCATAGTCCGGTGCGGCCGGTATCTGTGTGACGTACACATTAACGACATTAACCAGCGAACCTTTTCATCACCAGAGACGGCGATGGAGCTCGCGGCTGTAGGCGCCCGTCGTCCGGGAGGATTAAATGATGAAATCGTCTTTTGATTGTATTTTGTTTCACTCCCCGTGTCACGACTCCCTTCCACCTTGATGGGTTGTGCGACGTTATGCGCGTCTCGGCGTGTCCGCCTCTGTGACGACCACACGCATCGTGAGCAATTCATCAGGATTCATATGAATGCGACCACAACACGTCCGCGCCGCCGCACCACCAACAACGGACACACACCGCCCGACTCCCCCGCGCGGAAAACAAGCGTCCCCCCCCCTTTGGATCAAAGCTACACACGCGAGATAACATCGCAATCATGATACTATATGATGGTAATCACACGTACCTGGTGCGTGAAACGCTTTAGGCCCTTCTGCGTCGAACGTGTGTCCACACAGCTGCTCGCTCTCCTCAGCACCCGACGCAGATGACGTCATTCAGGGTGCGCTCCCCGTCCCGCGCATGACGTCAGGCTGTTTGTGTCGCGCGAGCAGATATCGGAGCTGATGATCGGCGAATGGCGAATGAAGAATAAGGAAATGTACACATTCAGGACGGCGATGATAAAGATTATTAGAATAACAGACGCAACAGCAACAATAATAATATAATGATCTCACAGTAGTTTTTACAAACACAATTGATATTGACCATTGATATTACAAAATTACAGGCCGTGTAAGTGATTTTCTTTTTGTTACTATATAATGATACATAAGATGAAATGAGTCATTATTGATCTGTACATGCTCATTGCAGCAAATGGAATAGAAAAAGTCCAACAGCAAGAAGTGTGCAAAACAAAATAAGAGTAGAACTAACATTAGAGAGTTGGAATTGATATTTTATAGATATATTCATCTCGTTTGATTCATTTACATTTTATTATTTGTTATATTGTCACACTTAGTTTTGAACATTATTTTGGAACAACTTCCAAGTTCCCATTGAATTATGGGACTGCTTGATCAGTCAATCATTAAATCTTTAACCGATAAATCGAAGAAGCATGTTTGCCGATTGACCGATAACAAATGCTGTCATTAGTCTCAAAAGAAGATCAAATGGACTCGATCAGTCCCGTCCACGGTCACTTAGTTCTGCCTTTGTCCAAAGGAGGGCAGTGTAACACTACAGAAGACGAGCCGAACGCTTTAGAAAGTCTCCTCGCTGCTGTTTGGGGCCCTCGAGCTTTCATCTGTTGGCTTCAATTTATTTCATCACACTATGCTGCGGCTGATCTAATAGCATGTACATTTTGTTGTCACCTGAAGGGAATTTCTTGTCATGCTTCAAATTGATGTACCTGTTTGTAGCCTCGGACAGTATTTGAGCGGCGCGGTGTGAGCGGCATGCAGACCGTTTCTACCGATCAGCTCACTGGAGTGTGCTTTCCTTTTTTTAGGGTTTATATTTGGAAAGTGTGTTTTTACGTATCGCTTTGCGGACTTAATTTGATTATCCCCAAAGGAACGTGAAACCCTTTGATCCTTGAACCCCGGCGGTTGCTTTCTGCACAATACAGCTCGTTTTCAACCCTCTGTGAAGTATGTACACAAGCCTGTAGTGGCAGTTTCGCATCGTTGGTATTGTAATCCGCTCTGATTACCAAAAATGTAGGTTCCCCAGCAGGCCTTGGCCTCGTGACCTCTGACGGCGTCTCAAGGCCTGTGACACGAGCGGATAGATGGACGCGTCTCTTGAGGAGATGTTGTCTCCATGAGGCCTGGTGTCCTTCACCCCATCCCATCCTCCTCCTGCTCTCACAGCTTATCTCCGCATCCAAGATGGTATCCAAGCTCACTTAAGTAAGACGGGAAAACAATTAGGGCCTTAAATTAAGTGATGCAGTTGTGGGGGAGGGGCGATTCAATCAGGGTCGAGTCCGAGAAAATTCCTTTTCTGATATTGATCAGGGACGTGCGTCCCCGCTGATCGTCTTTGACGTTTCCCCACTCCGCCGCCGCGCCTCGCTTCAGAGCTTTTCTGTGTACTTCAAAGCCGCTTCTTCCACATTCCGGCATGCGGCCGCGTCGCATTCAGTTTCTGGGACGCAGCCTAAACCCAGACCTGAACCGGCGCCCGCGTGATGAAGAACGACCTCACCCTAAAAATGACTCAATTCACTTAGTTTTATTGTTTGTTATGTCTTCATCTGCACTTATGTGTGGTAATGGGGAGCCATGACATTTACATCTGCACCACTCCGACGTGATCCCTTGCTTGGCGAGAGTTTTTCCCGACACAGACTCTAAACGGGTCACAGGATCAAAAAGTGTCTCCAGCCCGGAGGGGCCACGGAATCGATCCTTTCCATTTCTGCACCAAATGGAGTTTTCTCCCCCCCTCTCTCTCTCTCTCTCTCTTGCTCCCTCTGTCTCTCACCAGTAACTTGCTGGAACACATTTAGATCCTGAGTAGAACTCCTCAGTGCCCACTCATCACTCTGCGTGGTGTTTGAAGATTACTCCGCTCAGAGACATCCTCACTGGGCATCCAGGCAGCTTAGAGGCCAAAATCCATAATCCCTTACCCTTCATGGGAATTCTCCATGCACTTCAACATGCTGAAATACAGCCGCGCTGCAGCAGCCACTCGCGGTCGAGGTACTGCTGCAGCCGCGGGCCCAGATAGATGGATGACATCTCTCAGCGAATGTGAGGCAAGTGGAGGAAGTTAGATTTAAAAAAAAGAAGAGTAAGTTATATACTGCAGATAGCTTCCGTCTTGAAATCTAATCTAAAATGATGTTTCTTTCTTGCAACGCCTTTTTATTTCCAGTTTAAGCACGTTCAGCCGGCCCTCATGCACTGGTTACTGTTTTATGTATACCATAACGGCCCGGGACACATTATTAACTTAAAATATGGGTGCTTTGGAGGGACGCGGCAGCTGCACGGCGGTTCTACCAGGGGTCTCAATAAAGAATCTCCTCTGAGGCTTTAATGCTTTATTAAAAAGCGTAAATAAATGTAGTTCCTTGATTGGGGAATCTGCATGAGTGGGAAGTATGCAAAGTTCAGCCGTTGTAGCTGAGGGAGCAGCAGGGTTTAATATTTCCTCCTCCAGGCTACACTCTGATGCTTTGTCTGCTCTGCTAAAACCCATGTAATAGCTCGGGGAGTTTGTCTGGCCCCAAACAAGAATAATAAAACTAATTCCACATTCGCATTATGGTATTTTCTCATTATGAAAGCTGAAATATTTACTTTCTGGATATAAAAAGAAGCAGCGCAGAGCACATTCGGCTCACATTTGGGTCACAAGTTTAACCGGTGTCTTTGTTTGGACTCTGCACCTTCTGTGCACGTGATTGTTTTTATACATTTATTTGCTAACTTTTCAGGGGCAGGTAGCAAAGGACCCCCCCCCCCACCCCCCCCCCCCAGACCAGAACCTTTTGTCTGTGACATGTTGAGCTCGGACTCTGATGAAAAATGCCAGTGTGTTGGTGCCCTTGGTCAGCGAGGAGCCGGTCCGTCCACCCAGCGGCTCTGCCCCCCCCCCCCCCCCCCCCCCCCCCCGCGCGCTGTTTGGCACGCTCCGTGGCACCGAGGAGCGCTGAGGGCAGAACGCGTCACCGAGCTGCTGGCACCGAACCCGAACTCCTCCAAGGTTACTCTTTGATTGAATGCTGATGCATTTTTTCTTAAAGCGCATCACCCGCTCCCCGTTAACCCACCTCCCCCACCTCTCCCCTACCATCTCCTCTCCGTCGCAAACAGCGGCGGCGCGCCTCACCTTTAGCACCGGGAGAGGTTGTTTAACTTATAAATCAGCGCGGGAGGGTGAGGGAGGGGGTGGCCCTGATTGTCTCACCCGCCGTCCCGTCTGAGAGGCGGGACGTTGAAGGGAAACGGCGCGATATATTCCCGCTGTGACACGCGGGAAACGGGCCCCTCGTCACGCGGACGGACGGCCGCTCCTCGCGGGCATTTCATCTCCACGCGTATCGCAGAGCCTTGATGTTTTGACACGTAACAAGCTGCTGTTGTAAAATGTATTACCTCGTTGATGGAGGGTGGAAGTACAAGTGTGATCTTTAGCGTTTCTTCATCTGGTATAAATAGCAGCACCCAGGTTTAGGGGTGCGTTTGACAAGGTGGCGTGAAGAAACCATCGCCTGCCTTGTTGTTTTTCCTGTGATACACTGATCGCATTGGCTATTGTAAAAATAGATTTTCAACAAGTTGTATTTTCTCTCTGAGGTGCAGCTGATTGTCAGGGTTTAGCATCGAGACGCACACACACACACACACACACACACACACACACACACACACACACACACACACACACACAGAGACACACACACAGACAGATGTGTCCAGCTGATCAGACTTTATTTTTGTATTATTCCTTTTCTTAACTGAAATTAAATCTGAGGTATTCAGGTAGGAGAGGATCTGCTTTTGTGTAGTGTGCCAGTCTGTTATGGATGGAGATGAGGATTTCTGATAGAAAAAGGGGGGGGGGGGGGGGTGTTGGTAAACCACAGGCTTGAAATGGGCCATATTCATGAGCCATGTAATCCTCTTACGGCTCATGTCGTTTTTAAAAAGCAAACACACCTTTGACACCGATACTTTCGTGTCTGGTTTAATAAAGCTACTTTAACATCGTGATCACTTAAACGCATAATTCTGATGTGAAACAAAGGATTCATCATATGCATTTAAAATCACTGGGTCGGTTGACTCTGTGCTGCAGCTGATGTTTATTTTGAACCAACATAACTTCACATTACATTACAGGTCCTTTTAGCTGACGCTTTTATCCAAAGCGACTTACATTACATTTCTAACCAGGTTTTTTACATTTAGGCGTTGGGTCTCTCGCTCAGGGACACGTCGACATAGGACTCGAACCACCAACGTTGCGGTTCCCAGCACACCCTCTCTCCCCCTGCACCACGACGACCCTTCACCTAGTGCATGATGGTAGAAAACCATTAAAACCCACAACAATGGGCCTTTTTTCGTCTCGTGTTAAAGTGTTTTTTTGTGTTACTTACTGGTCACTTTGACAGAGTCAACTGTAACCGTACTGCTATATGTTATTTTAGTTTGGGTATGATTGGGGACCCAATGGAGTCTGTGTTAAATGCATATAGTGTCTGCTATAGTGACCCAATGAGGGCTTTTGCATTTGAAACTGTTGCCTTCTGAACTGTTTGGGATTGTGTCACATCCACCATCTGAGCACTTCCGCTTATGCTTCCGTTAAACTCATTGTCATTAGATGACACTTGCTGTGATACAGGAGACAAAATCCTCATCGGCCTTTTTCTTTTTTTTAAAACATTTTTTATTACATAATGCTAAACTGAGATGGCCCCTCGTCTCGCAGTGTGCCAAAGACCGGAGATGTGTGCGTTTTGTCGCTGGAAGCGGCCGACAGATATTTCCAAGCGGCCTAATGTCTGCCAGCCTCGCGGTGAGCCGAGCAGCACTGAGCCGTGCGGCTGTGCAAAGGATGTGAGACGCTCTGTGCTGTCATCCATTATCCGGCGTGGTACGAATTGACCGCGTTTGCTATTCTGACATCCATTAGAGCAATTAGCTGCGCCACACAGGTGCCCCGCATTTTCAGTCTGAGACCTTTTTATTAAAAGCCTTAACATATTCCTAATTATCAAACCCTTCCAGAGAAGAACGTGTGTACAAATGTAATATAAGCAGCGGGACGGAATTAAATAGAGCGTAAACTTAATTTCTCTTTGCCACAATGCATTCGATTCATACAGGCTTAATAGTTGTGCTCATTCTCGTGCATATTCAGGGGTGAAGTTCTCGTACCTGGTTATGTCTGGGGGGCATTAAGTCTGACTAATGAAATGACTCCATCCTCTGTGGCGTTTTAATCTATTCTCCGAGAAAGTAATTGACAAGCCCACAGTATGTGCATTAGGAGAGCTGCTGCACCAAAGGACAGCTGTCACTAAAGCAATTAAAATGACAAAGGTTAATTAATTCTCTCCAGTTTTCACCTGATATGAGACGTTCACAATAAGTGAGTTTTCATTTCCGGAGGAGTAATGCTGTTTTGAGGAGAGTAATTTATTTTTGATTTAAAAAAATAATAAAGAAAAGAAGGAAAACACCAGCCGTTGTCTGAAAGAACCTTTAATATGTCAATACGTCACACAAAACTGAGCCCCGGGACGCCTGCAGCCACGGATTTAAAATGAATTCTGCGGAAGGACATGATCTGAAATGACGATCTCTTGTTGTTATTTACGTCCTTTTTGCTGCGTCACAAACACGACGTGATTTGTTCACAGACGAGAACGTTCAAGGCTTCAAAACATTCAGTTCGGACAAACGCAGGAACCAAAAACGGAGCTCTACAGTTTACTGGAGTCGGGGGGGGGGGGGGGGGGGGCGCCAGGGGGATGAAAACCAAGATGCTAATAATTACTGTGCCGACCACCTCTGACACCTCGAGAGCACAACCCAAGAACTTTCTAATCCGCCCAAATGTCAAAGCAGCGTGCGGATCTCCACCGGCTGCCAAAAGGCCAGCGGTTAGTCATCTGTTTACTCCTGCAGCTGCTGGGTGTCATTGGGACCATGAAGGAGAAATCCCATGATGCTCTCTGCCATTTCTGACAGCTCCCGCCCAGACCACATTAATCAGGGATTGTGGGCGAGCTCGGATGGCTGCGGCCCAGGACGACCGAACCGAGGGAGAAGAACTGGGCCTGAAGATAGCTGAGGCGTCCGCACGCTGCCGGGCTTTTCATTCCTTCACACAGAGACGGGACAGTCTCCTCTTCCTCCTCCTCCTCCTCCTCCTCCTCTATAGAGGAGAGGTTCCAGGTAAACTTGCTTTTTGAAAGGAGCATAACTTTGAGAGAGGTTGGCTTTGAAGAGGATGCTGATGAATCCAACGTCTCCCACATGTGGAAATTACTCTCCAAGAAAGAGATTTACTGCTGACTTGAGGTTATTAAAAATGTTAAATCTGTTCGAGTTTAATTTTCCACGTTTTAATTACATACCTCTGCTTTCTCCATCCCGTCTGTTTGATCATTTTATTGACTTGTATTGGAAGTACGGGCAGTTATCTTAGAGTTAACAAAAGATTAGACAGAGGGCACGAAGACGAAACATGAATTAGAAGCTGCTGCCATGACTGCGTGATTGACAGATGTTTTAATAAAAGGAATAATACTAGACTCAACATCCATATCTAACTTATTAATATTGCCCAAAGGCTAAAGATTATTTTAAATCAGCAACGTAATTAAACACAGAAATAAAACAGCCTGATATCTGTAATTACATTTAGATGTGAAATTTACAAAACTCTGATACCTGCATTTGTGGGATTGTTGAGCACCTCGTTGTCAGGGGCAACAAGCTGTTAACACTGACAAAAAGATCACCTCATAAAACAATCCGCTGAAAGCACAATGACGCGTTGTCCAAAATACCGATCAGAGCAGCTTTAAGTTGGCGAACACGTCTGTGCGTTACTCGCGCGACTGCAACGGCACCGCGCGCGCACGCGGTGCGTCGCACTCGCCCTCAGACGACGACATCCGCCCCGCGGACTGTTTACACTCGTTAGATCGCGTGCGTAATGAGGCCGCATTGTCTCCGCGAAGCGCTGCTTTGATTCTCCGAGTCTGAACAAACTGTCCTTGGCGCAGTCGAGATATCAACGTCACTTTACTGAGATGAAAGAAGTGCCCCCCCCCCCCCCAAAAAACGCTCCCTCTTCTCGGTGACAGAAACATGCTCCCGATTTACGAGTCAGGGGCGTTCAGTGAATTCTGGCAGCCCCGTTTCTCCACATCATAAATCCCTCCTTATGCTCACTCACATCCCACAGGCACGCCGCTATTCTTCCGGCTGGCTTGTCAGGGAAATACGCGCCGGCGCTGCACGTTGGATGCCGTCCAGCCGCCGTTGGCAGCGACAGTGTCGCGGTCGCCGCGTCGCGCGCCGCGGAAGAACACTGAATTTAAATAGACACCCGCGATCGGGCCCCAAGGTGCACATTTGTGCTTTTTCCCCCCCCTCTCATTTATTTTTTTTACAGGTTTCCATTGGCGTTTTAATTCCTTCCTTCTGTGGTGTTGACTCTGCAGAGCTTCCACTTTGTTCATTTCGCCTAAATGCTTCACGTTGAGCCACTGGCTCCCAATTTATGTAATGAAGGTTTAATAGCCAATTGGAACATCCAATATCATTAACAGCCAGTGTTAGTCTCATCCAGATATCTAGTTTTTTTTTTTTTTGGTGCAAACGTTTGATAGGTAGAATGTGTGATTAGCACCAGCTGTTTGATCTCCTCTGAGGCAAGAAATCACATTTTAACACAGTTCTCTTTCAATTTGTTTGATGAACTTTCATGTCTTCTGCTTCTTCCTTTTTTTTTCAAAAACACCTATGACCTTGTTTTTCTCATCATCCAGCATTCTCTTAATACAAAGGGTCTACCGGCAGCTATTTGTGCCTACTGGACGCCAGTGTGGCCCAGACGCCTCTTACTATTGGCTGCTCGTATTGTTAATGTTGCAGGGGGAAAAATGTATCGTATTGGATTATAAAGGAGACGCCGGACTGAGAAGCAAGGAGCACAGTTCATCTTTTAAGTGGCAGTGAAGAAATGAGTCGTCTGCATCTCTGTTATCTTGTGTGATTTCTGCAAGTTTTCTTTATTCATTGCAACATTTACTTGCACGTTTGATCTGCTTGCCCCCCCCACCCCTCCAGTGGTGTCATCGGTGTCATCGAGCGCGGCCTTAAAACCGCTACGAGGTATCACAGAATTGAAATCAAAGTAATTTTTTTTTCTTTTTCTTTTTTTTTCTCCGTCGCCGCTTGATGAAGATTATTTCTGACAGCTGCAGTAACATGAAAATATAGATGGACGTTGTTCAGTTGTTTGCCACATTCTGTTCATGCACGGACACGGGCGAGATTCCCACAACAATATCAGAGAGGTAAATTCACGCTAACAATCACACTGCAGAAAAACAACACCACTCAAAATATATTTTCTTTTTCCATTATGCCCTCTACTGCATACTGACAGGTTCTTTGTATTTGCATTGACATTTACGTGTTTGCAATGATTACCAGCAACTGATTGGAAAAGACAGAAAGCAGGATTGTGGCGGAAATACACTATTCGAATAAACAACTAAATTAGCAGAAGGAAACATTAATAAAATTGTTTTCTGGTCTTTGTGTGGAACCCACAATATTTACATAAATACAATCAGCATATTTTTACGGTTGGCTTGAGAAGTTCCTTTCCATGTAAGCTGCTATGCATATAATATGAGTATTGCAAACCTACAAATGCCTCCCTAAATGCTCCCGTTATGACCTCAGGTGGGTCTGTTCATTGGAGCAATGTCAGTCTGGAGTGATGCCTGTCAACGCCTCCAGTTTGAAGTGTGTTGAATCCATTTTTTATTCAAATAATCTGACGTCGTTAAAGACCCGACAGCAGGCCTCTTTTTAAATCTTTTTTTAAATTTATTTTGACCTCTTCTTTTTTTTGTTTGCGTTGTTTTATCTAACTTTTGTCCTCGTCCTGGTCACGTGATCACCCCGTGGGCAGGTAGGGGGTGTCGCTGTGGTAGTTGTAATCTGGACACACCTTCTGCACCAGCTTGTAGTCGGTGCTGTAGAAGGTGATGAAGATGCAGATGACCTTAAAGGGCTTGGAGCACAGCCAGGACACGTGGCTCTGGGTCTGCTCCTGCGAGCAGCTCTGCGACGGGTCGTGGGCGCACAGCGAGTTCCTGGTGCCCTTCTCCACCTTCTCGTACTCCACCCTGCAGTTGAACAGCTTGTTGTCCTTGGTCTCCAGAGCCGTCTGCTGCTGCTTGTGGTGGTTTTGGTATTGCTGGTGCTGCTGGCGGACCTGGAACTCCACGGCCTTGGTGGGTGGAACGAGCCCCACGGACACGTTGCCCTGACCGGTGGAGTTGTGGCGGAAGTAGACGCTGAAGGTCCCGTTGCCGTGATCCACAATCTTACCCGTGATGAGGAGGTTCAGCTTCACCGTCTTGATATTGGAATGGAAGTCGCCCCAACCGAACATCTTCTTGAACTTGCCGGTCTTGACGATGGGCCTCCTCTTGGTCCTGGATCGAGGGTCGCGGGAGTTGGACGCGTTGTAGAGCCAGTTCCACTGCTCCGGTTTGGAGAAGGAGTCCGCCCCGTCGTAGTTCAGGTCCAGAGAGGTGAAGTTCTCTTTGCTGTAGAGGGTCTGAGACAGCAGGCGGCTGATGGAGACCGCTTTGCTGCTTTCAGTCCAGTAGGTCTTCACTTTGGATTTTGAGCTCCCTCTCAAGTCTGGATTTCCTGGACTCGGTGAGTCGGCACTGGCAACCTGAAAGAAAAGACAATCGCCATTACTGAAACATTTCAACCCCTCAAAAGAGCTCCTCTGACGAGCCGTCAGACGCTGTTCTCAGAATCAATTCTGAACTGCATCAAATTAAAGAGTGACTGACACGACGATGTCAGGGTGCATTAGAGCTTTGTATCAGGGTGGCGCGTCAATGTGGAAATCATTTTCTGTGATTAAAACTAAGCTGGAATCTCTCTGGTTAGAGGCGTACGATCCCTCGGAATCAAATGAATTGCAGAGAAATGTGATGATGATGATGAGTACGTCGACACTGAGCGGATGATGCTGAGTGTCTGACGTGGTACCGCAGTTACAACGCTGACTGTTGGTGGGTTCGTTTGATTAGCTGCAACTGCATCTGTCCTAAACGTTTACGTAATTGAAGAACTGGCCAGATGTGCGGCGTCCAGTCACAGTGGACCACATGCTGAGCACTTTGTGCTTCCCATTCCCTCGCCGTGCTTTTGGGGATACCCTGCTAACAGATAAACGACCGACGAGCTTCATTCATCCACCAGCATCTCGGCACCTCAAATGCTCGCCCCCGAAAAACCAGCTCTCCCAGTCTGTGAAACGTCCTAATCAAGATTTAAGGGCGTTCCTGCCCACACAAGCAGAGGAATGAAGGGCGTCTCGGGTGCAGACTATTACCCGCCGAACGGATGATTGATGATTCATTCCGCATCCCTCCTCCAACAGTCACACAGATGAGGCAGCGAAGGTTCCCAGCAAGCGCCATGACAGTGACGCCCGAACGCCGGGCGAGGAACGTGACAGCAGATCCGTCTGGTCGATGCGTTCGCATTCTGCACCATCGTCACCCCCCAGCGATCGATACTCTGAAAATAAGGTCTTCTCTCATTCAGAAAGTTCACTGGATGACATTGTAGCACCGTACCAGAGGGTATGAACGGCCCTGGTTCCAGAGTTGTGATCTTCTGAAAGTAAGCGTTTAATTTGGTGCACTCGGCTTCAGAGAGGGAAAAAAAAAAAAGGGTGAAGAGCCCCCCCCGGTTGTTTTGGAAGAGGCCTCGATGATAAATGGCCCGATATGGATGTACTGGTGAGACTCCGGCCTCCGTAGCTGTGTGAAGATGGACACGACCTGCGCATTTCTTCATCAAAAGCCTTTCAAACCCAGAAAACGTTTGGAGATCTTTGGCAGCAAGCTGGATTTTGTAAAAGAAAAAAGACAGAGAGAGGGAGGGAGGGAGAGCTGCAGGACTTTGAGCTGCAGAATGATCGTCGTGACAAGGTGAAGAGAACTATGACTTCCAGCAGTTTCCTTGCGCAGTGGGGCAGTTAAACTGTATTAATGAACACCTCCTTTTGTCTTCCATTGCTGGAAACAAAAGTCTGTCATGTCGGCCTTGCTGGTGATGTACTGTAAAAAGACGAGGTGAGCGGGAGGATGAGGGAGGCTTCCTGTTCAGGATTTATCTTCACCATTACAGTCCAACATAAAGCTCCTCGGGATGTAAGAGTTGAATTAGCATCGTATGGACTTTTCAGCCGAGCAGCTATAAAGTTCATTCTGACATTATACTACCAGTCTTTATTGTTTGGTTTAATAATATTTCAGGTTGCAGCTTGCTTCAGTTTTTTGTGTTGATGTAAAAGTGAAAATGGAACAAAGCAATGGTTATTTTTAGGTTGATACAGCGGCTAATTTAAGGGAGGCGTGTGCTGATTTTTCAGGTTCATACTTGTATGTTGGGTCACTATTAAAACATGCTTACATGCTTTTATGTTTTTATGTCCTAATGTACCTGTATTAATTCTCGCTCCGTTTTAGTGCACGTTAATGGAATGCGTTGCTAGGAAACAGCTGAATCAACACGAGTTGAAACATTTCAGTATTACTGTCCGCTGGAATCGTCTAAATTATCTTTGACCCCTAATCCCCATTTCATTTTACTGATTTTTTTTCTTTCTGAAAAGTCTCTAATAATCAGATTCATTTTCGTAGTAATTACTGATTGCTCCTCGGTAACGCTTCAGATCGAGGAGCGCTTTGAGCCGGTTCAAGTCTTTATTTAACTATTTATCTCTCCGGCTAATCATTGACAGTGTGTGTGGATACAAATATTATTTTTCAAACAATGCAGGTCAAATGAGATTTTAGGATGTTTTATTGCTTTTTTGCTTTAAAGCAATGTGTGTTTTTGAAAACCCCTTATTTCCTGCGACTTCCATGTTGTGAGTCATTTCGTGGGATACGATGTTCCTGGATTTCCTTATTCCCTTTTCCACCAAATGACGTGAATGAATTGTGCTCCCAGTGATCATCGGACCAGAATCCTCGCTGTCGTGGAGGGAACTTGCTCTGTTGTCACCGGCGTTATGTACGGTCCCCAAACTGTGACACGCAATTAGCTTTCATCTAAAGCACCTGACAGTCTGTGGATTAGAGCACATTCACAGAGACCCCACTTCACGGATTACAGTCCAACCTGTAATCCGGGCCCGGGGAGATTAGCCAGATCAGAGGCAGTCCTGACTAAAGCGAGGTTTATATCCAGAACACCCCGACTGACTGCACCAACACTCAGAGGGCCGAGAGTTACCTCTCGCCTGAGAAACGTGCAAGAGTGTGAGTGTGTGTGTGTGTGTGTGAGTGTGTTAGATGCATGAATGCGCCTGAAAGAGACACCGCAGAGAGAGAAAGAGGAACAATGCTGCTGGATAAAGGACAGGAGAGAAACAAACATGCCAGCGTAAAGGTCAACAGTCACACTGGGATGACTTTGGGTTGCCGAGGATATTGGGTTTGTCACTAATGTGTTTTATTAAATATCAAACTACATCTTCCACGGATTAAAGTGAGATTCATTTTGCACTCGGGTAACTTTATTCAACTGCATGTGTTTAAATTATTGTTTGGTTTCTTAAAAAGAAGCAATACCGTGTCCAATGGTTTAGTTGAAATATGTTTTCATGTCCAGGAAAGGTCAAATTCCAATTATTCAAAAGAAAAAAGAAAACCCTTTTCTGTTGTGATTTTTGTAAACCTTCATGTTGGTAAATGTCACACACAAAAATAATCTGCACACTATACTATAGATACGTTTAATCAACATGAGATCACCTGACACCATATACAAATAAAACAAGCAGTTGAATCTGCACGATGGGAAATTAGCAGAAATATCTCGTCACTGCAAAGTGAAAGATGAAAGCACCGATGTCGATAAGTGATCAGCACACTTAGCTGTTGTACACACAAAAACAAAATGTTCTTGCTAAGTTTTGGTCTTTCTCCTGAGAGGGTTGTTTGTATTTGTTTGAGCTCTGCTAACAGGATTACGGGCCGAGCCGTGTTGGAAAATGTCAGCTGTTCGCTCATGTTGCAGAAAGCTAAAGCCACACAGTCCGGATGTGGCAGATTAGTTGAGACTGTTCAGACTGTTACATGCTTATAATAACTACTAAGGAGGGTTTCCTGAACCTCAATTCTAATCATATTAAGGTAAATTGATGAGGCTTAATGTCATTGAGAAATATTCGTGGTTTGTTTTAAGGGGCGTTAATGGTATTTTTGGTGTTTACTGCAGAGGTTCACTTCCATGAAGTTAAATAAATGCCGCAAAATTAAAAAGAAAACTAAAAACTAAAGCATCAGAGGCAGAGAGTTTATGAGTGAGGAGATTTGCTGTGATTCCTTTACTCAAACAAAAGCATCTTCAGACCCCCACCTACCTGGTGAATGTCTTTCTAAAGCAGGCTTCAAATCTGTGGAGCTTTTGTACAGAAAATACACAAACTTACAGAAAGTCACACCGGTCAAATGCAGCAGAGGAAGAAAAAAAAATTCAATTTGCAAAACATTCTAAATATAGCATCACATTCAAACATATCTCCCAATCGTATTCAGAGCCTTTTCATTTCACGGCTCTGGGTTGTTCAAACTTTTCCACCTGCAGCTTGTTACGTACAGGCAAACCATTTCCCCCCGTGTGTTCGTATTGTTCCCCTGGTGCGCTGAATGAGGCAGAATCCCTCGACAAGACAACGCAAACCGCCTCGCTGTGCAGAAGTCCTCTTTAGCAAAGCTCTCCCCAGATTGCCAGATGCAGCGCAGCGGCCTAAATGCTATCTGCTCCCAGCTATCGGCTGTGATAAGGCGCAGGCGTCCCGCTCCTTGAAACGGGAAGATAAACAACCCCGGCGTTCCCTCGGGAGCTCGGAGGATATTCTATGCCCCCCAACACCCCCCTCTCCACCCACTCCGCCGACCTCATCCCCCGGGAGCGGACAACAAATTCCACCTTTAATAGAACCGTCAAAAGGGGCCGAGCATCTCGGCGGTGGGTCCCTCACAAAGAAACGTATGTGGAAGAATGAAAGTGTGTGTCACTTTTCATTTACCTGTACGCGGGGGGGAGGGTGGTGGTGGGTGTAGTAAAGAAGAGAACCGGGTTTAGAGCCGCATTCTGGCTGCCACTTTGCAGCCTCGATTGGATCGGAGTGTTTCGGCTGCAGTGTGCAGATAGTTGTTGTTCGTGAGCGACGCGCTGCGGATTTATTCACCCCGTTTAAAAAAAAAAAAAATGTTTGTTTATCCGGAGCGTTGAAGCGTGGGGGAGCGATCAGGGGTTGGAGGTTTGCAGCTCAAGGACACCACGAGGCTGCCGTGGGATCAAACCTGCTGTGACCTTCCGGGTACGAGAGGTCACGTATGATCTAAAATATGACCTTGCGCTGCCACGCGCCTCCATCGCAACACTCGAGTTCAGGAAGGAAAAGGGAATAAATGAAATGAGAGAAATGACAAACGTTCCCCCAGAGAGGAGGCGGGTTACCGGCCCTCGGTGTGTTGATCCCGTCTTTAGAGTACTTTCCCACTGTGCACTTGGGAGGCGTTTTTAGTGAATTTAGCCTTGTGAGGTCGCCCCTCCCGCCGCCGAGCTGATGGATCAGCTAAGCGGCATTGGCACGCCCGCTAAGAGTTTAGTCTACACTCTCTCCCAGTGATATCAAAGTGTTACCTGAGGGGAAGGGGAAGGGGGGGGGTGGTAGGGGGTCAGAGATGATGACAAATCACAAAGTGTGTCAAGACATCACAGGCAGCTGGTGGATGGAGCCGAGGTCCCATCAGCCCGCTTTGAGACGCCAGGGCACAATTACTAGCGTGACTCCTGAGGAGGATAAATACCAGCCGCGGTCAGACTGCAGGATATAAGAGCAGGGGCAGTTTGAAGACTAAGAAATGGGGGGGGGGGAAGGGGGAGGTAAGAGGGGGAGGGAGGGAGAGGGAGAGAGACTAGCCGCCAGTTTCTCAACTTACCCAGAGGAAAAATGCATAATCATATTATTTCACACACGACTTGGTTCAAAGGCGGCCAAAATAAGTTTGCGAGGTTCCCATGGGTCTGTCAATCTGTTGAAGGAGCTGCAGGCGAAAGCTTAGGATGCACCGAGTACGAAACAATTATGATCATCCCATTAAAGCATAGCGAAGCAATTTGGAAGCCGACTCTGGGAGGGAAAAAAAAAAAAAAAAAAAAAAAAAAAAAAAGAAAGAAAAAAAAAAAGAAAAAGAAAGAAGCCTCCGCTTCCATCCAGTGATGCTACGAGTAGCAGGATGCTATCGCACATGTGAGCCGCACACTTGATCAATGTTTGTCTCTCCGTTGAGTCGATAATGGAATACATGTTTGTTAATGTTATTGCTCCCGGAACCGAGGAATCTTTGTTGTTCCTTCAAAGCAGGAAAGATTTGTAAGGTACAAAAAAAAAGAAGAAGAAAATAGAAAGAAAGTGGGGGGAGGAAATGATTAGTGCGCTTAGTCAGCTGTGAAATTGAGTTTATGGTTTTCAAGACGGTGAATTCAATTCGATAATGGGTATTAAGTTGTAGAGAATAATTAATAGTAATTGACTTCTTTCCATCACTATGCAAATTAAACACTGATAACACCACGGGAGCTTTTTAAGGCCAGTCAAGTTTGCGAGGATTAAGTTTATGGGGTTTTTTTTCGGTGTTGGGGAGAGGAGTGGCTCCTGCTCTGCTTTGATTGCTCTGTTGACAGACTTATCAGTGGGTGAGGGGTTACTGTCTTTCCGAGGATTAAAGGAATTGGGTTGTCACAAACTGTCTAGGAGCATTCTGCCATGTTTGTCATAATGGGCTCAGGCTGTTCTCCGCCGTACTGTCACATGTATTCCCATTGAAGTGTGTCTGTAAATGGGAAGAGAGGAGGGAAGGGAATGGCGCTTGAGGGGGAGAAATTGGTGATTGTGGTGGATTTGTGGAGATGCAGATTTTGGGTTTTGGAAAAGCTCGCGTCCACATCGTGCGACGGTGCTAACGAGTCAGAGTGCATGGAGCGCTCACTGATCCGGGTTTTTGTCACTACGGGGCTGAAATTCAGGGTAAACATTTGAAAAGCAAGCCTATTATATGACAATTAAAAATAGTCTTAAATCAACTAAATGACATGTTGACAGCTGCCATCTTCTGATTCAAACCCTTCTAGTTGTGTTGTCTTTGCACCGACCGGAAACTCACTTCAATCAAAAGAATTCTATTTGCGCACATTGCTCAATAGCGCTGCTCCCAGACATTAAGCACACGAGCCGCAGAGATGTAAAATGACCAGAAGAGGCACAACGAGAGGGAGACGTTCAACTCACCAGAGAGACGGCTGCCAGCAGCAGAGCGGCCGCCCGCAGGCGTGTGGTCTTCATGTCAAACTGCCCTGGATCTTCTTCTTCAGCAGCACAAAGGAAAAGAAAAAGCTTCCTCTGGACGAGGCCGGGACCAGCCGCCCCAACTTGGAGGAGGAACCTGGAGTGAGGAGAGGCGGTCTTGAGGCTGGAGAGGGGAGATCAATCTTCTCGGGCTCTTTCGAGGGGGTCAGGTGTCTGGCATTAAAAAGAAAAACTGCCTGAAGTGTTCCTACTGGGGAGGTTTCTGCTGCGAGGTTTGGAGGAGCCGAGGTGTTTGCACATCTGAGAGTGTCAGCGTGGAGGGATGTTTTATATAGTGCGCTCCGAGGTGCAGGGAGGGAGGGAGGGGGGGAGGGAGGGAGAGACGAATGGAGTGAGCGAGGAGCAGAGAAGGAGGCTCACGTCGACTTCTGAGAGGCAACTTTTCCTTCAACGTCGTCGGTGGCTGACATCTGGTGGTCGTCCGCGGCACCTTGCCCAGAAGCCGTGGACATCCGTCACGTTGCCATGGCGATGTCACGTTACCAGACCCCCAAAAAAGGCCCGAATGTTTATTCGACATGTAGTTTATGAGGGGGTTTAAAAACTTTAATGAGTCACATTATGAGATATAAATGTAACAATTTTTAAGGCTAATTCATGATGGGATTATTTCAATATTACGTTATCAGGTTTTTCCAAATCATTGTTTGTTTTTGCTGTACAAACAAATAAATGAAAATGAATACAAACTAATTAATATTAAATGAATAAAAGGAAATAAATAAAAATCACCGCACCGTTGTGACGAAAAGAGAGCTGAGCCGGAAGGCAAAGCTCTCGATCTACTGGTCAATCATGAAGGATGGGTGATGACCGAAAGAACTGGGTCACGGGTACAAGCGGCCCAAATGGGTTTCCTCAGGAGAGCGGCTCCCTTAGGGATAGGGTGAGAAGCTCAGGCATGCGCGAGGATATCGGAGTAGAGCCGCTGCTCCTTTGCCATCGAAAGGAGCCAGTTGAGGTGGTTTAGGCATCTGGTGAGGAGGCCCCTTGGGCTCCTACGTAGGGAGGTGTTCCAGGCACGGCCAGCTGGGAAGAGGCCCCGGGGAAGACCCAGGACTAGGTGGAGAGATTATATCTCTGCGCTGGCCTGGGATCGCCTTGGGATCCCCCAGTCAGAGCTGGTAGATGTGGCCCGGGAAAGGGAAGTTTGGGGTCCCCCGCTGGAGCTGTTGCCCCGGCGACCCGACCCCGGATAAGCGGCTGAAGATGGATGGATAAAAAGTATGATGATATCGAATAAGACCTTCTTTTGTATTTACATGAAAAAAAGACTTGGAGCACGACTAATAGTTACATTTATGCTGTCAAAAACGATGCAGTGCATGACAGCTATATTTCAAATACAAAAAAACAAACATATCCCACAATGCAACGCATAGCAACAATGAAACATCTTTGAAACCCGCCCCCTGTTGGTGTCTGGTTCAGTTTTAGTCTTCCGGTCCCAAGTTGGAAATTATGCACTGATGAAAACTTGAGATGTGTGAAGACGGCTTCTCCTTTTCCCTCCTAATGAGTCAACACTGAAATGTACAGTCTAACACCCCGAAATAAGAGTTCTCATCATCCCCGTTCTAAACACACACTCCTTAACTTAGAATGAAACGTTAACTTGTTAATTTACAGCACATGTGGTTAAAATAAACTGAAGCTAATTGTCAGTTGAGAGCAGAGCGAGCAACATGCAGGTTCTTACTTTGAGGATTTGCTTTTGCATTTACTTGTTTTTCTTCATTACATTAGGAGCATTAGAAGACGAGATAGAAAAAGATCAATATTTGATGTAGTCTCCCTCCGTGTGTGTGTGTGTGTTGTAATGTGTTTTAGTGGGTCGTTGGAGGAGGAGGCGGGGTTGCAGAAAGCGTAGCTCCAAGATTGCCTGAAGATCTCTTTCTATGCTTTGAAGTGAATGATTTCTCTTCTCAGTGGCTGACATTGTTTCTCCTCTTTATAGAATGCTGCCGACAATACACAGTCTGAACCGATTATGCCGCGTGGCCCCCGCTCTCCGCTTCCCGCCTTAGTTCAGCACCGCCGCCGCCGCGTGCGCTGTTAGCATCGCTGGCTGGCGGGTGGGGAGGCAATAGAAATGCTCTGAAGTTCAACCCCCCCCCCCGCCTCCTCCGTTCAGCAGCCTAATCCAAGACTCTCTTAACGTCGACAAATCCCATGAAAAGACGGAAACTAAGAATTAATACGGCACGCGTCTTTAAGGAAATGACTGCGCTCTGAAACAAAAATCCACTAGATGGTCATGAGATGTATCTCAGGATCAAATAGATGATGACATGCCATCCAATATCTAAGATGTAACCATTAGATTAGATTACACTTTCATCACATCGTTGGGATCTTTTCATGAAATTGTTGACGATAAAGAAAATATGTAAAACCGAAGCCGTGATCCTTCATTGGCAAAATGGTTCTGCTCTCTTGGGAACGTGGAAATAAAAGTTACATAAATGGGTCGCTCACTTTCTTTGTGTGTTTACCACCGTGTTCTTATTTATTTTCAGTAATTTTTCCCATACATATAAACAACCTGTACAAAAACGTCTGAGCCTTCGTTTTTTTTTTCTCTCTCCATAACGTACAACTTGCATCATGATAACAACGATCAGCAATATCACACACCCACTTCGCGATATTCAAACTAAACATTTTCTGTGCAATACAAAATAAATGTTCACATACTTTGATTTTTTTTTTCTCCCAAAAAATAAAAAATTGCTGTTATTTACAAATCCCACAAGAAAACAAAAGTAAACATTCTGCGCACCAGTTTGCTTTTACGTCGGACTCATCAGAAGCATTTTCTCATATTGTTATTAACAGTTTGTATAGTTTCTTTGTACAGATTGTTTTTTTTAATCTATATTTCAGCTTGCGTAGTGGGACTGAAAGAGGAAAGAGCACCTATGACACGGATTACTACATGAAAACCATGACCCCAAAAGAAAAGTTAGTCTTCTTTCCATGTGGCCGTTTAATCAAGTATTGCAATTCTGTTACAGGACCGTTAGTGTCGAGCTGTCGTCAGTAAGGCAGAAATGACATGAATGGTTTACATTTATTCTTTTTCTTTAACGGCTGAAAAGTTATATTCTCTCCAATGAACTTCTGATGGGTAAAGAAAAGTAGAGAATTGGAATTTGATTTAAATATTCGTGGTTCAAAATGAATCTAAAGCAGGAGATTCATGAAAAACACCTTCTGATATCATAGTTACACCTTCAGTTTGATCTGGGGCACAAAGAAAAGTGATAACACCAGACGCAATCTACCAACCACAAAAGGTACTTTTACTACAACAAATCAGCTGTGAGAAAGAAAATCTATACACATATATCCACTCGAGATTCACATCTGAACATCAAACTCTGGTTTCCCGTTGCCGTGGTTTTTCTTTGACGCGTCGGTGGCTGTTCCTCCGCGTCGTGGGTCTGTCGGTGGAAGAGGCAGTGTTTTATGGCAATAGGTAGAAGTCACGTGTGCATATCATGCTGCACTAATATAGTGCAAAGTAGAGCCCGAAAACCAAGAAAGGGTGGAGGCAGGGAGGAAGCTCGCAGGCTGCTCGTCCGTCAGCACCCATCTGTTTATCCCACAAACACAGGCCTGTGTGCCTCGAAATCCAGCGAAAAAAAGAAAAAAAAGGGAAGAAGAAACGCTTCGCTTTTGTTCAAGACCGTAAGAGATTTCAGTCGAAAAACCCAGTTGAGGATTGAGGAAAAAGGAATCCAAACCTTTTTATGGAGATTTTCCTCTCCCTCCTCCTCTTCCCTGCGGTGACTTCTGGCAACGTACGAACCGTCAGAGCATCCTAAGCCTCCAGCTACTCAGCATTTTTTAGGGACAAGCGGGGAACGCGTGGGGGGGAGATGGAGGGGGGGAGGGTGTTGGAGCTCGAGCTGCCATGTTCAGAGACAGACTGCATCCGGACTCCTCCAGCTGAAAATCTCTTCTTTCGGACGATGGGTTGGGGGCCAAAAAAAAAGGTATTTCATTGAACAAGGTGGAGTTCATGAAGGCTCTTTGAAAAAAAAATAAAATAAAATACTTGGATGATACAAAAAGAGGGTGTTTGAATGGCGCTCTACTTGAAATGGATGAAACCCACCACTGTCTCGGCTGTAAGAGGATTTTCGGTGATTTCTGCGCCTCGTTTGCGCCGCAAAAACACCCGTGTCCCTCGCTGCCACGGCGCGACCGAGTGGGCCTCGGCGGCGGGGGAAGTGCTCGGGGACCCCGAGGACTACATGTCCGTGTCCCCGTCGTAAGCCAGAGTCAGAGGTTTCAGTCGGTTGTTTTGCTGCCTCTGTCTCTGAGGTCTCTTTGGCTTTTTGCTGTGTGGAAAGAGGAAAACAGGGTAAGACTGCAGCTGGAAATAATCCCCGATCCGAGTGGGGGGGTAACAGCGCCTGAACCGGGACTGGTTTTACTGACCCGATCCCAGTTGGGACTACATCCCTCATCTAGTCTTTAAACATATTACACTGTCTTGGATCCTCAAGACAATCACTATAAATAAACCATGATAAGAACCGTGAGCTTCTGGCCCTGTAATGCCCTCATGTCTTAGACCTGCTGTACTGATCTGCACAGGAGATGTACTACATACATGTAATATATGACATGTCATAGTAGTATATGCAAGAAGGCATTATGAAGTCACAGTATAACACGTAGAAACACGTCCTAATATAGCATGTCCAGAAAGTCTGTAGACTTGTTGTTTAAATGTCATAAAGTAAAAACCGAATTAAAACAGAAAATTGTCACATTAAAAAAAAAGCTAATTGATTGCCTGTTGAACAACTAATTACATCAGCGAAGACGATTAAGAATAGGTCCAATTAACACCAATTGTATGGAGTCGTGAAGGCTGAATACAAAGAAATAACATCAATTCTCTTAATGTGAGAGACGGATAATGAGCGCTTGATTTGACAGGAAATGAAATGGGAGGGAGCAGACGATGGGGGTAGAGCGGGTGCGCTGGGAACCGCAAGGTTGGTGGTTCGAGTCCAGGCTGCCCCATGTCTCAAGTCGAAGTGTCCCTGAGCAATTGCTCCCTGGGCAAAAATGTAAAAGCCACGGGTTTAAAGTGTAATGTAAGTTGCTTTGGATAAAAGCATCTGCTAAATGACATGTAATGACATGTAACGTTTGGCCCGACTTCCTCTCGCAGCCACCAGGGGGCGGCATGACATCACGGTTTTGTGTTGCAGAGACGAGTCCCTTCTGGGGACCGTTTTCTTCTGTCATCCACACGTGTCTATCGTTGTAGATTTAGTAGATGTGTCCTCTACATACGATATACTACAGCTTCATTTACCAATAGAAACCTGTGTAACAACTTGACATACCCACGAGAACTGAACTCACAGGCTGATTCTCCTGATGAGATTTAATAATTTAGTACTGTGCACAAGCTCAATTTCAACATATGTTTTTCTTCTACATTCTTCCACTTCATTTCAAAGAAAAATATATATTATACTTTTTACTCAGGTGCAGGTTTTTGACACTCGCATTGATTACTAGTGATATTTAAAAACTTGTATGTTATGATGAAGCACTAAACTACTTACTTACAGACCTATACCTAGAAGATCAAATTGGCTCCACGATGAGGAACTACAACATAAAAATGTCGACAAATGACCTGGTTTACTTCTATTCTACTTCTATTTAAGTATGTTTTTCTTATACGAATAGATGTATGAATGCATCAAGATTTCGTGTATTGTCTATATTATAGGTATATCTTTATTATTCACTATACTTTCATTGCAACAGTGTTTTTTAAAACAATTTCTTATTAACTAAAGTGACGGATTGAAAGATGTCTTATGGTGCTACTTAGGGATGCTAAGCTAATATGCTACGCTACTATCCTAACACAGTATATTCTGTTTATGCCCTATGGTAAATCAAAAAGGGACCCAGGATAGTTTTTTTTAATCACATGACTCACCCGTTAAGATTGATGTTGTTCATTTCAACACACTGTTATGAAAACTTGCTGCCCCAAAACACGTTAATCCGACACGGGTCACTTTTAAAAACTGGCATAATCAGAACATACTGTACATGGCGTAGACGCCCCGAGGACCGACTCGTCCTACACTAAATGGTCCCGGAGGGTTTGTCCTCACCTGCACCAGCACCTTCACGCAGCTAGTCAGGCGGGACCTGCGACCCTTTAGAGGGGCGGACCGGAGGGTGTGTCCAGAGGGGCCGTGGCCCTCCACATCCCCATTAGCTGTTGCTACGGCTCTGAGCCGGCTCTTGGCAATCGGGGCAGGTGTAAATCATCTCGTGTGCGTTCCGGCCCCCCCATACCGCCGCCCCGTTGGCGTCGGACTCCTGGGCCTCGAGAGACCGATACACTTTGGCGCAGTAGCTGCTGCTCGCACACGAGACGGAGCGCACGAGGGACGCGGCCAAAAAAAACAAAAACGGGAAAGAAAAAACAAAAAGGACAGAAGACGGTGATGCAAAGGTGGCTGGTGGGTGGAGGAGGGGTGGGGCAGGGGGGGGGGCTCTGAGCGGGTGGGACAGATGACTTTTGGTTTCATGGAGGAGGAGGATGGTGAATAGGGGGAAATCAAAGTGGTCAACTCACCAAGCTAGGTATATCATAGACACTATGAATATGAGGAGCACAAAGGCTCCGGCTGCTACACCATACACCCACATCTTCAGCTTCCCATCTGTGGAGGAGGAGGCGGCTCGTCAGTTCTCACTTCACTCGGGGAACGATTCTCACTTCTTCTCCCCAGTTGTGAAAACGCAGTAATTCACAGTGTGGGTTTTTATCGTGTGAATCAGGTCCCGTTAAAATACTGGTTCTCTAAAGTAGGTCAATCTGTCAGGGCCGTGCATTTAGCTTGCACGGGTCACGGTTTGGTTTCTAATTACCTCCCTATTAATTCCACGATCTTCTTCAGTTTACTGATCGCTTATGAAAGAAGTGGGGAAAATTAAAAAGCAAATGTTATGTCAAGCGATAGGAATCACAGAGGCCCCGACTGAACACTTAAATGACTTTAAGATGAAGGCTTTTCTCAGTCCACTCACTTGATATAATGATGAAAAGGGGTTATTTCCCAACAGATCACACAAAGATAGTTTACACTATTCAGATTTGGATGTTCGATTAGTTTCCCTCAGAAGTAACATCAAGGTTCCTTTGTAGAAAAAGAAGTAGAAGTACTTTGCAAGAACAAGTACTTTTTTATCTGCTTTATACTATTACACATTTCACTCCACCACGGCTATTTTGACAGCTTCAGTTGCTTGATACTTTGCATAGACAACTAATACAAAATTATATATCTATATATATATAGATATATAATCAATTTTGATGTATCAAGCTACTCTAAGTATTTTGTTAAAGTCGTAAACATCTGCTCCCTTTACACCGGCTGCAACATTACAGATAATAGTCATCATCCAATGATCAAATACATGTTATTCTCAAATAATGCTTGTACTTAAGCTACTTTAATGCTCATTCTTTTTCTAAATGTGATTTGAATGTCTCCCAAAGTTCAGCAGGAACTCATCATTTATTTCTCCTTTTACCTACAATGACACTTGTTACTACAGTTACCTCGTTTCAAGCACGTTTCACGTCTCACTGTAATGAAGCACAGGAGGAGGAACCTTCATGTGTGACCATGTGACCATAAAGGACGTGTGGAAGTTCCTGCTCTGACAGGCGTCGACTCAAATCTGTTCTGCCCTCCCGCCTCCCGAAATGTTTCCCCTGCTGTCATGCACCATCAGTCACAACGCAGTGTGCGGCTGCACCTCTCAAACCTTAACGTCCCGGCGGCCTCGGAGGGGGGCGGCGAGGTTCGTGTGCCCGATGCGTCTTTTGTTTCTTTAATGCGTCAGTTTTAGTTGGCGCGTTAAACCCGCCGACACAAAGCACTAGTGCGTTATGCCGTCGCCGCGTGACGACCTGTCGGCTTTACGCCTTAACTTTACCTCGGGGATTACGCGCCGCTCGACAGGGAGGGAAAGTTTGGCGAAAGCCGGGTTTTGTTAAACCCCTTCTGATGAACCTAAAAAGGCATCGTGGGCACTTGTCTTTGTTGTTGAGAGGTAAAATTAGAAACTTTTTTAAATAAAAAGAGTTTTTTGGAGGACGTTGAATGTGTGTTTGGATTGTAAAGCCATCCGAAGGGATTTGTGATGTTAAGTTATACTAATTAAGTGAATTGAACCGAGCCCTTCAGTTTAACGTGTGATTATTAATATACTCTATTTCTTTGTGGTAACAACACTCACTAACATATATTGCTGTGTCCTTGTTCATTTTCTGCCTCCTCTTTATTTGCTGTTTTTTCTGATCAGGTCTTGACTACCTCGGGGGAGAACATTAAGGTGGAGTTAGCTCCCCGACTGCTATAAACTGGCCTAGTGGCGAGGTGGTCTGACCTGGTCCGTAAGGCTGCAGGTACCAGGTGCGCCCGCTGCGTCCGGGCTGCGCGGTGGAGGGCAGGGTGGGGTTAATGGCACGACTGGTCTTCACATCCCCTTTCTTGTCCCCCGCCGTGGGGATCTCCAGGACCGGGATGGGGGCGCACTGGTCCAGCTGCCCGCTGGCCGACAGCACCTCCGTGAAGCCCTCCTCGCACGCGCAGGTAGCGGCCTGCAGGGGGCAGCACAGAGCCGTGTTTGGTTTGCAGACACGGCACATGAAGGAAAACGACGGGCCACGTCTCTTATGTCAGAGTCTAAGACGTTAAGATACACATTTCAGAGCATGTCGCCGTCAGTGATGATACCGTTTCTGTGTAATGGGAGGAATAAATATCAGAAAGACTTTTCTGTTCATGAAGTGGAATTCACACCTCGCGAAACTGAAGGTAACATTCATAAAGGTGGGATTTGTTGCTGCACTCTTAGAAAGTCCTCCTCATGAACGGAGTGCATTTGTCACGCTGGTCCGGTGAATTGAACCTGTGACCTCAGATGTCCTGACTCATCATCAGATGAGTGTGACCTTCCTGCTCTGCTCTGCAGGCGTTTACACCCGGCCGTTACTGCTGGTCTAAAAAACAACGAGCCGTTAGTCTCCATAAACGTTCAGATTCACCGGCTGCCGTATCGGGTGAGCGTAGAAAATGTTTCTCTATGACTTTGACGCCGCACAGCTGAGTGACAGCTGCGGCTTTCACATCTTGATCCGCCCATCGCCTCATTTCCTGCAGCATTCTAATTCAATTCTGACAGCAGCGAGCGGACCGTGGACCTTCGCTTTGACGGCTGCGTCTCCCTCGTTGTTTCCATTGTTTTGGTCCGTGTGTGCAACGGCGAATGTTCTCCATGAGATGAGCTCTTCACTCTTTTCATTTACTGTAACAGGCGACGGGGGAAGAAGGAGCCGCTCACCTCGCTGCAGAAGGACTTTGTCTTGAGACACGGAGGGTCACAGGAGTCGTTGCTCTCTGGGGGGCTCAGAGGAGGACAACCTCCTGCGGGAGAGGACGGGGTGGGGGGGGGGGGGGGCACAGAAAAGGGGGGAGGGGGGAAGGGGATGAGTCAAAGGAAAATCCCTTCTCTTGCTGAGTACTGCTGTTCGCTTTCGAGGGAGAAAATGTACATGTTTTAGATTGAAAAGCTGCCTGTGAACCTCCGTCCAGGAAAGGACATATACGGAGACAAGTCCGTAGTTATTCTATTCTTTTAGCAAAGTTATATTTCTGACATTTCAGACACTTACCGACTTACCGACGTGGAGCTCACGTTGAGCTGCCGTTCCAAATACGGCGCAGGAATGTTTCCCAAATGGTTTGACTTGAATAAACCGAGGTGTACTTACAGCCTCTCGCCAACAACACAGACTGGTTTTCTGAGTTTTGTTAGAGTTGAACCAGTTAGTCCACTGGTTGCCTTAATCTGACTTAATCTGGTCCTTTTCTAAAACAAAATAAAACCATTTGGTTCTGGCCCCTCAGATGTGACAACGCGTCCTTAATCTTTTATGATTGAACAGAACATTTCTTAGACAGTTCCACTGACTGATGGTCATTTTTCATTATTTATGGAAGAAACAAATTAATCCAGCAGATTATCAGCAGTTTGTTTGGCGAAACCTAGAAAAGGTTAAATCACCATCACACAGTAGAGGAATGTGGGATTTTCTGCTCCTCACTCACTTAATACATGTCATAAATTGGGGTCCGTGTAACTGGACAGTTGCTTACCGGTAACGTTGAGCCCGTCGGATCGCTGGCACCAGACTGCCGGCCGGGTGGAGTTTAGACGACCGCCGCTCAACCATTTGTACTCGTAACATTCGCCCTCTGAGAACCAAATAAAGAATAATCAATATCTACAGAGGCCGTGCGCTGGGAGTCTGCAGCGAAGACCATTAATCACGAGAGTGAGGGATTAATAAAGCGGCCGCTAAGTTACGGTTGTATAATAGGCGGCTGTCATATAATATCACTATCAGTGGGTCCGCACAGAAGGGTCCAGTCCCGTGCTTTAATCTTCGCTAAGAGCTTTTGCTAAATGACTTTCCATCAATGCTATTATGACTTTATCAATACCTCCATCAGTGCAATAAATGGCCATATTTCCCAGTGGAGTTCTTTGTGACCAATCATCAGGCTGGCCCATTTGGATAGCGTAAAATTAACAATTTAACCTTGAATAAAAGGGGAGATCTGTGGCCCCCCGGCTCGGTTGCAGCACCGCGGCTCCATTTGCTGCTTTCACAGGACGATTTGTCTGCTGCCGGCTTCACTTTCCTCATTTCTTACGCTTTCCTTGGCTCGGTACAGAAGAGGCCGTTTGTAAAAATGTGTTATGTGTATTATCATGCAATCACTCACATCAGCCGGCGTTTCCCATCGTCTTTTACAGGGATGCTTGAGTTTCACTACTATTGAAACATTTCTCAGAACCACTCGGAAATATTAAAAAGAAAAAATGTTTGAAGCTGAAAGCCTGCAAGATGCAGGTTTTCTTCATTTACAAAAGATAGAAGCTACTTGAATCAGTTGTATTGCGCTTGTACACCAACATGGTTCACATCTCACACACAGATGTCCGTCCAAAACCATGAATCCAGAGACGCCCGTAGGAACTTTGCTTCGCTTGCGCCGCAACATCAGCCGTGCACGTACAGAGGAAGAGCATCGGATGATTGATTGCGGAATATTTTTTATCTTACATTTTTTTCCGCCGCGGCGGCAAAGGCAAAGTTAAAGAACATCTCACACTTCATCTCAAAGGAAAAGACATATTGGTCCCACTAACTGTGCTCAATGGGAACGTGGGTGACATAATAACGTCTCGGTACAGATAAGTGGCTCGCTGTCTTCTGCAGGTGGCAAAACAAACCCGTGCAGCAGGAACAAGACGGCAGCCAAAGGGAGAGAGGCGGGTATCGCATGCAGCAAAGCTCTGCAGGCTGTACTCACAGCGATGTGGTTTGTGCCATAGCCGCTACTGGGGCGCCCCCACCAAATTCATTTTTAATGCAACCATTTGATCTCCCTCCTTTGCCCCCGTTCCCCCGTCATAGCGCTCCTCCTCCCCCTCCCTCCGCTCTCCCTTCCTCCTGCACCTTTACTGGTCCTACTGGGCCACCCCCCCCGAGTGATGCTGTGAAACCAGGTCAGGCCGATGAAGACTTCTGCGGGGCTGTGTACAGTAGCGGGGGTGGGAGGAGAGGAGGAGTGGGAGGCAGGGGGAGGCGGCACGGGGGTGCCTGCTCTACAGAACGAGCCGGGGGCTACGCGTGTGCTGCGCTTTGGTGCTGGTGGTGACTCACAGCCCATCCTGCACCTAGTGGCTGATTAACCCGCCTGGGGAGCCGCGGGGATCACAACAGTAAATGAGAGTGGGGGGGGCGGGGGAGGGCATTTGGGATCTGACTCGAGGAATCCCGGCTGTGAGAGTACAGCAGTGATCTCAGCAGTCAGCGATCCTGTTTGTTTGCCCGTTATGTTTGGGGACCAAAGTGGCTCCGTGGTCGCCTGGCAGGAAGAGGACGCTTCGTCTGACTGATCCCTTCTACACACACGCAGCACGTTCTCTCTGTGGCTCCTCTCTGCCAAATCAAACACGGCTCAACGTGGATAGAACAGGAAACAGCCCGCAGGTTTCTGTATTCCACCTCATGTTGCCCTGCTCCTCTTCTCAATGATCATATGGTCTCAGGACAAAGTTTGGGGCTCCATCTTGGGCACATTTGAAGAAGGGGCTCTTACCTTCACAGGGCTGGGACTCCCACTCTTGGTCGGGACACAGCTGCAGGTTTTCCGGCTCCTGGGCCAACACGGCTCGAGAGCGAACCCGGACCGAGCCGAAGTCCACGCCGGCCGCCTTGACGCAGATGCTCACACACGAGCTCCAATCCGACCACTCCATCAGGTAGCATTCACCTGCAGGGGACAGAGTTCATCACGTGAGGGGGGAGCGGGTCACCAGATCCAATAATGACACCCCCCCCCATTCATCTATAGTGAAAATAGTGAGGAGTTCAATCCTGAATCTATGGAGAAGTTACTTCTTTGAAAAATAATACCTATTCTCTCTCATACTCATGCATGGACACCCGGCTGCTAAGTGGAACCACGCAGACCTCCACCCATCAAACTCAGGGTGGAGAGTCGGTAACAATCAGCACTCCCGTGGATCGATAACCTGGGTGTTAACCTCCACCCGGCCGCGTTGCACATACACAAACCACAACAGAAGGTGTGAGTGGAGCGTCAAATTTCAACCCGGGAGGCAGCAGTGCGTTTGCAGCCTCGTACAACAGGCGGTGAAATGCGCGGTAACATAACAGAAGCCACTACCCCCCCCCCCCCCCCCCAAAAGAACAGTCAGGCTTCTTTATAGACAAATTAGCTTTGGCTGCACAAATAATATTGTGAAAATTTAGTTTTGCACGTTTTAATTTACTTTGATCCTGAATCGCTATGTTATATCTCCTGACTTTTATGGTCAGATAAATGGTGGGAAAATATCTGCATTGCAGCGTCAGTGTGGTTCTCCTGCTGGAAATCTTCAATCTTCAACGCTTCCATTAATAAACCAATATTCTACTGTTCATCTATGATTGAGAACGGTTTGATCTGGGTGAGATGTCAGTGATACGGGATGTGTGCATAGCGGATCACAGCGGTGAACATGTATGGAAGAGTGTTAGGAGGAGGAATGTGTAAGTGTGAGGGGGAGAGGGAGGTGGGGGGGTTGTTTTTGATCACAGCTGACAAGTGCAGCTCATCAAACAGCAGGGGAAATAGACCATGGGTCAAGGGTGGCAGTGCAATAAAGTCCGTGTTTGTGTGTGTTTGTGTGCGCGCAACCTGCCAGAATTGCCAAGCGGTGATGCACAAACAGCCGTTGAGTTTCCTCCCGTCCCTCAGCACCACGTCCCCGTGCTTTTCATTGCTGTTTGATACTTCAGCTCTCCTGCAGTTGGACTGACTTGTTATCTAGGGCACCGTGTCTCAGTGTTTTCCATCTCAGGGACCTGCAGACATCTGATGAGCTGCTTTTTCTTTTTTTTTTTTCTTACCCCAAAAATGAGAAAACCTGCCAATGGAAACACGCTCAAACTGCGTAAGAGGAGAACATTTCTTGTCCTCAACATTTTGAGAGGGATTGAATGATAAAAGATCAATAATGAACCAAAATAGACATGTAGCACTTTTGAAAATGAACTCTGCATTTGTATTTTGTCTCTTGGCAGAAGCAAGAAACAATGATTCTCCCTTCGGGGACCGCTGACACAGAAAATGGGAGATTTATATTTAAGCTGCACTATAGAAAAACACACCCTGTTTTTATCAGGCCGAATCATAAATTGTGTTTATCTGTTTCCCATATTTTCTCATTAAAATGTTGCAGATTTGCCCCATTTACCCGGAAGAAATGCTGATATTCCCGTCGTCAATGCAGCACAAAGTCAGGCTGCATCTGGAGGGTCTGAGGAGCAGCCGCCCGACAGACGGACACACTCCTGTCCGTCAAAGCTTTCAGAAGAGCCAGCAGCTGACAAGCCTCGTCACCAAAAACCCCGACGACAAGTCATCACGTCTGACCTTTGACGTGATGATCCCATCGGTGAGATTCTCTCGGTGAGGGTTGACATCCTCACCGCAGAGCTGATATTCTGCTGGTTTCCCCCCTGCAGGGCTGAGACATCAACTGTCAATCAAGGCGAGGTCACGAGGCCACGCCGATGCCATCGGACTTGTATTCTGTAAAGATGAAATCTCCGGTGGACACAAAAGGTCATCGCTTGCTTTATTTAATATACTATACTTTATTTAATACTGCGGGTTATCCCTCATCTGGAAAAGGCTGTTCTCGTTCTACTTTATTATATTTGTTGTTAAACTAATCTCGGCTTAAATCTTCCTATAGATATTCAACAAAAAATAACAAAATGCTCCAGGAAAGGAGAAGATGCTGACAGATTGCTCACAGTAACTCACCCCCCACCCCCCACAAAGGAAGCGACTAATTCTTAAAAAGTAATAAAAGCAGCAACATATTGTTAAGTAAGACTCCAGTGAAATGCTGTGATGATAAATAGGGCTGTTGAAATTAACAGTATGTTCATCTGACAGCATGTGAGCGCTGAAAGGAAGATTTTGCATGAACATTATTCATCAACAGATCAGATCAACAGGAAGGTCACACTAAAATAAAAATACTAAAATATACTTCGCAGAGCAAAGAAAGTTAGGAATTAAATAAGTGGAAAGAATGTGGTGCGTTTATGACGTTAAGATTTCTAATGTATGTAGAAAAAGCTGCATTTACTAACAGGACGGCGTTAAACCCTCGTGGATTTCCCAGTACTGAAATGAAACCACGCATACAGAAGAAGGTTTCATAGCTCTTCATGTACAATCACAACAGAAGTCCAGCGAGGAGACCGAATCGCTCACCTAGACTTAAAAAAAACCCTCCCCGTGTGCAGGTTGATCGTAAACGCCACCAGGCTGGAGGGTTTGCTTCCAACTGGGATCACCCGAGCTGAAAATGTGTGCACACATGGCGCACTAACAAGCTTTTTGGGGAGGGGGGGGGCGCAGTGACCACATGGCATCCGTGATGTGTCAGTCTCTACAGCTATGCATGTGTAGTTTAGGTGGAATATCTCACACACGAGGCTTTAAATGATTCGTAATAAACAAAAAGTATGTACAACCTGAAAGTACGGTCAGTCGCAAACGTGTTTTTTGCTTGTATATTAATTCAGTTTAATTTATGCAGTTGCGGATATAGAATAGTCTTTGTTGATATTGTTAGTATCCCATTATCCCAGTATCCCGCAATTGTTTTCTTATCAATAGAAATGTTTTGTTTTATTCTATATTTGTTGATGTTTAGCCTTTCAATAAATACAGAAATGTTTTCCCACTGCAGACAAACAAGCCAAAGGTTGACGTCTGTGTTGAAGAGGCAGCACTAGAAACTTAAGGGGGCGTGGCTTAGTGAGCTATCAATTGCATGGCACTTCATATGATTACTTCCCAAACTTACTTCTTAAGAAGGCAATTCATGCAAGATGTAAATAGCTTGAAATCCCCACACATTTTTGTAAATACGTTGCCATGGCAGGTGCGCGCATACACTGCATGGGGATTGTCAACAACCTTTATTCATGTTCACAAATACACAACTCTGTTTCTGTTGTTTATTGTGGGGGTTTTTTGTCTAGCAAATGGAGTCCACATCTGCATTTTGTTGCGTTGCATGACAATAAATTACCCTAGAAATGTGCCAAATTGACTTCCTTACTGCAGGCCGTGCAAAGTGCGGCGCCGCACCTCAAATCAAGCGAGCTTTTCCTATAATCAACGCTGAAAGCATCGGCCCTCCTTTCAATCAACGTCTCTATTGAGATGTGAGATGAATAAATGCATAAAATCAACAATTTATTGTCATTTACAGCACAGCAGAGTGTTAGTCGCTCAGCTTGCCATCTCGTCGTTTGTGTGAGCCCTGAGGGGGTTTTTGTTATCTCGCCCGCACAGATTATTGATTGCAACCCTTTTTCCGTGTTACTTTATCTGTCAGTGTGTTTTTCTTACAATCACTTTGCTTCCATTTTTCTAAAGTATACAAATGGAAACGTTTGAGTTGGAGCAGTCAGAGCTTCCATTTGGATCGGCCTCTCGGCCTAATTGACTGAAAGAGCAGGTGGTCCAAATGGTTTGTGGCTTTCACACAAAACAGGAAATTGAGGCTGACTGCACTCCACTCTCTTCATCAGAGACGCAACAATTAACCAACTGTAACTATTTACAAAATGGTTAAACAACGGGAGGGATTGCGCTTATCCTCTCAAATATGGAGATTTTCCATTTCTCTGTTTATATTATTTATATTTATTGAACCCGCATGGGGGATTATCAAGTAGCAGCTCAAGTACTGAGAGACAGATTAAGACAATAAATCAAATACACGTAATACATTGATATTAAATTAAAAATATATTTAATATTTTTATTTTGTATTAAATATATATATATATATATATATATATATATATATATTAAATATATATATATATATATATATATATATATATATATATATATTTATTTGATTTTAACGATGCACATTGTACAGACATTCTAATGATACATTTGCCTTAAATTTAATGATGCAATCATTTATGCATCATTAAATTTAATATAATTGGACCTTGGAGTGAAAAATCACCTTTGTTTTTTTTTCAGAAACTGGGCATAAATAATAAATAAAAGAAATACTCAGGCGATGTTTTAACAATGGAGATAATCATTTTCTTAATGTGAGACGATTGGTATCTCAGATCCTTCATGAGATGAACGGAGCGACATCTAGTAATCTGGGAGAAATGGGAACAACTGGAAGTATTTTGAGCACAATGCAGGCTGACTGCTTTGGAAGTCAAGATATATACAGTAACCAGCCGGAAATTGAACTTGCATAAAACAGCGTCTGCATCAATGTAGTCCATTTATTCTGCCTCCAGTTATTTTCCCATCTCTGCTTTTAAAGGTCATGAACAGATACTGAGTGACATTGGTTGGACATAATAAAACCCAACCTATAACGAAAGTCTTACAGGTGCTAAGTGACCTTTGAACCCCGCTAGCAGGTCTTCAATGCAAAATATCTTTACACTGTCGCTAAATTGAGATTTCACTTTTCTTAAATACACGTGGCGCTCAGGTGTCCATCGCTCCTCTGGAAAATGGTGTTTAGTAGTCAGAGAATGTATCAATAGTAACAGGCTGCGAAAGCGCTGTAACTACGGTAACAAGGCCTCCTCCGTTACCTGGACAGGGGAGGGTGCAGGCCTCCTTCAGGCTGATCCGCTTGTCCCCGTCGACGGCCGGCTCCAGGCCGCCGCACAGCTCCTCGTCCACCGAGCTGCCGACCGCGTCGCCGGAGCCGTCCGACACAAAGCAGGACAGGTTTCTGTAGCGCTCGCCGTCTCCACACACCACGCTCTGAGGAGGAAGGCGAAAGAGGGCGATGGGCGAGTTACGACGGGGGAGTTAGACGAGGCTGCAGCCTAACGTTGCATAATACAACGTTTGGACCACTATTCATAATGTCCGAATCAGCCGAGCGGAGGATAAATAATGAGTTCGAAGCACTTTTCAGTTCTTTAAAGCTGCGAACGGTGGCTAAGCGGCAAAGTCAGCCGCGATATGTAATGAAGCTTAAAAGAAACCACTTATTACCTTTCATTTTAATTTAAACTTGTACACAATCAAAGACACTTGATCAGATTAAAGCTGAAGTTACCCGCTCCTGTCGCGGCTCGAACCAAAAGAAAGACTCTGGACACGAATCCCTTGTGAAGGTATCACACGGGTTTGTGTCCACTGGACTGACCGCTGCTTCGCATTAACAATTCTCTATTGATCACCGCACGCTCCGAAATGAGTCAGTTATTTAAAGCGCGTGACACGTCCCCCTGTGGGCCCGTTAAACTACACTCGTACTCGCAGAGTGTTGTTTTATGTCATAAAGAGGAGCGGCAGGCTGCTTTAATAATCTGACCCGCTGGCCCACAATTCAAAGCAAAGTGTGAAGGCCGCCGGACTTCTACCGGTTTACATCGATGCATCAGTGTTAAAAGTGCATTCCATTGATTTTTACTGTCCGTCTCACAAAATAACGGCGTGCGTGGGGATTCGATGGGGCGTCCCATCAATACTAAAGACTCCATTATTTTTCTCCAGGTGCCGAGATTTCCGTCTCGCAAAGTCCACTTCTGGCTCCAGCTCGTGCGCGTATCGATCTCTTAAGATAGCTGACGGGGGTCGATGCCGTCGTCAATATTTAAAGCGAGCCGGGAGACGGTACGGCGGTATGACTTATTGACGTACCTCCACCCGGCACTCGGACCACTCGCCGTACTGCCAGCGGTAGCAGGGTCGGACGGGGCAGGGCTTCCACTGCTCCGTCTGAGAGGGGCAGGGCCGCCCGTCGCCCTGGAAGGCCCGGACCACGGAGCGCCGCCGCCACATCTTGCCTGCGGGGAGACAAACAGGAAGTGACATCATCGGGGCCTCGTCATTTGAGGTTTGTGCATGTTCCTCTTCAGCGTCGCGCGCGGACAATAGAGTCACGCGGAGGTTCCCTCGAAACCCTTATTTTCCGTTTTTCGGAGTATTGCAAACATTTGGTATGCGGCGAATACATTTTCTTGCAGAATTGATGAGGCGTGAATACAATCACCAGACGTACTGCAGCTAACGGGCTTCTTATGATGCTTTTTTAAGACTTGGTGGGGTATTGACGTATTTTATAAAGTGAAGCAAAAAAGGTTAAAAATCCCATTGTGTTATTTCAGCCATCCATCAAAAAATAATTTAATTAACTGACTCAAAGAAAACAAATGGGTTTCATGGCTCATTCCTGCAGCTCTCTAAAAGGAAACAGACCTCTACTGTACGGACGGCTCAACTTTTAGGACTCAGATGGACAGTATTAGGTACCTTTTTTTTTCCTCCGGCGTCATGACAGGTGTCCGGATCAGCTCGAGTAAAACGTCTTTTCTTCCTCATCAATCAGCAGACTCTCTGTGAAGCAGCCGTGAGCATCGCAGCACCAAAGACCTCTCGAGGCCGTTTGATTTAAGTGCAGAATTCAAGCTAGGAATTACTTGAGAAAACTCAACACAGCGACCCTGCGCACACACACACACACACACTCACACACGCGTCTTATTTAAAATGCAACCTTCCTGTCAAACCGCCCACTCCCAGACCTCAGAGCCCTTTGTGTGTCGTATATCCCACTCACGTTTTCCACCCTGCCGAGGCAGCAATCCGCTCACCTCACAATTCACCTCCACTGCCTCTCGACACATAAGACACACATCAGCCTTCCCACACATTCACACAAACTGTACCTGCTCGTATGCTGTTCCAACCAGAGCACATCCCACACACCTACTCGCACACAGAAAAATCACATCAAAGAGGGTCCCCTCCTGCTCCTTCAGCCGTGCTGAAACTTTTATCTTATTCCTTAAGATTTAGCAACTAGCGCTGCGGCGGCTCTTCTTCAAAGAGCTCCGCGCGGCCCCGAGGAGCAGGAAGATTTGGCCCAATCTATTGTGCAAACCTCGGCGAACAACAGCAGGACACACTATCGCCGGTCATTTGGGAAGACTCTCAAAGAAACACTTCCTCTCTTCTGCTTGCGCGAGTTTTCTTTCTGGCCAGATGCCTCCTAGCGCGAGCAGGAAGTGACCGATATGCAAACTTTAAAAAAAAATATCCAAGAAGCTATGCTGTGCTGAGCATACGCAGAGCACAGCACTTTGGTGTGGAATCAACAACATGCACAATAAAGAGGTTAATGCCATCGGGCTCCACAAACACTCCTGGGACCAATATACTGCGTGTGGAAATGAATTTAAAAGCTTCATGATTTCATACGTGCGTGCATTTACAACGGGGGGCTCGCAAGCACCAACGTTGTCTTCACCATGGAGTCGACTGATTATTTTCACCCTGCCATTGGTCCCACGCTCCCCCACGGACCTGCAGGTGTCAGCGAACAGGCCAATAAACGGAGGCAGGAGGGACCAGGATGGTCAATGATGAATGAGTACCTGCCGAGGCCCTTTTGAATCTGCTGTAGGTTGTATCAGCTAGTTCTGACGACACCTTTTTTTTTAACACGGTGGGTTGTATTAAAAAAAAAAAGTTTGCAATGACTGAACCAAATGCAGATCAGTGGTTTAAGAAGCTCCATTTGAGCTGAGTCACTGGCGGAATTTGTAAATTGTGTTTGGCCATTTACCATCATTCCTCAGCTATTAAGGCTTGAATAAAGTAGCTACACATCAAATACATTTTGTTATTTCTCCCCGAGGTCGTTTGTGTCTTTATTGGCTCTGGCTTTAGCCTGGAGCTCGAGCCCATCTTCCTTACCGTCTAGTCCGCACGTCTGAGAGCAGTCCGACCACGGCGACCACTCCGACATCTGACAGTTGACGGGACACTCGACCACGCAGGAGATGTTCATCTGCCACTTCTTCTCCAAATTCAGCTGCAGCACATTGCAGGAAGTGAAGAGGTCAATACATGACGCGACGCGGCCAACTCAATCTGTAGCGGTCAGACAGTAGCTTGACCTCTCGCCACTTCAATTCCCAGAAGCTTTTGTTCTGGCGGCGCTGTGAAAGCCGCCCTGACACAATGTGTTTTCGTGAATGAGCCAGATGATGAAGCGGGCCGCGGGTTAAATAGCTGCGGGGACGGCGCCGCCGCAGCCCGCCGGCTGCAATTACGGGGAGCCGAGACTCATTGTGGATGAATAAAACGCTGAGGACGGTGCAGAAAACCATCTGTGTGTGGGAATACCTCTGCATGTCTCATGTTGCTGTCGGCCTAATAGTACAGGAAGGATCTGCTAATATGTCGCAGTGAGTGATGTGATTAAGTCATCGAGTTAAATGAGCGTCAAATAAGGAAAGGCAAACCAAACGGGTACAAGAAGTACAAAAATGAATGAAAAAAAAGGGCGAAACTTGAGTCTCACCTCATAGCAGAATTTGAGATCAACCGATTTGCCGTCGCTGCGGACGCAGTCGAGCATCCGGGTCTTGATGCCGCTCCCACACACGGCGTTGGGACTCAGCTGACACGTGCTCCAGTCTGAAACACAACATATTACCGTTCATATCGCTGGCTGCTCATTGAGGCGGCGCTGAAAGTGGGTCAGAGTTACTCGGTGAACCTCGAGGTGCCCGGCTGCAAAAAAAAACAAAACAAAAGACAACAAATCCTAACAGGCGGACTGAGAGCAGAGCACACAGACTCCAGCACACATCACTGATATATTCACCAGGTGGCTGCTGGGTGCAAGCAGAGGAAGAGGAAGGCGAGAGATGGAGTCGTGAGCAAGAAGCATTGATTCATGCATCGAGGAAGCAGCATCTCACAGGCGATCTGCTCCTGAGGTCGAATGCTTTTGTTCTCCCCTCTAGTTGAAGCAGGAGAATGTGACGGGACAAAACACAAGGAGACGCCGTTCAAAAGTGTTCAAATGCGATCTCTTTCCACCTTGTGTCGCCACTGTTAACCCGGAAATTGTTTAACTCAAGGTTTGTCTTCTTAAATGCACCGAGGGATTCATAAGAAAACATGAACTCATGTGTATTGACACAGCAATATCAAATGAAATGCCGGCCATGTTGCTGACATAAAGTGAAAGTTTCATGCCCCGCCTTCCACTGGGGATAGATCTTTAAGGGTGGGCGTGCCGTGCATACATATTAACCACTCAGGGGTCCCAGATGACTCAGCAGAATGTGCATCCCATACAGTAAGTTGGACTTCAGTTCATTGCCTTTGTTGCATCACACAATGCTTCTTCCTTCTCTTCAGTCACAAGACTCATGCGACACCCTTCAAATAATCAGTGTGTGTGACAATCAGACCCCTCCAAATCAATAATTTCCAAGTGACAGCTTTCCACCTAATACACGTCCTGCCTCGGACCAGACAAACGAAGGATATCTGTGAAGTGGAACGGCAACGTGCTGATCACGACTTTGTATGCAGGCGCACGCTGTTGTTGCAACAACAGGGCGGCTGAGTTATCGCTCATAAAGGGACAAAGATGCCGTTAGCGGCGACGAGCCCGACTCGGGGAATTGTGTCCGCTTCTGCCGCGCAGCTTTGTGGCACTCTGGGGACTGAAAATAGGGAGATTGCAACAAGAAAGAGCAACAGCAAGAAACCGGAGAGAAAGCGCGACAAAAACTGCAATGAAAAGGGGAGGAAAGCTGAAGGAAGGAGCAGCTTCAACAAAGAGGAAAAAGAGCGATTTTAACCAATGCTAATAATCTCTGCTCGTACGTTATGTGCATACACCCCGGGATGCATGTATGCCACTGTGAACCCAGCAGTAGGGATTATATGTCACGTCTCCCGGTGCAACAGCACAAAGGGAAGGCGGAGGAGGAGGAGGAGGAGGAGGAGGGTGGGCTGGTTCAGAATGTGGGACAGCATCTACGGAGGCAACTCTACAAATCCAAATGAAAAACAGAAACGCTGCCAACGTTCCCCTTCTTTTATTCTCATTGAATTCCTTGCTGCAGTTTTTCAGGGGGGGGGGGGGGGTATGAAAGAGTAGCCTGTGTGACATTTGATCCAGAGGATTTGATATCCTGCAGATCAGAGGAGGGCTCGCGAGAGCTGCCAGCTCAAAGGCTGGAAATATAACGACGACGCATGAAATAACAATGTAAAAACTTGAGGGAAAGTTGTCACTTGAAGTTAACGAACCCTCAGAGAATCAAAGCCAGAAACTGCAGCTCCCGTCGGTTTTTTACAGAGCTTCATGTTCCAGCTCATTGTTCAGCTATCTGGTCTGTGACATTAACTATTTTGGTGCATCATTTCTTGGCATCCGGCAGACGTTTTTCAGAGGAGGGGCTTCAAAAAGCCAGTGAGCACAGGCACAGTGAGCAACTCGCTGCTGGACGCCACTGTGCAGCTAAAATGTCGGCTATTTTCCCCAGGAGCCGATACAGTGTCTACAAGCCACACGTGACCGTACGGTACGTCACACAAAGGCCAACGGTGAAAGCTGTGCTTGTAGTCCGACCTCCTCGAGGCTTTGACGTGTTTTACTTCAGGGATCTGCAGTCAAAAGAAGGTCGACCCACCTGCAGCGGGACACTACTGACAGACAAAACAATCGCCCGTGACGAAAGAAGAGCTTCGCGAAGAGCAGCTGGGAGGAAGAAGCTAAAGGGAGCTCCACTCTCTTCACGTCATCAGTACACAACGTTTGATGAAACCTGGACGGGCTCGCGGTCTTACCCCGAGAAACAAAAGTGATGAAGCAAATCAAAGGAAAAAAACAGATGAGTCATTTATCGATTGCTCCTCTCGCCGTTGAAAACAGACGAGAATGTGATACTTTTAATGAAGCACGACAGCAGAAGTAAACGGACGTGTTGCCGCCCGAAGGAATCCTCGGCGGCGGTGAGGCGCTTCGGAGATTTAATCATCATCACACACACACACAAACACCGGACGCGAGGCAGAACGTCGCCATTAGTCCATCAGTGCATCATATTCTGTGTTTTAACCACAGAAAATGTACGTGTATGAACTCATCATTTGAACCCCCATCGAAATACAAATAAAACAAACATATTCTAAAGATAGGAAGATGCACCATCGTGTGGAGGATGTGATCGTGAAGCCGTCCGTCCCGCTCACCTGTGATGTTGTAGAAGTAGTTGAAGCAGTTGAGGTTCAGGCTGCAGGGCTCCTTGTCGCTGGTGTCCGGGCACTGCCTCCCCACGCTGGGGGGGCGCAGGGCGTACGCCGTGCGCTCCCGGCTGTTGGTTCGGATGCACGGCTGAAACAGAGAGAGAGGCTGCACTGAAGGAGGCGTCTTCTGGAAACGTGCGAGTGCTTCGTCACTCGCACGTGATACCGATACCGACGAATGCACACGCGGATGCACACGCGTCCCATAAACGGAGGCGCAACTATGGCCCACTTCTGGATTATTGGGCAAAAAAACATTAGACATGGGACTCTTTTCCAGCAGTGAATCCCAACAGGGCTGATATTCCCTGATATCCTTCTGGAATAGTCCCCCGCCTGATTCTACACGAGCTTTGAGGTGGTTGGTTTAACAGCCTTTTTGAATACCTCCATCCTTGCCCAGCGAATGAAACATGCGAGAGGCCCCCCCACTGACGCCACCGCAGCATCCAGTGTGAGATTGGAAATGTGGGAAGCACTTTGAGATAGAATGGCGTGATTGTTAATGGGCGGCACGGCGCTGTGAGGACAACAAGTGAGACCGGAGCAGACAAAATAGCCGTTCTTTCCTTTTATCACGAGTCGGAGGCGTCGGGGGCGTACGGTCTGAACACGATGTTCGGACACCTCGCATGTTTACGCCGAAGCCGTAGAATGAAGACACACACACACACACGCACACACACACACTGACGCCTGTTCTGTGTTACTGTGATTAAATCACCTTAAAGTATTCACATTTTACAGCAGAGGTGGTTTATCAACCTTGAGGCCAAAATGAACATTTATGAACTGGATTCCTTGTGGCATCCACATCTGCCTAAATTATTATTATCGTAAACCAATATTTTCCTGCAAATACATCTAATTACTTGTCTTCCGAATGACAACAAGCAACAAGCTCGGGGGGAATATTTTAGCAAATTCTCATGTTGGCCCCAACACCACTGCTGACGAAGGGAACGCATCGCGAAATGTAAATCTGGAAACCTGCTCGGGGGTTCTGAGTCTTCATCATAAATCATGTGTCTTCCCCTCTGAATGCACAGTGAGTACAGTATAATGTATGCGATGCAGAAGCCATCTTTTCCTGCAACGTTCACATCTTTTTTTCCACCTTGGTGGATGACAAAATAACGTGTTCCCCCGATGATCCACTGCGGCTCTGCTTTGAACTCCTCCAGCCTGAGAGGAAACATCAGTGTCGGGAAGAAGACATCGAGATCAACCTCAGAGGGCTTCACGAGAGCGACGTCACGCGTCCCTGCTGCTGCTCTCTGATTGGCCCTCGGCTCTCACCACGTCGCAGCGGCTCCAGGGGCCCCAGTCGTTGAGGACGCAGTCCTCGGGACAGGGCAGCCGGCTCTCCCTGGCCCCCAGGGGCATCAGCTCGGGGTCGCACAGGTAGTCCTCCACGGACTCCGAGGGGCCGTCGATGGTGTTGAGCATGCACCTGTGTGTGTGGGGAGGACAGTGAATCTGAGGTCATGTGTGCTGCCGCTGTTCTCAGGAGGCTGGCGTTAAATATTTGACGTGTAACGTGTTTCTCAAATGTTATTACACGTAAATGAATCCAGAGCAAAAATGGCTATTAAGGTTTATGTATTGTTTTTATCTCTGACTGCTTTACTCAAATGCCCCCTATTGTTTTTACCTCCAAATTGCATTTTTTAAATCCTTTTCATCCTTTTATCCTCTACAAGGGGCCTGGATGTAGATGTCCATTGACGTCCCTGTGGCTTATTGTTTGTGTGTGTGTGTTTTTAATCCACCGTTTTCACAGGACCACCGTGTTTGGTTCTCCCTGCCTCACAAAACGTCTAATTACAATCTTATGAGTGTAATTACAGAGTGTGTCTCTGCATGTGGGCGACAGTAATCCAAAAGTTTGAGTTCCACCCAAAAGGATTTGGCAGCGCGTCGGTTGTTGACTCTCAGCTGAACCGTGTTAAGACTCATTTGCGGTTTTTCTTTTTTTCCAATTCACTTTTCACAAGGTACTCAAACTAATCTGAATACAAATTAGCACGTGTCAGCTGTAGTACACGTGTGACAGCCTGCAAACTGCTCTACGTCAAAGGAAAAATTATTTTATTATTTATAATAACAAAGGATTAAAGCTTAAAAGAGTGCATCTGCTGTTGAAAAGGCCTCGGGTGGTGACTTCCTGTCACATGTCCAAAAAAAACAACCTCAGATAAAAAAAGAGGCAGCACATGTACACGTTTACTACTGTAAAAAACAACAATCCATTATCAGAATTATTATCGATACATTTTCCGTTCATGGAGTTGTCAACTAAATGGTTCAACGCTGCAGCGCTGATGTACACTACCTTTAATCGTCATGCTTGCAATGACGTGTATTAAGAATATTAAAAAGACGCATACCTGACTTTTCTGGTCTGGACGCCTTCGCCGCAGTTCTCTTTCAAGTCCACGTTGCTGACTTTCCACACGCTCCACGGCTCGGCCACCCACACGTACTGATTGCAGTCGCTCTGACACGGCACCACCTCGTACACCTGAGGACGGAGGTGAGCCAACTGACGGTTATAATAATCCTACTCATGACAAATATATTCCTATATATTCCACTGAGCACTGGCGGGCCAGTTTCGCTCAATGCACAGTGATTCTTTGACAACATGACAATTCCTCTCCCTCCCCCCGATAGATATTATGACTGTTTACATCTGTCAGTGACCCACTGACATCTGTGACACTTAACAAGAACGTTTACAAAAAGCGCAGGGGAGCAGCTCTTACCTGGGCCTGCAGCAGCGGGGGGGGGGTCACATCCAGCGGGCATCAGGGCAGATTAAAAGAAGACAGACGGATTAATGAACACACGCCAACTGTTCACATAGTGCAGAAACTACGATTAATGCAACATCCGAGAGGACTTAATCATAAAAGCCTTTGGTGTAAGTACCTGTGCCAACCTAGCATACATTTACACACACACAGCGCTTGACGTGGATCAACACAGCCTTCGCTGGGCTGTGTTGAATCGAAAAATTGTCTTTTTTGCAAACCATGGAAACTTTAACAAGTCACCCGGCACACGTCGGGATCCATTTATAGCATCGCCTTCTGCCGCAGAAATAATGAGGGGAAGGTGAAGGACAGCTCTGCAGACTCGGGCTCACTGCATCATTTATTAATATTTCTCACCTCGCCCTCTTCTCCGCCGTTGGATTGCTACAATGTGTATCACACTTGTAATAAGTAGAAATATTCTATTTATGAATAATTGCGGGTCCCAGCTGCGGCCTCCGTACCTGGTTGATGTGGTCCAGCTTGGGACACGGCCGGCCGCCGTTGTACGGCTTCTCCCGGAGCCACTTGGAGCGAACTTTGACCCCGCTGCCGCAGGACTTGCTGCAGCGGGACCAGTTGGACCATTCGCTGAGTTTACAGTCCGAGGGACAGGGGATGATGCACGCCTCCTCGATGTAACCTGGAGAGAGGACACAAGAAAAAAGGGTTATCTGAAAAGTCAGGATGGAATTGGCCGAGGGACGACCCACCCATCCACAATGTGTTTATGGGTAAAGCGTATCAGGCTTCATCAATCTACCCTCTTCATTTAGCGAGTAACAGGTTGTTGCATTAAAATTTAAAATGTGCAAAACGTTCTTCATACTGCAAAAGAATCTTTGTTTCTATTATAATGCAAACACTGTGAGACCAAATGATTAGCTTCTTTTCAGTCCGTTTCAATGAATGACAGCATACTGTAGTCTCTTATTAATTACTTCAAAAGGGAAAAGCCTTCACCAGAGAAACGGATTCATAAGAAAAGTGCTTTGAAGTAGAACCTTTGTTCTCCGAGTATCCCACCAGCAGCGTCTCAGCCGCCAAGTTCAGCAACGGCTGCTGTGGAGGAAAACGGCCTCGGCCGCTTCAGAAGACTTTTGTTGTCATTAGCCGGGACGAAACTACGTTTGTCCTAATTCCCAAAGGTTAGTTTTGCTTCTTTTCGATCTAACAAACAAGTATTCGAGTTCAAGACCTCCTTAAATGCCAGATGGAGAAAAATATGCCGCTGCGATAACAATCAGCCGATACTCCACAAACTAATCCCAATGCACTCATAGATTTTTAGCCCAGTGGAATGAAAGCAGGGTCCATATTCAAAAGCACCAGAATATTGGGTTGTTATAAGTCTACCAGAGGAGTGGTTGGGCCTGGCGGTGAGCTTCATTATTTCAATGTATTTTCCCTCGGCTCCCTTTTAAGACTCTTCCTCTGCTGGCTACTTGTGTTTCTTTTTTTGGGGGGGGGGGGGCGCTTCTTCTCCATCTCTCGGCTTTGATTTCCTTTGCTTTTCGCCAGCACACACAGACCAAGGTTCAGTCTGATATCTGGAAAAGACGTGAATTCTCAGCGGCTAGTACACCTTTTTTTTTTTTTAACGAGGCACAAGTCCGTTTAGCAGACGGAACCTAATTTATGTTTTCGGCCTGTGTAACAGCACCGGCCTGTAAATCCGTTTAGCCTTTGATTAAGCAGATCGATGAGGCGAAGGAGCCGGGAAAGCGGAGCGTCCAACCACCACGCGCCGCGCTGACTGACGGGTCTGCCGAAAAAAAACACACTCGGACGACAAGCGTCAGAGGAAGGAAACACACAAATCCATTTCTCACACTATTTTTCTCTCTCGCAGACAGACATATGTTCTTCTGAGGCACCATCAGGCCTCACACTGAGCCGCCGGGCACCAGAACACCGAGCCATGCTGGGTAACACGGAGGAGACCCGCAGAGGACACGGGTTCTCACACAGATCTCTGCTCACAAAGTTAGTCACGCAAAGGTTTGAACAAAACTCGGGTCAACGTTTAGTCTACGTTCAGATCGAATGAATATACATGGGAAAAAAAATATATATATATATATATATATAAAAGACCAGTGTGCTGCTAAGGTAGTGCGGAGAAGACGAAACGGAAGTTTGAGTAACACTCCCACATGTCTATCAGACAGCGAAATGCTGCACGACAGCTAATAATAGAGCAGGAGATGCTCTCACAGCTTTGGTTGCAGCTTTGATGAGTTCAAAGCAAACAGTGGAATCACAGCGTCTCAGTGGCAAAGACATCCATCATGACGGAGTAGGGGAGCCACCGGCCCGGCCTAGTTCAAATCAACAGGGAGGCCTTTGTTTTGTTTTGTGTTGCAGTGAAGAAAACGTTAAAAACAGCCGCAGCGGGGGAGGCTCAGGGTCTTAAACCAGAAGGATGATGGGAGCTTGAAAACGGGGATGAAACTCAGCTCAGCTGAAGACAGTGGGCGCCGGATCTCGCTGCCCAAAACTCTGCTGACCCAAAACTGAGCACCGCTACTCCTTAGAGCTCATACGCTTCTATCTACTTAATCCAATCCAGACCAGAGACCCCGAAGCATCGCACCCCGCTGTGACATGATGACCCCATGAGGGATCCACGCGCTTTTTTTTTCCCCGCCCTCCTTGGGGCGGGTGCCCCCCCCGAGTCAAGATCAGATTCTCCACACGGACCCCTCGTGGGAATAACATTCCTCGCCTCCAGGGGTCAAGCCCTTACCTTTTTAAATCACTGAAAACGCGGCGGCCCCCCCCCCCCCCCCCTCCTAAAGGAAGAACTGCATATGAAAGTGCAGAAGATTGATCTCCTGCACACGGATCCATTCGCTGAATTCCCTGCAGCTCGGTAACTTTCTTGGAATCTCTGGCGTTCCTCCCAGAAATGATATCATTACATCCCTGAATTTCCAGTTTCATTGAAGCTAAATGAGTGTTGTCTTGTGTAAGTGAGACCGCTGCTGAATTCCTCCTGTGGGTATATATATAAAGGCTCTTATTCTTTTACAGTGCGTTTTGTAACACTGAAATTGAATTTTCACTGTCATTTAATTTAACTTTAGTTAGTTTTCCTTCCAGCCCGTGAAACATATACGCTTGTGTACAGTAATGCTGCAGTGAGAATGTTAAAACAACAACAACAATGACACGTTCTCTTGCCGCTTTTCTCTGCTAGGTGGAGGTCGAACCCGTTACACCGCCTGGTGCACCGCAACCGTCCCGGACGGGGACGGTCTGAACCCCGGGTGCGCTCTGCAAATGACTGAGGAACGAGTCGCCACAGGCCAGGAGGACCCTTTCCGTGCACGCGACAAAACCCCAACGGACAGCGGGAGGATCAGTCCGCAAACATCCGACATGTCGCAGCGCTCAAACTAATCGCTTTACTGCAGAAGTGTTCAGGTTCACGGGTCCTCAGCGAGACGCCGGCCCTAAGGCTTCACCCTGCACCCCTCCCCGGGGTGACTGCGTTTCCTCCCCCGTCCCCACATCCTGCTGGGATGAGGATGCACCCCCCCCTCCTCCCGGAGCCATGCTGTTATATGAAGTCATGGTACAAGTCACGACATCGACTATAACTATACATACGACTATAACAACTATATGGGTAATGAAATGTCAGAGGGAAAGGAACACAGCAGGGGACCTGCTACAAGATTTCCCCCGACTACACCGACACCACGTAGAAGTTACTTTGTGTGCTGAGTCGGGAGTGATATCTGCCCCCCGGTATTGGGTCGATTTACTCCGACGTCTAAGAGGCAGACCGAGATGGTGGAGCTGGTAGGTGCGTGGCTTAGTATTGAGTCTCTACCACCCCCGTGTCAACCCTTGAATAAAGACAACAGAGGACGACACATCAACTGGGGGTCTGTTAAATCCTTTTCTACACTCGTATGAGAGATGTGGTTCCTTTTCTAGCTTATTATGAGCTGTTCTGCTTTGTTCTGTGTTCCCAATACAGAAGTTCCAGATATCCTAAATGTAAATAGCGAAAATTGGACCCAAGTCATCAGAGAGAGAATTTCGTTCACTTTAAAACAAATAAAAAAGTGTCTTTGTGTAATTCACAATGATCAAAATCTAACTGGGATGGCCAGTTTATAAAGAACTGGTAACAGCATATGACGCCACAAAGCGCTAATCAACGTCCGCTTCTGACGACGGCCCTCTTTTCTTCTACTGATGCGCGTGGAAGGCGGAGATAACGGTCCCCCCCCCCCGATCACCATCACAGCCGAGGGCATCGTGTCGAGGAAAGAGCCCGTCTGCCCCCTTCCCCCCCAGATGGAAACTGATGACGTCTGAGGTGCAGAGAGAAGGGCGCAGAAAGCGAGAGAGGAGAAGAAGAGCGGGCGGATGAGAAGGATAAAAGAGAGATTTAACGATACCTTTGCCCGTGTAACCAACGGCCTCGCGAAAGGTTTTTTTTTTTTTTTTTCTGTGCACCTCAAGGAACAAATCTTTTGTCTGAGCTCACTGATGCTTGAAGATGAATGTGTGGATGCACATCGCATAGGTGTGAAAATACACAGAAAACACACAAACGAGCCCATCCTTACGACATGCCCTCGTCACACCCACACCCGGATTAACTGATGCATATCTGGATCTGTGACTCACACGAGGCGGCTAAAACCACGCTCGTGTATGCACAACACTGATGTATTCATTTGAACATCTCCCGCATTCTATTTCACAGCAATTTCACGACGAGTTTCTGAGCCAGGATTCTCTGCTTGAAGTATTTTGGATCCAAGATAAGACCGTGGAAGGGAGGAGACAAACGATTGTGACAGCAGCGTGCCAGAAACAACCCCCACAAACGCGGGATTCAGTATTGCAAATGAGTCGCTAGCCGGGCACCGACTATATCCTTCACTTCAGATGAGTAGTTAACGCAACCGAAAGTTACTCTGTTGCATCTGCCGGAGTTTATGTGAAACCTCACATGAACACAAAAGAAGTCGACGCCGGAGAAGGAAAACAACACCAACGCCCCCCGACGCTGCACCTCCAGATCTCTACGTTGAATCAGTGTCTCTGCGACTCGGGATTAATGATCCATTTAACACAATCTACACTTGGGGAGGCACGTGGTGTGGTGGTTAGGTCCTGGGTTCAAACCTTTCAGTGTGTTCTTCCCAAAGTCGGCTTGTGAAACGAGTCATTTCACGGCCCTCGTTATGCTCTATTTATTTATTGAACCTATTTATAGTAATCGCAAGTGTGATTTAGACTGTTGTGAGCCCCGTCCCAAATATGCCCAGCGGTGCCCTGATGCGACGTCCCACTGGGATTTGTCCCGGTATGCCGACCGGCCGGTTCACCAGCAGACCAGCAGCTTTCTCCAGTTTGATGAGCAACTGTAAAAATAAATTGTTATGTGGATCGTCCCCATAATTTACTCACCTGAGATGACATTTACTCTCAGTTGGCGACAGGCAGGTGTTGATTTTGGACCCAGGGTGTGTGCATGATGTCTTTAAATAGGGATGTTTGCAGGCGCGTACCATTGGTACTGGAGTTTTGGTACTGGAGTTTTTCACAAGTACAGTGTGCGAGCTTCCCAGCAGAAACACAGCCATTAGCGCAGTACTTCAGAAGAAGATGTGTCAAAAAATGAGCAAATCGACGTCAAAACTTATTTTACTGTAGCTCTGCCACACCGGTTTGTGGCCTCGGATGACCTTTGATGAAGGTCGTGCACCTTGGAAGCAGATGTTCTACATGTGCTACTTTGCTTCTACACAACCAGAAGAAATTAAACCACAACCATGCTCATGGCTCGATATTTATCTAATTTCTCTCTCACACACACACACACACACACACACACACACACACACACACACACACCGTGACTGTTGCAGCGTGAGGTCTCCACCAGCCTGCTGTCCTGGTCGTAGCACACCATGGCCTGGTAGCGGTAGCCCTGTCCGCACTCCTTGATGTCTCCCTGGACCTTCATCCCCAGGGTGCTCTCCACCCGGCCCCCCTCGGGCAGGATGCAGTCCGACCAGTTCCCCACCGGCTGGGCGTTGTACTTGTCGCAGGGGCAGTACTGGGTCTCGCTCAAAGGGTACATTTGCGTGTTCTTGCACTTGTCTTTCTTCTTGCTCCTCCCTGCGGGAGAGCGGGAAGACAAGAGATGAGCTGCGTAGCTGTGGGAGAGGTGACTGTGCTGGTGTTGGCTGGATTTCTGTCTCCATTCGGCCGATGCAACACTTTCAAGGCCTCGGGGCTGGTCAGGGATAGTTTACTCACAGAGGAAAGAAGGAATCTTTTGCATTGGTTTTTTTCTCATGACATTCAGAGAGTTTCTCAATGCAAATGAGAAGACGTATCTCTGATGACTTCTCTAACATCTAACTGCCCGCAGCATGTTTTCCTGCACGTGTCGGTGTCTCCAGCAAGCTGTGGTGCTTGATTTTTGTTTTGCATTACGATAATCTATCCTGCATTTGGACCACAGGCGTTTGTTGCCGTATTGCGGCAAACCGCAGTGCAGAGTGCTATAATGTGTCCGTATATATTGTGTATCATTTTAAATACCCACTTCCAACCAACTAAACTTGGATGCCGGGCTATTCGTTTGTACTGAGCGGAGAATACTGACATTTAAAGAGCATCCAGACGACTCTGGAATACATTTAAACTTCTAAAACAACCCCTCAGAGAGTGTTTGGATGCATCAGAGGATCTCTCTTTTCGAATCCACTTTCTCACAGTTGACCCCCCCCTCTCCACCCCCATCTGTAATCCTCAGTAGAGGTGCCTTAATGCGTCGCAAATCTCATTACATGTCATTTTGTTTTTAAGGCTGTGACGCATTACCCCCTTTAAGTCGCCCGGTAACTCACAGTCGCCAAGACTACAGAGCAGCCGGTCTGGAACAACAGCTTATTGTGTCTCTCTCTCTTTCTCTCTCTCTCCTCACCTATCAATGCCCTCTTTCTGGTGCGGACGCCCACGCAGTCGGCCGTGCAGGACGAGAACTTGGACCAGTTGGTCAGCTGGCAGTCATCCTGGCACGGGAGCTGACAGCGCTGAGTGATGGCCGGCATGGCCGTGGCGAAATTCAGACACTCGCCGATGTCGGCCTGCGTACCGTCCAGCTGCCGACAGGACACAGCTGGAAAAAGAAAATTTTAAATGCATGCATCGGTATTTCTGCAGTGATTCAGTGATTATTCTATACGTTCAAGTGACGGCACTTCATTCCCAGCGAATCGATAAAGCCATAAACACGCCTCTCGGAGTGCATAGTACTCCGTGTTACGAGCGAGATTATTAGCTCTGCTCCTTTAAGTACAGAAAGAGAACCGATGCGTCCTGCCCCACTGGAGAACAACAGATCATTAAATTGAGATTTAGAGAGGACGACTAAACGATCAATGAAAAATAGATCATGACTCCATAACTCAGATCATATCTCACAGGGAAGAAAAATAATAATATTAGAGGCAAAGAAGACAGAAATGCTTTACCACACTTGGTCTGAGGCCCACCAGTTTTTAATTTTTGTTGCCTTGCATCATCGCAGTCTTTCAATAAAGCGTATTAGTCGGGTTGCAGCAATGTTTCATTTTCTTGTGATGCAGACGTTCTGCAGGGCTGTGACCTTATAGAGAAATCAATCACCAAGCACACTGAAACCCCCCCGTGCACACTGCTGCGGTTTGGAAACCCTCCGTCTGGTGTGTGTGTGTGTGTGTGGAAAAGAGAGAGAGAGAGAAGGACATGATTTCACTTCACGTGTGTCTAATAGTCCTAAAACTGTGTTTTTATCCCGTTATCCAGGTAAACAACCAAAAACGCTGTCAAACAAAAACACAGCCCAGAAAGAACGCAGCGTCTTTTGGGGTTTAAGTCAATGAAAGAAGTGTCAGAGTGTTCAAAACAAGTGCGGAAGGGAGCAGGACATCGGGTGCATAATAGATGGAATGCTGATGTTGCGAGTACGGCTGAGGTAGGCTCAAAGCATTTTCAAGAATAAATGGATTTTTCCATCCATTAATGTAAACTGGCCAAGACGAAACAGAAATATAAGCATTAATAATGGCCTTCTATAGGAGACGTAACATAATGAAATTGATCATTCTGCGTGACCCCCTGAAATCGAAATTTTTATAAAAGCCTCCCAGGACTACATGGCCCATCCATCCTCCGTGAAAAGGCAAGAGGAAATGTGCTTTTACAGCGGGAGCACACTGAGCCACAACTCATTTAAAGTGCTCGGCACTTATGCGTGAAGCCCACGTGTACGAGAGTTTGGGCTCTCGCATGCTATAGGCAATGTGCAGCGTCTTCCCCTAGATTTCAACAAGAGACATTTGATTAAAATTGCATGACGAGACGAGAGCCTGGAGGTGCAAAAGAACCAGCATGAGACAAGCCAGACTGTCAAACGAGTCTCGGGGGGGCACGTGATGAGCGCTGACACGTTTCCACCAACTCAGGAGGAAACAACAAATGTTTTAATAATATAAAAAAACAACCACAAAAAGAAAAAATGATGTTTTCAGGAGAGTCAGCTGCAATTGGTGATACGTCTCGTAAGTGGGGGTGGTGGGGGGGGATTAGATGTGTGCTCTCGGTAAATGGTCCTTTTCTCTAAACCTTGGCACGGCTATCTGCCGCCTCGTGGCCACGCTCCAAATGCAACGAAATGAGCAAAGATTTAATTCCCGGTGATTAGGAGAGGTGGAGGCAAATGGGAAGTCAAGAGGTTGGTCTCTATACCTCTTGTTTGGAGTCCTGGCCCACACGTCTCCTGCGCACCTGGACGGTCCTGTCTGAGAAACCACGGCACCAGCTGGCACTTCCTCCATTTATGGGTTTTCCACCTGGAATGAATCACGACAGCAGAGTTCTATTAGTGCGACCAAAGCGTTCGCTAATAAACCAACAATTTATAACCCAAGACAGTTCATAAGGTTCTTCATACAGGGCGGAACATACATATATATATATATATATATATATATATATATATATATATATGCAGTATATATATATATGGCTTCATTTGAAAGTAAAGGAAGATGAATACTTTGACATTTTGTCAAAAACCTCAAAACAGCATCATGTGATCCTGTGGAGCTCTTACCTGAACCCTGGACAGACTTTGGGGACCTCGCAGTCCGTCTCCTCCTCCAGCACCTCGGGACACTCCTGTCCCCCGTTGGACGGCTGCTGGATGATAAGACGCTTCCTTGACTGCTTTATTTTCACAGCGTTGCCAGCTTAACGCACAAATACACACACACACACACACACACACACACACACACACACACACACACACACACACACACACACACACACACAGTTAGTTAATAAAATATGAAGCGTCTGCATGGGAAAGTGAGGAGAAACACGTCAAAAGGAGAAGCTACATGCAGGCAGCTGTTCTGATGCTCCTTGAAGACTTGAAGGCTGCCGTTGCCAAATCTGAGTGGACAGCTGTCGGGGAGACAACGCACGTCTGACTGCTCGGGCTATCAGGCCAACAACGATGATGGATGTAGGGAAATCCCATCAGACCTTGGAATCCACTCAGATTGCATTTACGGTCTTTCCGTGTGTGGATTTGAAGCAGTTAATTAAGATGAAACGAGCCTCTGGACGGGTCCCCGGGCCGCGCCTGCTTTAAGCCCCGCGCGCCGTGAAGATATCAACGGCATCACAAATTCAAAATGCACACAGGGCAAAGAGGTTTGTTTCACCGCGGCGCGCCCAGGGGTCATCGCACTACGGACGGTAGGGATCGTCCGGCGTAAGTCGTTTTAAGTCCGTCCATCGGAGGTGACCTCGTCACGTGAACAAGGTTTTTGTTTTGCTCGCAGCTAAAAACCACAACAACAGCAACTCGACGCTTGTAGCCAACGGGCGAGTCGGCTTCGCCAGGCGTCGTAAAGGAGGTCGGCCCAAAGGTCGTCTTACACGGCCGTCTGTCAAATTAATCATGTGTAACAAGACGGGAGGGCAAGTGTGCGCTGGTTTAATGGGTCCCACCTCAAGAGTTTCTCCTCAGTGAAATTAAACTGGCTTCTGTGTGTATTTCTTTGGTTAATGGATCTTTTTGTGTGTTATCACTTCAGCCGGAGACTACTATGCCAAATAGTGTGTCAGACATCTTTTATAAACAACATTAATTTCTTTACTTCTTTATTTAATTACATGGCACCCTGGTCCCGCCTCCCTTCTTTACCTGCGTCACAGGTAACGGGGCACGCCGTCCAGTCGCTGAATGGAGTCATGATGCAGTCTTTCTTGCAGGGCAGCTCACATGGTCGCACCGTGCTGGGCCGAGGGCCGTCTGGACACCTGGGCAGCGGGAAACACACACAAAACACGGCGGGAATGTGAAGCAACTCTGGAAAAAACATTCAGCCAAACGCAACAGCCGGCGGTCCGAGTGGCTCGAAAGGCACGAAAACACTGCGGTGGATTTTTGGAAGCTGGACTGAAACAAAGACCCCCCCCCCCGGCCCCCGGTGTCTTTCTTATATATGTACAAACAGCGCAGTGGCTGCTGGGGATATTAACGGCATTTTAAGGCTTTAATAAATATCGCTGTAGAGGTTTGGCACGGCGACCATCTGGGTATTGCTTGAATGCAGAATGTAATTATTCCAGCCGCTATCTAGGGCAATAAAACCTGATGAAAACCTTGGTAATCACATCCCGTTTACCACTGATGTATGCCATCTGGCCGGGGCTGCTCGGAGGGTACAGAGAGGAGGGACGTGGGCACGTCCCCCAACGGGACAATGCTAAGCAAGTCTACAGCAGGGGGATCCGCGCCTCTTCCTCCACACAGCCTCGGCACAGAGATTCCCCTCTTTAACTGGATTCCGCCAGCGAGCGATAATCCTATTGATGGCACTGAATAGTCTTTGGTGCGGGAGGAGGGGGGGGGTTTACGTGGTAATTTTTTCTAGAACAAGGGTTATCATGGATAATCTCCAGCCATCTAAGCACCTCAGGGCCCCCGTGTGTATCACAGGGGGGGAGGGGGGGGGTAAATAGGCCGAGATAGAACCGCTGGGAGACGTCTTGTAATCCGCCGCTCCGTCTCCGTCATCCTATGGCGGACCCGCCGATCATCTGGGTTCAGGGTTAATGGCGCTCGGGATGAGCCTTCCCCTCCGGGCGACCCGGTGCTCGTTAGCGGGGTGTTCCCAGGGACGCGACAGTGGGGGGGAAATGCAATAATGTGAGGATGGCGCGATGACGCGAGGAGAGATTTATTCTTTAATACCGATGGACAGAGCTAAATCCCACTGGAGCAAAACAAATCCTCCGGTGTGTTCATACAAGTCAATGGTCCACGGTTAAAAAAGAAAGACGTGATGTCGGACGCAGGGAGGCGGGGAGGACACATTTGCATTGACACACAATCGCTCACGTCCGTGCAGAAAGGGGCGATGAACAGGTGTCCAGCTGGAGGACCTGAGGCTGCTGAAGAAGCTCTGCACTGCGCCTCGGCGCTAACCGGGATTCTTTTTATCAGTTTATACACACACGTGAACTGCGGCTTCTGCCGTCCGTGGGGATTGGTGGAGCTCTCTATCCGGGGAAGCCCGGCGGAGAAGGAAGCGCAGAGACAAAAATAAACAGCGCACGCAAATCTGCACGATCAAAACACAATTATTATGGTCTCTATGGAACAGATGGAAAAGCCATGTCTTTCATGAGAAATCCGATAGACAGGAGGCCAATATGGGAACCTGCGGTTGCATGAAGCACAGTGTTTAAGTCTCAAAATAAATGAAGCCCACTTTTTTATTCTGCTTTGTCAAAAGTTCTTCCTTTAGCAGCTTGGATTGACGTTCTTCAGCCTCAAAATGCTTTGCTTTGAGTTCCTCAAGACACGCGATCAGACTGTAATCATTCTCAAATTAGTAAATGTTCTGAGCTGGTACCTGAACAACGTTGAAATTTCCTGAAAATGTGCCAGCAGCTTATCCACATTATCAGGGATCAGTTTGGTTGAGTTTTGTTACGCGACGTGACTCAAAGCACAAAGACGGGATTAAACCTTTGACCTCACGTCTACAATTTACCACTCGAGTGAGATCTGGAGAATATTAATAATAACCAATATTCCTATTTAGATAAACAGCAGAGGCATCCGGCTTGACTTCAATCGGCCAAGAGCACAATCTTTACCAACTCTTAATCCCGTTTTGCTTGCTGTTATGGCAAAATGTGTTTTAAAAAACCCTTTAAATTAAATACTGTGTTACGTGGAGTTCTTACTTACTAAACGTCTTTGCTTGGTAATGATCCGTGCAAAAATCCTTTCAATAGATTTAAATTAAAAGTAGTGCAATGAGGTAAAAACATAACGAAAATAAATGAGTTTTTAGACATTTTAAAAATATACAAATAATCTTATTATTCAGAAAGTAGCTAAAAAGCATATTTTTTTATCATTAAAGCTGCACATTGCAGCTAAGGATGGAGGTGTCTTCTTCATCATTAAAAGGATTTATTTTCATCCAAGGCTTCTAACTCAAACTTTGTTTCCAGGAGCCTACAGGCCGTTTTGATTTATTAGCAGCTTTAGTTAGTTTTCGGGTGGCATTATTTTTTTTTACTCTGACCCTTGTTATTTTTCTACAAATCCAGTATAACTGCCATGACATCCTCCCCGTGTCCAGCTGTGATGCACCAGATTCGTGTGTAAGCCCAAAAGCCGTAGCAAATCTACATTTAGGTCAAATGTCTTGCATTATACATTGTTAAACTGGCTTTCATTAGATTCATGTCCAGGTTGTTATGCAACAAAAAAGGAAAAATGCCAAGAGGGGATAATACCAAAGAGCACGCTCATTACATCATCATTGTACTAATCATTGTTCTCCAGATATTTTCCTTCTTGAAACTGTGTTTAGCGTTTGATCAACATCAACATCAATTCTTAAAGCGCATTTTATGATCCTTACAAATTTGAATCGAGCTTTGCTGCTTCTGTTCTTTTAATCCAAATGTTTTTCTTAACTTCATCTCTCGATTTTGTGCTTTGCCGGCAAATAGTTGATGAATAACAGGTTTCCCTCTACAGAGGGAAAATGCCCTTTTGTTCCCTTGTAACACTAATTATATCGTAGACCCACTATTGACGGGTATCTTTCCAATTTTGATGATTAACGTTCAGTTTTTGGAAACAAAAAGGCTGTTTGTTGGTGGACCACAACAGCAGCCAGAATACTAACAACACATTAGTTGGCTGGGAGGCTGTGGGAGTGTGAAGCTAGTTTTAATACCATATTTAAATTTCGTTGTTGCTCTGTTTTTCCCTTTCATTCCTGCTGTTGTCTCCGATATTGTCTTTGCTTGACGGATCTTTGTTGGAAGGATTCGTTTAATTCTATTTACACGACACTCCAGGTATCTTATCCTTCACCGACGGCTCCATTGTCTATCATTTGAATTCCTCTTTCAGCACTTAGTGTATGTGTGCATGCGTGTGTGTGTGTGTGTGCGTATGTGCATGCGTGTGTGTTTTTGTCGCCATGGAAACAAACCAGCATTCAAACGAATCGTGCCCTCCAGAATAACGGCGCGTGGTTTGGACTTGACTCGCCGGTTCCAGTCAGTGTCACAGTCCCATAGTCATCTTTCAATGTGGTGATTTGAAACGAGGCGAGAGACGCGGCATTGAGACGGGCGGCCCGGGAGCTCGTCTTGGAGACGCGGCGTTGAGACGGGGGGCCGGGAGCTCGTCTTGGAGACGCGGCGTTGAGACGGGGGGCCCGGGAGCTCGTCTTGGAGACGCGGCGTTGAGACGGGGGGCCGGGAGCTCGTCTTGGAGACGCGACGTTGAGACGGGGGGCTGGGGCCCAAACTCCCGTTTCTCTCGCTTGCGATCGCCGTCTCGAGTAATCTTTTCGACGAGAGGGTGCTTTTCCCCCGAAAGAACCGAACAGACGGTCGAGCGGGATGAAGAGAGGAGACTCAAAGCAAAGGACTGACACTAGTTTCTAAGAGAGTGTGAAAAGATAAGGCCTACTAAATTTCACTATCGAAATCACGGACTGCAAAGCACAAACATTGTTTGTCAACTAAGCATAAAACGGTTGCGGTTCTTCAGTGGTTTCTCCTCCTGGAGAGACAGGGAGGACACTCAGCGTCCATTAGAAAACACGACTGGGAGACGAGGGACTTTGGGCTCAATGCGGCTGATGTTTGAGGCTCGGGACCATAAATCATTCGGGTTTTCCCTTTTTTCACAAATTCCGCAGCATCGATGTGATTACACAACACACACACACTGGGTAACGTTCGGCACGCAGTCGACAATCAATAAGCAGACGTTGTTGTTTTTTCTTCAGCGTTCTCTGTGGGATGATAGGAGCCCGAGCCCGAGGCATTGACATATTTGTCTCCGTTTTGTCTCCCATTTCTATTGGGTTTTGACAGATGTTTATGCCTGTGTGTGTGTGTGTGTGTGTGTGTGTGTGTGTGTGAGAGGTTCACTGCCTCAGGCTCTGGGAGGAAGACGGCTGGGATCCATTGATGAAGGAGACAGGACACATCTGCATGAGCAGGTTGCATGTGGCCATGTTTGTTGGTTCTGCCGGGATCCCCTGGGTGAACTGATCAAGACCACCTGCCAGTCGATAAAAAAAACCCTAAAAACTATTGAGTCACTCCTGAGTGCAGGTGAGTAAACGCTGCATCTGAGCAACAGATGGTCCAGGAAGAGCGCCGCTGCGTCTTTATTATTTGGTGAAAATGGACAAACACAGTGTCCATAGTGCAACTGAAGCTTTTAATGAAAGACAATAACCTTAAATTGACGACAAGAAAGGGGCGGAACCACCCGTGACGGACTCTGCGCCGTCACATGTACTGTGTATTTTCAAAATAAACCTCCGACGTAGGTTTATTTGGCCCTACGAACGTTCTTGGTTCGCTCGACCTGCTTGGAAGTCCTGTGTTTCTTTGGGCGGTCCAACTTCCCCTCCTGCACGTTCAGACTTTAGACTTTATTGCTTGCTATACCACCTCAGTGGCTTCTAACCACGGATGGATTTCCCGGCAGAGTTACACAGATGGAGAATCTGTAACCAGAAGCACTGAAGCTGTGCTTTCGGCTCGTAGTGAGTAAATACCAGCTGGCAAACACTACTGAACGCTACCGGTACATTTCTTGATGTAGATCATTATCTAGTTTCAATTATTTAACTCTGAGATCCATTGAAGAGTTCCCCTAATAGTTTTTGATACAGTAGTTAAAAGTCATATGTAATAAAAGAAAGGCATTCTATTCTGACGATTGAGGGGCTCTGATTTTCTTCTGTTTTTTGCATGAATGTATTGAACAGAATAGGGTTGGTTTGGCTTCACATCTCCGTGTTTGGCTCAGGTTGGGGATCTTCAGAGAGAGTAAAAGGTTATAGACGAATGTGTTGGCTCTATGTTAGGGCTTAAAGTGTTTGGAGTGGGAACTAGATTGATTTAGGGAGAGAAAAATACAAGTAAATGTCTTTTTGGAGCACATGTCGAGGTGTCTTGTGGGCGACATTAAACCCAAAGCTCTTCCCTGTGGCTGCACGTATATAACGATTGTAATAAAGTTTGCTAATGTTTGTGATACCTTATCTGTCAGCTGGAGACTCCTGCTCATCTTTCTCCCCACACAGTTGTTGCATGCTGTCATTTTATTTTCCCTCCCCATTTTAAATAGTTTGATGTGTTTGTTGTCTCTTTTTAGATCAACGCTCATGCATGTTAATTACAGATGATTTGGCCTCTTCCAGCTCCGTTAATGGTCTCATGTTGATTTGAAAAGTTGCTCATCAACGTGCTGATTGGCAGACCTCTTTTATGGCTCACAAATGTGGCTAATTAGCAATCAAATTAATAGCACCCACGTCAGTGGCTGTGTTTGTCATTGTGAGTGGAAGAACACAAACCTTTTGTGTGTGTGTGTCTTTGTGTGATACAGCTACAAAAACGTGCGTTCGCAGCTAGAGTAAATAATCAACGTGGTACGCGGCGCGAGCCTCCTTCGGGTACAGCTCAATGGCAGTTTGCGTGCTGTTACTGGAACCCTGCCAGTGAAATTGTCCTGTGGAAAAATTCATTGACAGATTTAGTAGAGAGTCGAGAGTCGCACTGCAAGTGCAAAAGGTCAGAGGAGCCGATGCCGGGGGTTGGATGAGGGCCGAGTTAGGGAAGCTCCTCCAGCACCACGGACAGCGGCGCCGGTCCATGGCGGTGAGAAGGAGGCGCTCAGTCCACAGAGAGACTGACAGCACTCACAGAGGCCGTCAGTCTGTCACACTGACAGAAAATTAGGCTGTTTTTCTGGCGCTCTTATTTATTTTTTTGTTGTGTTCACATTTCTCAACTACAAGCAAATCGCCGCCAGTGAACAGAACGTCTCAATGTCAAATGTGTGCTTTTAAAAGGGTGAACTGGGAAAATCTCTGAGAGTTCCCATTATTTGCGGTGTCTTTTTCGCTAAAAGCTTTCCCCGGGAAGAATACCTGCGGGAACCAGGATGCTGAGGCAGGTGCAAGTCTGTCCTTTGCTATAAAATAAAGACGGTTTCCCCAAACCTCAATGCCACCAATCTACTGTCAAAACTACAGCGTGACAGGATGTCAGATCATCAACAGAAGCTGCAGGTCTCTCGCAAGTACCTTTTGTGGGAAACTGGCAGCGGTGCTTTTTCATGTTGTCCCTTCACCACGATTACGAATGATGCTTTGAAGTTATTGACCGGCGAGAAGACAAAAGACATCGGGGCAAATCAACTGAAAGCTCTTTTTGTCAGGAACTCGACGCCGTTAACTGAGACTCTTCCAGCCGACCCGCTGGGCTTGTTTTTACCTCAGCGTGGATTTAAAGAATAAAACACATGCGAATAAAGACTTCCTGCAGCCTGATATGTGTGTACCACAGCACCTCAAACCGCCTCCTCCTGAGAGGGATTTATGTGCCTCTCCTGTGCTCCCATGCAAAACAGCAGGAGGAATCTGCTGCCGTTGAATCAGAGAGAGAAACTAAAGATGCATTAAAGGTCTCTTAGACACAAGGAGGGAGACTCATTACGTTACATTTGTGTCTCCTGTTGTCGTGTGAACCGGTCGAGCTGCGGAGCATCTCGCCTCTCACCTGACTTGTGATTAGATCGCCTTAATGTATCACTCCCATTTAATCACCGTCATTATCATTAACGAGGAATTACCAGCGCCCAAGCGACGGGGTTACTTAGGCTTTCAGGGATTATTTTTTCTGTGGTCGCCTGCGAAGGGAAGATATGAAGAGTTCCCTTCACGTGGAGTCTACCCTGCTTACTTCACCGGCTCCATCAGCATCTCCTTTGTTTGTTTTTTTTCCTCCCTCGCTGCCTCGCTCTTCTCTCCCGCTGTTGATTTGCTCCCCCGCGCTGCTGCTTCTCCCATCCGTCTCTCACCTTCAGACTCTAACAGACACACTGCTTTTCAATGCTACACAAACAAACACACACACACATCCACACGTCTTCATGTACCACTCAGCCTTACCAGTTTGAATCAACAAACATAAATGACTTAAAGTCTCTTCGCCAACAGATTGCTTTCTGTGTTCTTGCGGCAAAATAAAAGCGGTTCTCTGAAGATTCAATTCACCGGAGCTCTCCGTGTCCTTTATTCTCCCAACTGCAGCGCAGGATTTGACTGATTGGTTTCTTCTTTTAGGAAGAAGTCGCACGAATCAGTCAAGGCGTCAGTTTGAAATGCTTACGCTCCGATCACGACCGAGAGCTGCAGCTCAAAGCCAGAGGATTTCAGCCCCGAGGAGCGAGCGGTTTCCCCTTTCACCGTTATGAAAACCTACTAACCAGGCGAGCGAGAAGTCATTGACACCACAGGTGTGGAAACGCCAATGTTAACAACACACACACACACACACACACACACACACAGGAGAAAGGAACTCACTTCTTGGGGGGCACCTGTCCCACGTTGACCCGGACGCAGATGACCTTGCGGGTCTGCATCCCCACGTAGCAGGAACCCGGACCGCCGCCGCCGGCTCGGACCCCCGCCGAGGTGTTGAGGGTCGAGGCGGAGGGGTCCTCGGTGCAGGGCCCCCAAGGCCCCGTCTGCCAGTGGTAAACCGTGCAGGCGTGTTCGTTACAGTTACGCACCTCCAGGAGGGAGCTGCTGTTCGGGCACACGGCGCCACCTGAAAAACACACACACACACACACACAGCCGAGATGGGAAAGTGGACTTAAAGGGGAGCTTTGGTACTTTGCTGCTCAGATCCTTCAATGTTCTTCCATTCAAAGTGTTTCTGTCACAAGTCGGACAGCATCATGGAGAGGACACTGCAGAGAACGAAAGCGTTTGTCTTGTTCTGAGGGTTCGTGAGAATCTCAATAATAACCACCGGATACCTTTTCAGCCTCTTTCAGTCTCTTTAGACCTTCAGCAGAGCAAGTAGGGGACTGGCTCGTGAACGGAACATTTGTCAGCCAAGACACATTTCTCTCCGGGAAAGAGCTCATAAAATGGTCTAATAGTGTATAAATGGGTCAGAAACACAAGTCACAATAAATGTTACACCAGATTCAACGCCTTGTCCCGGTCTCCCTCTGTGAGGCAAACCACAGAAAGAAAATGTAGCACACCTGTCTGACAATTGCTCTTAACAGACATTGCACATAAAAATTTGAGCAGCTGCGCTCGTAAGAATAATTTGAAGCTCCTGAAAAGCACAACTCTGAAAGCAAATAACCCTTCACAGTATACTGTAATGAATAGAGCATATTGCCAGTGTGAATGCATGTGATTTATTGTACTTGTTTTTCTCTTTTTAACCAAAGCACGTTATTGCGTGAAGGGTGGTGCACTTTATCATTGAGAAAATGCTTTAACCATTTCATGAGGCACTCTGGCTTCCAAACTGTTTTAACTGCAGGCATCCTGTAACCGTGAGCAACGGGTCAGACTTTTGCCGTTTCTTCAACCTCCGTCTATCGTTTTTTTCTCCCCCACTCCTTCCTTTTGTGCCTCCTCCCTCCTTTCGGTCTGTCACTTGTGCCGACGGAGCCCACTTCGACGCAGACTAACTGCCGACACTTACGCCTTTCAGCGGAGATTGAGAGGCAATGCGGGACGGCGGCTCCTGTATTTCGTAGCTCTGTGATGAGCGGCGGCAAACACACCCACACACACACACACACACACACACACACACACACACACACACACACACAAGCAGCCTGAATCACAGACTGCCAGCTCACACAAGCCTAGCGGTTCCTGAGCAGGACTCTGCTGACTCAGCCGACTGACATCGCCGGCGATGCTACTCCCGACGCCGGCAAGAAATGGCGCCTCAATCATCTGGGAGAAGCTGCGCGTTGGACGACGGGGAAAATGTGAAGCTCACAGGGAAAAAGAAAACATAAACCACAGAACAAACAAAAACCAGCACTTGAGAGTAATTTGTGTCTGCTGCCGAATGAATGACGGGACTGCTGGCTCCTTCACAAAGTGGAGCATTTCCGTACTTAGCATGCGTCTCGTTATCACTCAGCTGAAGGAGTAAGAGGCACTTGAGCTTCATAATGTCCCATAATAATCGCCGTGGAATTAAGTGCGAGCGGTTATGCTAAATCGGTCATTAATTAGGCATAATATTGTATTCATAAGCACATAATCCTATGCCAACATATGGGCGCTTGCTTCGTAATATGAACCCCGTATCTTAAAGCTTTGGGTCGTTTTCTGTAGTTTCCATAGTTTTTGTCTCTTCATCAATATGCAACACTGGAGCTGTGAAATCTGCTAAGGAGCCCCAAATCTAATCAGATAATCTCCACCGCGGGGGAACCTGTGGTGCACAGACAAAAGCCTCTTTCAGGTATTGTTCTTGAGTATGTGTGCGTTAAGTGTTCCATAATGTGTGTTTGTGAAATGACAGCGGGAAACACTTCGGATCTCCTTTGTATTTCTAAAACTACTACCACATTTCTAGTCTAACATCAAAGATTTACCAAAAAGTTCTGGAAACTTCGGCACCCGAGCGAGACCTTCGATGAATACAGATACCACATATGTTAATGTGACAGGTGAGTACATGCAGAACATAATGTAGTGCCGCTGCCGAACAACAGAGAACTAGTCTATTTCACACATGGCCAACGAGCCCCGACTGCGTCACAGGCGGCTGACTAAAATCTAAATCAATTACCAGCCAACACACAGTCGGTTTAAAAATCACTAAACCAGCTGACAATTTACATGTAGCTGCAGGTCGACACAAAGCTAGAGGTTCAAAACAGCTAAAGGCTAAATCTTAATTACAGTTACAGCTGTTACCCTCCATCACTGTGATCCAGGCCACAACCATCGCTGTGACTACGAGGAGAGACGCACACAAACACACACACACAGAGATAAGACGCAGGCAAATGTGTGGCAGAAATGACAAAAGGAAAGACATGAAATGATCATGGAGACAGATAAAAAAAAATAAAAAAAAGAAGAAAAAAGTGTCGTGCGAGGAGCCGGAGCGATAGAAATAATCGGCAGGAGTGATAAGCGGACTGTCTGAGATGAATGCACACGCAGACAGGTGTGAAATCCAGACATCGGGTGAGTGACAGCGAAGGACGTCTTGAAAGGCCATGACTAAGCCGATATCCGAGCCTCATCTGCATTCATTTCCATGTCTTGATGGTGCGGGGGGTGGGGGGGAGTGGGGGGGGGGGTCGTCTGCAGGTGAGGCTCACCTTCCCCGGCGTTGTAGGCCAGGATGGAGCGCGTCCTCGTCTGCTTGCCCTCGATGGTCTTGCTGGAGCAGGTCTGGGAGCAGGTGGACCAGCTCGTCCAATCGCTGAGCACGCAGTCCCTCGAGCAAGGCACCTCGCAGGGGACGGGCTCCGGAGCCGGGGACGACGTGCAGAGGTTCCTGTCCACTTCCTCTTCTGAGGAAAGGAAAGTCACAGAATAGAAGACTGTTTGAAAGGAAAGAAAAGAGGGCTGAAGGTGCATTTCAAAGTAAAATACATCCAGATTATCGGTTTACAATGAATGGGGTGTTATATTGTAAAGAGGAGTACATTTTAGTTGAGTTGTAGCTGATATTCAAGTGAATTCAGACTCGGCTTTTCAAAAAAAATCAAATTCTTGAGAAAAACTAATGTAACAAAATGTTTTCTAAAAGGGAACAATTAGCATTAACGTCATTGAGTGATGCAATTTGGTTCCTTCCATTTTTTGTTTGTCTTCCAGATTTTTCCTTGAATATTACGCCCCTTTTATTTTATTTTATTATTTTTCCCTATTATTCTGTACCTATAATTAATTTACTTAAGTTCCATTTTGGAAATACAATTGAACTTAGAAAATATCTATTAATGATGAGAGCATAACTACATTTTGTACTCATGATGGGGGATTAAGGAAATCAACCTCTGTAATTATTAAAACACGTTGCTCAAGCGGCGAAGAAAGAAATGAGGGAGAAAGCCAGCTATCATTTGTTTCGTACATGAAAAGGTCCATCTGGGTTTCCTTTGGGCTTTTTGGGGCCTGAAGTCTTTCGTTGAAAATCAAAACAGATGTTTTTGTATTTACTAAACTTGGTTTATTGGTTATTCATTTTGAAAAACCATCTGTGTTTCCAGGTAACGACTGGCCCAAAATGTAAAAGTCTTATATTGAAGGCTGAGACAGGTGGCTTTGTTTGTATATTTATTTAATGGTTATTACCATTCTAAAATCCCATATGTGTTTATGGGTTGTAACTGAGACAATACCATCTGTGTTTCCAGGTATTATATCACAGGATGTTCATAAGACGTTTTTGTATCCGATCGTACCAAGGAACTGTCTTGTGATAGAACTGCACTGATATTAGCACATTGTATTAGCCCCAGAGTGCAAATAATTAACTTTATAGTACTGTTTTATTAAAATAGAATACACTAACGTCACCAAGATGTATGAAAGGTCTTATTATTAATATTTTCACTAGTGGAGATGGAATCCAAAACCTAAATCTCTCCAGAAGATCATCTGAAGCTTCCAATGATGTCGACACATGTTGATTTTATTCCCCAGATGATGAACTACTAGGCGATAACTTTGGCAATGAGAATAAACCCGACCAGGAATTACATCATCGCCGCTGAATTACACTTTGGCACGACGGCGATCGGAGCAGCTGCTCGTCTTAATTGGTGGACGTGTGTTCTCCCCGAGGAAGGATGGTTTCCAAACTGGTTCAAGTATCGACAAATCCGCCATGAAAGAGTGAAGATGTGAAACATCCAGTAAAAAGGACATTTTGCTAGAAAGCACAGAGGGAGCGTGTCCTGAAACGAGGGATCCAGCTTCCCTTTTCAAACAATCATGCAACACATTCTGCAGCGTGAGGACTCATTCGAAGATTTTAAAGCTAGTATTTACGTCAGACATTGGAATCTCGGGGTGCTAAATTGCCATAGTGCAGCTTTAAATCCTAAAGAGTTGGTTAAATCACAGAGCGCATTAATGAAACCATAAAGCCTCCAAACCGGAGCACCACAAACATCCAACAGACTGTGAACCACTGACATGAGTCGTATTCCTGGATCTACGCAGTCAGCGCAGAAATAACTCAAAATATTTCACTTATGTATTTCATATTTGGTACGACAGTAGATTATGACCCTTTTAATGTCATATATTATACATTCATCTCGATGCCCTCTTCACTCGAGCCAATCTCGACACTACGGTGCCGTTGAACCTGGGAAGAGAAAACTCACGCAGGATTCCCACATTTCTACACACTCTCAATTTTTTATTGATGAGCATCAGCCGTAAGTGGATTTGTATGAACCCATGTCTCCCTCCACGTCGTAGCAGTGAGCACTTCTCCTCCTGTAAGAGATGCATGCGGCAAAATGTAAACCGCCCAGTGGCTGGATTGAAATTTCAAGCCGGGGGTAGAAGAGCTCGAGCCTCGGGAGTCCGACCGGAGGCCCGACCGCTGCAGTGAGATAAGTCAATCCGACGGATGCGCAGTGAACCAATCATGACCGAACTGAGAAGGCATGAAAATAAGAAGTGACAAGGGAGGCGAGCAGTTTTCAGTGTCACAAGGAGGGGAGGGAAGGATGGAGGGGCGGGGGGGGGGGGGGACCTCCACGCCTCGTGCGCAGAGGAGGACCGGCCCCCCTGCCTATAAGTGGGCGGCAGTCGGGAACACCGACAGACAGTTTCGGTGACGTTGGTATCGACCTTCGCCTGATGGCTGCGTGGCCTTTTCTTTCACGCCTGGCGACGGGACGCACGCAGAGAAATATACACGGCTGACACGGCAGCGAAAACCCTCTGAGGCGAGAAGCGGAGGGAGAAATCCAGACAGAACAAATCAATTTTCATCAGATGAGGGAGCGTATGTTGTGAGGGAATCAATCAACCGAAGTCGGGGCAGGAAAAAAGAAACTGCGCGGAGTTTCCGTTAGTCCCGCAGGGCAACTTCAGCAAATACCTGCAGTCAGTTCCCCACTGGTGGACGATGGGAGACGTCAGGAAGGAAGTCGGCCACCGCGGCGCAGAGAAGGTGAACAAAGTCGCCTCGCAGGGTCGTAAAATGAGTATTAACTGAGCGCGTGGGGGAGCGGAGGGCGAATACAAACGGTATTTAATCCCCACCTTGCTGGAAAAGTCATACAAATCAATAATGTGTTCTTGGTTTTCTTTAATATTTGTCCACAACCTGAAGGCGATCGAGAAGCATCTCTGAACTCTTTAATATTTACATGCGCAGTAAAAATAAGCAGCAGCAAAAGGCACAAAACATTCCGAGACCTGCGGCCACGGAGGATTGATCTGATTTAGAGAGAGCGGCGTTTAATTGCGCGTGGCGAGAAGGGCTGTAATGAGAGACGCAGCTCTGAGTCAAGCGAGCGTTAAAGTGGGAAAGCTTTATCAGTGGGGGGGAGAAGAATCTCTTCAGGTACATCCGTTGTGCGACGGGTAATGGATTCCTATGGGGTCAAAAAGCAGCATGTAGGGATCCTCCCTTCCCCCCACCAACACCCCTTCACTCCCCCCCCCCCCCGCTCACCATTGCCGTTGACACACCGGAACAGTGCCAGCTGAGCGCCGGCGCCGCACGGCGTCCCGTCGCCGGGGACGCAGCGGTCCAGGCCGACCAGCCGCCAGTCGTAGCAACGGGGCTCGTCGCACGGCACCGCCTCCACCAGGTGGGGGCAGTTCCCGGGCCCCCCCGTCGGCTCATTGGTGATCCGCCGTTTCCTCAGTTTGAAACCTGCAACGACCATGAAGACTGAGAGCGAGAACTAATCTACATTTAGAATCACAGGTCGCGTTTGAAGGGGAAATGACGCTACAGTTGAAATGCAGACATTGGCGTAAACATTTGTATCAAAATGACCACCTGGTGTTTTTACTGTGCACTTTCTGTCGAATGATGTCGGATCCGGCAATTATACCTGCAATGGAGTCATTTTAAACCGTGACACTGGTGCTTTTACTTAATTAAAGGATCAGATGATGGATGCTGATGATTAGCTTGGCTCGGTTTGATGGCCGCCTGCTTGAAACAGCTCATTAACACTAATGAGGAGAAACCTCGACGATTTCCCCACGCGGGACGAGCTGCGGGCGGGCGCTCCTCTAGCCCCGCCCACCTCGCTCCAGGGCCAAGTGACATAATGCGCAATGCACATGTGACCAACGACTCGAGTCACGGTGAGATGTTTTCATGGCGTTGACCACTCAAGTGTTCTCTCTCATATATCACATCAGATTTATCAGAGTTTGCCTTCAATAATAAATAAATGGTATAATAACAAATTAATTTGAATGTTTCTGCAGTGCCACTGAGAGTAATGGCATGTTTCCTATGTATTTTTAACAAGAGGTCCTGCTCCTACTACAGGCACTTAAACATTATTTATTGATACAAATTATAATGATATTTTGTATAATGAAGGATGCATATTCATGAATGCTTTCGGACTCTATAATAAGTTTATACAGTTCTCCAGCTAATACAGAGTGTTCGATTGAGCGTTTTACAACCATAGCTCTTAGAGTGTGATGAAAGTACTTATGCTTTACAATGAATTAGGCATCAGTTACACTACATTGGTAGAAACTGGCGAGAAGAGCAAAGGAATTAAAAGAAAGGGTTATTGTTGTTTATCACCGAGTAACTTCAGAAGGACGAGCCAGCGACACGTAATGCACTCCATTTAGAACATTTATATCATCGTTACTTCAGGGCCGAAAAAAGAAATGAACACAGAGCGCGTGTGTGTGTGTGTGTGTGTTTTCCAGGAAACACATCAAACATTTCTAGTGACAGATAAAGATTGGGGTAGTGAAGATGAATCACATTAACTGTCTGTGTACCTTTCTTTCCAGCCTGGTCTTCGCAGTTCTCAAAGGTGCAGGGCCCCCAGGCCCCCCAGGGCGACACCTCGCAGTCGATGGGACAGGGGATTTGGCACAGCTGGGACCGGTTGGGGATCGGACCCTTGCACATCTTGTTTTCCACCGGGCGGGATGCTGCGCGGAGAAAAGAAACGCATGAAAAAAGGAAAAACCCTCTTTGCTTTGATCCGATTCCGTCTTAATGCGAGGACGTTTTCACCAGCATCACACTCCGAAGAGACGGAAACAAGGCTCATTTACTTTGATTCCAGGCAGGAGGGTCCCCACAGAGAGCAGATGAGTGTGTGGGGGGTGGTGGAGGAAAACATGCTCGTGAAGAAGACATTATCTCTTTGTCTGTTTTTTTGTTTTTATGGCGTGTCAGAATGATAAATTAGCAAAGATGATCTCTGAGCGGCACAGAAGGTTGTGGATCCTCGGTCTCACCGGAGGCGGCAGAGAGGATGAAACCGCACAGACGGTTCAAGACAACACTGACTATTTTTTGGCTGGTGTCTGACGAGGTGTAATTTGGCACCTTCTCGTGCTACCATTTCCTTAAGAAGACTCCCGGTGAGGAACACTCCCGGTGACAACTGCTCAGGATTCATTTCTGAGCGATAAATAAATGTGATGAGAGTTTCAGAGGATGCAGAGTTTATGTATTAATACATGCAGATAAAATATGTAAGTTGGTGCCATTTTTTCCAGTCGCGCTACAGTATCTTCCAGAGCTGCGCGTCCATGTTTCTCTGTCTTCATTGGGTACTAGACGGCGACGGGTTGGGCGATGTGAGGAGGCGGTGAGTGAAATCAAACTTTTGGCCGGAGCTCTGGCGTTTTGATAAAAAATTAAAAATGTTTGGGCCTCCAAAGGTTTTAAAACATTTGCTTAGCAGCCCCTTTGAAGCTCACCAACGAACACCTTATCTGCCGCTTGTACAATCATTTTTATAATAATTGAGGCTAGTGGGTAAATAAAATCAACTAACAAGCTGCTGTTTCATAAGCGAGATAAGAAAGTTTACAAATCCTCCCATCTGACTCTCGTCAAGCAGGTTTCCCGAAATGTCGACCTATAATTGCTTTAATCCAACAGGGCGCCACCTCGGCGCTTCCAGGTCGTTCTTGGTGATAAGAGGGACTCTGCTCACTCAGCAGACAGGTTCAATCCGCCGCCCCGAAGCTGCGCAATGCGCCCGACACTTATCAACCCTTTTCCAGCTGAACACACACACACACACACACACACACACACAGAAGCAGCTGCGCTCCAGAATCAGATTACATTCCAATATGCACATTAAATACTAATGGAAAAACCTTCTGGTGTCCATTTGGACTAAATAGTTCTAAGGTAAACAAAAATAATTGGCAGAATCCAGGTTCAATCAATCAATTGAAGGTTCTTCATTTTGCAATCGGTGGAAAACACAGAGGCTGAACTGCACCACTGCTCGCCGTGGTTTACCACACGATCCACCGCCAGCCAACAGAAGACTGACAGGGACATTCTAACTCACCTGGAAGTGAAACCCCGAATTGTTTCATTCCTTCCTTAGAACAAGGCGTAGCGGTCCACTTCCGCCTTCGGGTCACAACATTGAACCACTGATTTAAAATGATCCTGGCGTGTTCTCACAGATGAAATCATTCACCAGTTCTTAAGTCACAAACAGAAGAGAGAAAATAGACACACACACACACAAAGGGAAATCCGCCCTTTGTGTTACACTAACGCTCCGAGGAGGCACGGACGTTAGAAATAAGTCCATGTATGAACCTTTTCTCTGTAAAGTATCTGTAAAAACAGATTTTTCCTGGAGGATACTTAATGAGTCACACAAAAAAGAAAAGAGAAACCCTTCACTTTTCCTACGAGGCATTTAAGAGCTTAAAGTCTCACACAGTCAGTAGAGCTGAATCATAAATCCCTGAGAACTGTACAGGGGAAGAAGGCAAGTGGGGCTTTTGAAATGCAAGAAGGTTAATTCCTCCCACACATACACTGAAAGTCAAATACGGAAGTTTGCTGAGCCACCGTTAATCCTCCTCTTATTGGTGCACTACACCGACTTCCATCTCTCAACGTCAATCCACTTGGGAATACAGCGCCGAGGACCCACCGAGGAGAGAGGAAAAGAAGCCCCCACTATTCTACGCCGTGAAGCCATTTTCTCTCCCGTGCTGGAGTGACAACAGAGGGAGAGATCTCCCACGCTAGTGCGCCTCGCCATCCGTATTCTGCTCGTGGGGGAACAAAGCTTCAACTCATCTGCCCAGATTTTTATGGGAGGATACAGAACTTTGTTGTAATACCACTTGTCCCTTTGTTGGATTTGGCAGCGATCCGGAGCAGTCTGGGAAAAGAGCCGCAGTGTGTGCCTGTCATGTCGCGTAGCGTTAACGTCATCACAGATCTAAAACGTCACAGCGCTGGGAACAACCTTCAAAGTGTTGCTAAAATCAACGTCTGAAGTATCATTGTTATTGTTGCTTGTGTTATTTTCATTTAAGGTCTTTTTTTTACATTCAAAAAGGGAAGGCTGAGAAAAGAGCAATAAGGAACGAGGAGACTAGGAAACTAGAAATTAGGAGAAGAGGGGAAACAAGGATAGATGAGAGGAAAACAGTGGAGGATGGAGGAGAGAGTAAGGACAGAGGAAGGAAAGGAGTGAATAGGAGAGAAGGAAATGGGTTACGAGAAGAGTGGAGACGGGAAGAAACGAGGAGATGAGAGGTGACAAGGATAGGTGTTAGGACAAGAGATGAAGGAAGGAAGGAAGGCAAGAGAGGAGGAGACGGAACAAAAATAGATGTTCAGTGAACAGAAATGAGAGGATACAGTAGATGGAGGAGAAGAAACTAAGTAAAGAAAGTACAGAAGAAAGGAAGGAGAGGAAAGGACACAGGTAAGGAGACAGGGTGGAAGGAAGGAGAGGGAGGGGAGGAAACAACAATACAGGATAGGTGGGGAGAAAGGAGGAGAAAAAAGGAGAGAAAAGAAGAAGATAAACTAGTGAGGAAATAATAAAGGGTAAGCAAGGAAAGAGGGGAGTAAATAGGAAGGATGGAGGAAAGAAAGGATTGTAGAGATGGAAACATACGGAGTGAACAGAAGGACAGAAAGAGAAAAGGAAAAGAAACATGAGAAGTAGAGGAGGAAAAGGAGGAGGAGGGGCCACGGGAAGAGGTTAGCATAGGAGAAGAAACAAGGAGGAGAGAAGCAGAGCCCAAGGAGCAGGGGGGGACAATTAGAGGAGAGGAAACAAGGAGAAAGAAGGGGAGAGTGACAATGACGAGGTGGAAAGGAATAAATGGGAGCCGGGAGGCGTAAAGCAGATGGAGAGTCTGGAGCTTCGTTATCAGCGTGACTAAAAGCACCTACCTGTAATCTGGAAGGTGATGGAGAGGAGAGGGGGGACGCTAGGCTTCTGCTGTCTTTGGGTCTGACCCGCTGCAATTACAGGGGAGATAGCGCTATTAGCTACGCACACTCAGAGGGGGGGTTGGGGGGGGGCAGAGGCACAATCGAAAACACACACACACACACACACACACACACACACACACACACACACACACACAGCCGGGTCTCCAGCCACAGGCCTTCAGGTTGGAGACGTTGGTCACAAAATAACTCCAAAAGTTGCTGTTTTTATATTTCTGTCCACATAACGAATAAGCAAACGTCTTAAAATCTTGGAAGATTTAATTTTCTTTTTAAACCATTGTTGGGACTGATGGCAAGCTTAATGCTAAGCTAGGCTAACCACGTCCTGACAGCAGCTCCCCCCTACAGATTGACGTTTCTTTTCCCATCACGTAACTTCACGGGACATTTCTCAAACGTCGGTCTGAACTTGAGCGTGTTCATCAATCCCCCTCCCTGATGCACCTTCGACGGGCTTTTGAGTCCATCTTCTTCTCAAACACTTGCAAAGGGGACCAGAAATGTCAACTCCCCCAGGGTTGGGAGATTCGGGGCTCCGCGGGCTGCAGCAGCTGGGCAGAAACCCACATTTACGCAGGAAGTGCGGCATGAGGTCGGTAAGCCCGCGATACTGATCTCGGGTCAGATGGGAGTTACTCCCCTGTAAAGATTAAGGTTGAGCTTTAGGAGGTGCTAAGCTGACTCCAGATCTCAGCCCGAGGGCTCCTTCGTAGCCCTTTAGCATGGTGATAATGACAGAGGAAGAGAGCGCTGGCTGCATCAAACTTCACTCAGCCACTGACTTCCTCCGTGTCTCAGTGGTATGCTGGGAGATTACCCCCCCCCCCCCACCTCCCCCCCTCCCCCACAGATGGGAAAGAAATTCTGTGCCAAGAAAATAAGAACCTTGTGGATGTATTTGTACGACATGTGTTTGTGCAAAAACTAACACACAGGAGTCACGCAGTACATTTCGGAGGTGATGGGGATCCAAACAGGTACAATGGCCCCGGTTTCCTTACAGGTGCATTTGCTGTCTTATCTCACCAGTTCTAGAACTTACTGGATAAAGTACACATGGAACCTTCTTTTTTAGATCATACAATATGTATTACAGGATTACATCTTGGTAACATAACAGACATCTTTGATTTCCGATGATAAGCAGGTAATAAGAGGTACAAAAAACAATGTTTTAGTACAATAAAACAATAAAAGTACTTATGGAATAGAAGGAGAATAACTTTTTTGAAGTAGTTACTAAAGAAGTTAAACTGGAAATTTACAGTATGTCGGAGGTTTATCTTTAAAATATACTATATATATATATATATATTTATATATATATATATATATATATATATATATATATATATATATAGTATCTATATACTATACTTTCCATTTACATTGCTATTAAACAATGCTTTTGATTATCTTCAGTCTGATCATTTATTAGCAAGCTAATGCTCGCTTTGTCAATTAGTGGTATTAGTAGTATTAGTAGTATTATTAGTAACTAGCAGGTTAAAATGTCTTGCATCATCTAACATCATATTTTAGATTGCTTGGATCTTTAGCTTCACACATGATGCCGCAGTGTGTAGCCAGCGATTCTAATTGTTCTGGTGCTCATTGACGGCTATTTCCCTCGTTGGGAAAACAGCCGAGCCAATGAGAGCTTTGTGAGTGGGATTAAGAGCGATGACGTCACCTTGCTGTCTCGGAGCCAGCAGAAAAAAAACTGAAATAAACGTCAAAATGGGGATTAGACCGACACAGGAATGAAAGTATTTAATGTGAAATGAACCACGGGACACCGGCTCTTTTGGGGTCGGGGGATGTAAGACCCAAGGAGGACAAATGCATCCGGGTTAGACGTGAGAGCCCGATTGATCCGTCTCAGAGGTTGTGTTGACTTTGGTTACAGTATCGATAGGAGACGGGCGACAGCCTCCCGAGATCAATACAACTGAAATTATGAGTCGACAAACAGAAATGACTCTTGAATCTATAGATTTCTTCACTCAAATCCATAATTTTTATTGACCCTGTCACCTGCTAAGATAAGAATAAATAGTGAGCTATTGTATTTATTTTAACCATGATATTACATATTTTTTAATATTTGGAATATGTAATTATTCACACCTTTAATCAGTTGCTGTTTTTATTACCTTTTCCCTGGAAGGAAATCCAACATCATTATTGAAAGGTCTATTTAAACTGCTCATTATTATTGCCTCTGTCCCCATGGTATGTTTGTGGCCTGGTGGCCTGTTTCTCAGCAGGACTACTGGAAAATCATATTTTAATCAACTGTGGTGAAAAAGTGTTGGAAGGGTCAAGGAAATAACCCATTAGAACGTCATTACATCCTTTCAGTGGGGATTCAAGTGTTATCTTTAACTTGTAGCAACGACCTTGGCTCCATGTGCCCAGTTATCCGCGGGGATTATTGCGTGAAACATAATGACGGACTGGATAATGCAGCGAAAAAACAAAATGACGTCCGAGTCTTATCGGCTGATATCTCCATGAATCCACAGATTACACTTAACCCCTTCAGATTGAGTTGAGTGGACTTCTGGCTCGGAGGTTTGTGTCTCGTGTCACGTTTGAAGCGAGCGGGTGTCTCACCTCTCCATAAGCCCGGCCTCGCCTAACGTATTTAGCGGTTTAACTTATTTAACTTTAAGAGTGCAGCTTTAATTTTAAGCTGGCCCGAAAAGAAATCAGAAATGGAGGCCTCGGCACTCGTGACCAGTGACTAGGTGTCGCAGCGGGAAACGCGAGCAGACAAATCCTCGCTCTTAACGATTTGCGCTTTGGTTTACGAGAGAGTGGCGGCGGACAGGATGTTCAAAGAGAGAAGTTAAAGCAGTCGATGTAGCCACGGGAGGATATTTCGGGGGGAAAAAAACGTGCCGTTTACAACGACTATAAATGCAAATGATATTTGGAGTGTCGTTTTACATTTGGACCAATCAACACGTAGGCTTATGTCTGCTGCGGTACTGGAGATGCAATTATCTGCATCCATTACACCAGGACGCTGCAGCTCTTATGACATCCGCTGTGCCAGAGGTAATCAATTATGAAACCTGCAGCAAAAAGAAGCGGCTGGAAGAAATAGTGAAAAAAAGGGATTCCTCCTTAAACCTAAATAATGCACATATGTTCAGTGAGAACAGAATAAGAAGAATTCCTAAAAAATGTATATCGTTGTTATAATCTACTATTCCCTAAAACGTTTCCTACCCCAAGCGATACAGACACGGAATAATGCTAAACCAACTGTCTGTTTGGGACACTTTTGACACGTCGGCTGCAGTTCAAGTCGAGGCCCAACGCAGACGTGCACGGATGCTGATATCAGATCCTCACTCATCCCAAAAAGATGGATCGGATTTGAGTTCCTGCAGTTTGGGTCAATTCCTTGCCGCGCAAAAAAGTTGAGTCCTGTTTTCGCAGTTCTAGTATTTAAATAGTAAATATGGATTTAGTGGATTAAACTTTGTTGCATCCCCCTCAGAAGAAGGATCCCGGTCTCCTCCACACACTGAGGCCTGCCATCGGGGGACTTCGGGAAATCAGAGCATCAATGCTGCGCGACTTTTATTTGTTTTTATTTTCCTACCTTGGTCTTTCTCTCGGAGGTCGTCGAGGTACTTCAGAAGCTCGGCGTTGGCCTGGACGCAATAGACCTCCCTGGTCTGCAGGCCTCCCCCACAGAGCCCCGTCAGGTTGCCACGCCGACGGTCCTGTTGGCCCAGCAACGGGTCGACCCGGCAGTCGCTCCACTCGGTGCTTCTCCAGGTGTAGCTACGGAGGACGAGAACACGGCTGTCATGCGTGGGCTGTAACGCGCAGTCAAAGTACCAGGTGTGTTGCGTAGTTACAATCAATTCATCATTTTTTCTGAGCTGCACTTTGCAGTGTAATGGAGTGCGTGCAGTAACCACGGGAACGTGGACAGTTAATGGACACTTGAACCGCCACTTCAGCATTTATTCTGACTTCTGTACATGAATATATGTGATGAGTATTTATTCTATTATTGCCACAGCTGGGACATTACAACGTGTCTGTGGACATCCAAAAGCAGTGGGAGGAAACCAAGAATCAAACATTTTGGTCTGTGAAGTTGTTTTCTAAAGAAAAGGAACGTCTATAAAAAGAAAGCCAAACTCTCTTAAAGATGAGAGTCATGCTGGAGAGTGTTTGGGTTTCTTTTAACACAGCTGTATTGGCTACAGCTGTGAAGAGATGAAACGGGATGAAACCGAGGGAATAAAGGCCCCTTTGAATCTTGTGCGTGTGGAAGAGAGTTTGCAGGACTCAGATATTGTTCCCGTCTCCCTCCATTTGTCTCTACTTTGCGTCTGGCTCCATCCCAAGCACTTATCCTAATCTATCTCCTTATGCTGCCTCCTGCACGCACACACACAGACACACAGACACACACCCATGAGCGAGCCGGGAGAACAAATGAGCTTGGTGGGGGAACCAACATGCAGCGTGTGCAGCCTCAGTCAGGTTGAATGCCGTGACTGTATTCTTTCCTGAGCGTTATTGGCCCTCAGAACGAACCCCCGCAGAGGGCTTTGCGCGGCAAACGGGTTTTAACCACGCCAGGACCAAAGAGGAGGGTTTTATCACCACCTAACATGCAATTATGTCCCTGTGAGGGGGGGGGGGGGAGGGGTTGTCACTCACCTGGAGCAGGGCGGCACACCTTCCCCCTGAGGTTCACACGCCTCAAAATCCTCCAGCGCCGCGCACTCCGCCCCCTCGCCCACGGGGAACTGGACCACTTGTCTGCTGCGGGTGCGGGCGCCCACGGGGGACGCCGGGTCCAGGCAGGTTTTGGAGCAGGGCCCCCACTCGGCCCAGTCGGTCAGCTGGCAGTCCTTGGGGAGGACGCAGGGCCGCATGGTCAGCGGCGGGTCCCACGGGGCGCACAGGCTGGGTAAAGAGGAAAGGACGAGGTTTGTGGGGGGGGGCAACACAAAGTACCATTTTTATTCACCAGTTCCCTCGGGTACCGGCCACACATGTGATAGTCCACAGGAAGTCACTGCACCAAAATAAGAAATAGTCAAGCCCATAATGATGTGTTTTTTTTAGGCTTAAAAGATTAAACAAAGAAGATACAGCATGTGACACAGTGAGGAGGCATCCTGCTTCCCGTCTTAATGCTAAGCTACGCTAATCGGCTGCTGGCTGTCCAATTAGCGCGTGACGTACAAGTATCGGACGGGTATTGATCTTCTCAAGAACATTTTTAAGAATGTTTAGTTATAGCGACAAAACCAACTCTTCATAGGCTCAAGGACCATTGAGCACGGCCAACAAAACACCTGCTCAGAGAGGGGAAGGTGGGAGAAAAGCATCACGGACATTTAACCCCGTGATCCATCGCTCACACACATCTTTTGATCATCCAAATGACATTTAGATGTGACAAATAACCGGTCCTCTCCTCGGGCTCCTTCCGAATCGTTAAAGAGATTTGTTTCTCACGAAAGCCGAACGCTCTCCTCTCCTCAGTCTGGATGTCTTTCCCCCCCCGGGGGGGCGTCGCAGCTGACGAGCCATTAGCGCTAATTACGGCTCTGCTTCATTTAGAAACCTCTCATTTAGATGTTGCCGCCACACTTCACCTCCAGCGACTCAGGCTTCTGGTGTAGATGAGGAGACGCATGAGCTGCGTATATTTGCTCTCTTTCTTTAACTCCTGTGTCTCTGCAGATTAAAACACCTCGGCGGTCTCTGAAGTGGATAGCGAGGCGACGCGCGGATTTTCCTCAAGCGCGCTTGGTTTGGCATCGGAGGAAAACAATGGGGGATTTAAACGTGATGCATCGAGGGTGATGGCTGGATTTACTGTCTCAGATTGTTGTGTTTTAAAAAAAAAAAAAGAGAAGAAAAGCCTCTAATGCAGCCAATGACCCATTTCCCCCCCCCTTCCTGCATCTGGATCTTTTGAGTCTTCCTCGATGGTTGTGTTCATACTCGAGCGTTTCGGTGGAGGTTTCACAGTTGCTGAGAAGGAGTCATTATATCTTCATCTCGGTCATTCGGACAGAATGAGGACACAATCATTCCCTATTTAAATAAGTAAGATGATGTCTGGAAAATGCCTGTAGGTTTTACAGTGACTCGCCACAGTGGACTGAAAGGGGCTCAGAAATGGCCCCATTCCAACACTGGTACTTCCTGAAATGGTCACGAGACACGAGAATTCGGCGCGGGTCAAGTGATTAAAGACAACAATGAAAAACATCTGAGAGGAAATGGGCAAAACAAAAGGATGAAAGAAAAGGAGCGCACCCCTGTGGTGCTCCTTCAGTGCAATGATGCAACGTGCCACGGTGGAAATATTAACAAATATGATGCAAGCTTAATTGGGTTAGGAGGAGGCGGCCCTGTCGGAGACAAGAGGAGGACAAAAGCTCGACGACAGATGTTCATCAAACTAAATTGGAAATGAAGTGAGGAAGATGTTCTAGGTTATGTCTTCAATGGGAAGTTTGCTCCATTTTATTTCCTCACAAATGTGGCAATAACAACTATTAATATTTCAGGGCAAGACGTAAACAAGCCAAGGATTAATATTTATGCTCCTGAGGGCATAAGAGCGGTGGGCGGGGGGGGGTTGTTTTCACGGTTCCTCTGAAATACGTGAACCTAGTCACTACTGCGAGCTCTGCGTCAGCAGAGCATTAATGAATGGATTTGGTTTATAATAGATCAAATCTTGGGAGGAACGTTGCGTGTTACACGCGTGGCGTGTTTCACGGACATCGTCGCAGGCTCCTTCCTGGAGAGCCTCAGATCCTCACGTTCCCTCGGGAGGAACGGTGACATTCGAGTTACCGTCAGTCGAGGGAACCGAGGACAAGAGACGATGGATCCGCGGGGAAGAGCTTCTTAAGACAAACTAGCCGCGCGGTTAACACGTGACTTCAAGACGGGAAGCTGTCTGAAAAATGGACGGCCGCCACATGGAACTGTCATGGCGTTTTCTAAATGGAATACAAATAATTGTTTTCGGCTGTTCAAACTTAATTTCTTTAGGTTTAAGCGGCTATTAAAAACTAATAAAACATGGTGTTTGACGTTCTCTGCTGCTGCTGGCGGCTCATCCATTTCTTGGAAGTGAAACGGTTTGATCTACACTTGAAGCGGAGACTTCTGCGGAGAAATGAGAGGGAATGGAGAGCTCTTTGATGAGTGAGGCTTTGTGGCTCGCAGCTGTAATGATGTCACGGCGCCGGGCTGGATGGGACGCCGGGTAACCGGCACTACAAACGGAAGCACTCACATGGGGACAACAGCGGTCCTCACAGAAGGTCTGAATCCACAACTTGAAAGTGTTGGCGGTGAAAAAATATGTCAAAGTCTAAACATTTATTCTCTGAATTAATTTTCTTTATTTCATGATTTGAGTAAACCGGTTCTTTGACTTCTCTAGAATTTGTAAAGTTACATAGAACAAAGCTCCTGTTATTATATAATCAAAGCTTCCTGTTATTATTTAATTCTCTAGCAATCTGACTACATTTCTTAATAAGCGAAGTCATTTTGAGTGACACTCTTCTTAACTTATTATCATTTCTATAACACATCCACTCCAAACCAGAAGACAGAATGGAGAAAACTGCATTATTTTAAAGAGTGATTGATATCACAAAGTGAGTGGCTTTGCCGCTTCCATCCGGCGTGGCTGACATCGGATGCGCTGCTGCAGAGCGCTGACGGACACGCGGCCGCCTCCCGTCACCGAGAAAAAAAGAGCTTTCAGGAGGACGAATTTCTTGTTAGAAATGCTCCGATTCGAGGACGACTACGAGTCCTAGGAAAAGTGCAGCAGTTTCGCCGGTGACAAAAATAAATAGGTGGCTGGAAATGTTGACGATGAAATCAGACTAATTTAGATTCAATAAAATGCATTACCTCTGCTGAACATTAAAGATAATTGCCTCATTTAAAAATGAGTGTTGCACCCTCACCCAGGCAATGAAATTGAAAGGGCATATAAAAGTGCTGAGCGAAAGGAATGAAAAGAAATCAAATTAACTTGATGTCACATTAACATAGAAATGTGGCCACTCACTTGCGACCTGCGGCGCTCCCATTCCGGTGTATGCAGGTCACCTCCCGGGTCTGGTAGCCCACCTGGATGTCCCAGAAGGGGCTCTCCTGCCGGTTGAGGCGGTTCCTGGTGCGTTTCTTCTGGATGAGCTCTCTGGTCTCCGGGTCTTTGACCCCGGCCCGCTCCCGCAGCCCCTGGCCTTTGCCTTTCCTGCGCTTCACTTGGCGCGCCGTCCGCGTCTGCGGGAGGGCGCAGGGGCTCCACGGCCCCACCCTGAGGCTGTACATGCCCTCCGGACCCGTGCAAGGCCCCGTTTTGCAGGACTGGAACTCGGTTAGGTTGAGACAGGCCGCGCCGCCGAAAAGCGGCGGAACCAGCACGCTCCGGACTCGGTTCCTGAGGCCCGTGCCGCAGGTCTTGGAGCAGGACGTCCACGGCGAATACTCGGAGAGCACACAGTCCCGAGGGCAAGGGATCAAACAATCCTGCTCCAGGCGAGGCTTGAGCTCAAAGTACTCGCAGATGGCATCCTCTGCTGGAGACGCGTCCGCTTTGAGCATGCAGCGCACCTCCCGGGTCTGAATGCCCTCCTCGCCTCCGCTGCACGCGAACGGCCGCGAGGTCCATAAGGTCCTCGCCGAAACTGGCACGCAGGCATTCCAGGCGCCCAGCTCCCAGTCGTAAAGGTCCTTGTGCCAGTCACACACGCGGAAACAGTTCCTCTGGTTGGAGGGGCGCTGGGCCTGGTCACAGTTGGTGTGCAGCGTGGTCCAGCCGTCCACGTGGGCGCACCAGACCGCCCGGCTCTGGCTGCCTCCCGGGCCACAGTCGCTGCCCATGCATCTTCCCCACGGACCTGGGCGACAAAAGAGCCGGGTTAGGTTACAACGTGGAGATGTAAATAAACAGGAGACGGTGTGCTTTTAGGCTGCAGGTGAGTACCACACAACAAGCCCGATGAGCATAAAGAAAGTCCTTCAGAATTTGCAAAAGGCTGTTTAATAAATCACAGCCTTGCAATCAACCAGTTTACCTCCATGATTTCACTTCATCATTTCATGAATTATTTATTCTTAATTCCTAATAGCACATTCATTCTCGAGTCCTGGACCACAGGCGGTTTTGTGAGGTGACAATAGCGTTCTAATCTGGAGTTCAGGAATCAGGAAACATTTATTGCCAAAATATGTCAAACATACAAGGAGTTTGTGCGTGACACCCGCCTCACGACGTCCACAGCATTTGGCTGAAACATAACTGCACAGGCTGTGATCCCCATGTGTTGAATTAGAAAAACGCCCCGTAGTTACATTAGTAACACTCACTGATGCCTTTAAAGCAGAAATCCACATCATGCGAGCGTCAATTAGTCAAACCCGTCAAAGCCTCTACTGCCTGTTCACTCCGGAGGAAAAGCCTGTAATGCATCTTCAAGGACGACACAGCGGCTTCACAGACTCCTCCGACGGCGTCCGTGATGCGGAACGCGTTGGCAGCCCACGGCGGAGCGCGTGCAAGTGGCAAATAAAAAATGTCACCCATTGGCGCGAGGCAGAGACAGGAAGTAAGTAACAGGAAGTGCAGCAAACATCGCTACAACAACATATTTGAAAGCAGCGATTGAAAGTCCTCAAACAGCTCTGGGGGAGTGTTGGGTTTAACAGGAGGGCTTTGCCTCAAAGGATAAGATGTTCATACACCGCACCAAATGAAAATTACTCCCCAGCGGGAGGTAATCCCAGACAAATGCACCACTCCCTTCAGTTACAGTCAGTAAATGAAAAAACACAGTCCCTGGATTTGCAATCTTTAGGAAGTTACTGGAACTTTTTCATGGAAGAAGCTTTTTCCTTCTGTGATGTTCGTGGCTTCGTCCTCATTTCTTCCTTTATTCATTGGCTTGAAAAACACATCTGCTCAGCTCCCGCAGACACAAAGAAGAGCTTGCTCGCACAACGATCGACACGCGCTATTTGGAATTAATGTTTCTCTCCGCTAAAAACAAAAGTGGAAAACCGTTTTAACCCAATCATCCCCTCTCAGCTGGAGCTCAGCATCGATTAAAGCACTCGCAGGGTGTTATCAGGAGCCCGATCACTCCGCTAGTGGGGGAGGAATCAAACTAATTGGGAAGCTTCACTTTTCCCCTCACATTAAAGTCATAAGTAATTGATTAAATCATCGGGGGGGCCCCCGGATCGGGAGCACGTTTGCGGCCTGATTGCCGGTGATGAGGGCGGCTCGCTGCCTTTCGTCTGGTCTCAGCTGATGATGCGTCGGACGGGATCTCGCCGCGGGCCGAGGCGACGCCGCCACTCACAGAGCTCGCTCCTCTCCTCGCGGCGTCGACACGCTCAGTCGATACGCCACAATGGGCCCCTTTAGCTCCAGAATCCCTTTGTGCTGCTGGTTTCCGTTAACTCTGGAGAAAAATAAATCAATGTGACGTTTGTATTTCTAATGCAGTAATAGAAAAGAGGCAACTTGGGTCTTTGGCGCCTTCACGCAAACTGATAAAGGGAGTGAATGTTATCTTGAGAGCTGATGTCGAGTTCTGAGGGCAGAGAGGAGAAGAATGCAGTGGAGGAATAACTAAAACAAAAGAAACCTGAAGACGATTGAAGAAGTTCTCCGGTACCAGAAAGCCTCACCTTGCACCTGCACCTAATCCACACCAGATGGTCGCTATCTTCTCAGAGACTTCCATCTGGCTCGGCTCGCTCTCCAGCTTCAGACCTCGGTTATATTCAACCCGCCTGGTCTGAGGAAGTTTCTTCTTTCTTCTATGTTTGCTGCTGTAAACGTATAAATCCATGTGTGGCTCCGGCAGCCAGCAGCTAACTTTTCAATCTTGCATGCAGTGTGACAGCACCGCTAGAAACAAACGGCATGCGGCGCCTTCATTTCTCATGTTTAGGAGAAATATATGGACTGAATTATCAACAGCCGTCACTCTACTGTAATATATATTTATATAATAATATCTTTATACGGTGTCACGACTTTATTGAACCAAAAGCGTCACTGAAAGCGGATTTGATTTTTGCTAATGACGCCTGAAGTCATATCAAATCTTCAGACGTAAATACTTCATGCATGCGCGTAGAGCTCAGACCTGTGCAGCCTAAATGCAAATGTAAAAAAACATCACAATGTGAGTGACTCCTTCTCTCTCTCCACTAACAGACGCACAACTGTCTGTACACCCACATCGGCACACGGTGTGATGTATATCTGTGTCATTGGTCTCAACACTCTGACAAGTGAGTACCAAGAAAACTAAATACAGTAAATCTTAAAGTTGAAAACTCGTTGCTGAAAGTTTGTGTTATTTCGTTTCTTGAAATAATATTTGATAAAAAAATTAACTGCAACTTTTCTATTCTGATGGTGAAAGTATGTGCTTTCACGAAGGGTGTCATAACATAATGTTAAAGTGCTGATTGAGTTCATATTTGTATCCGTGTGTTCTCTTACGCACTTACTGACTGGGATCTATAAACAATCCAACGAATGGAATGAATCATCTTTAAAATGTCATTACAATCATCGTCTCCTCATTATAGAACCTTATGGCAACAATGTAACGATTTTGTATCTTATTCTACCTTTACTTCTATAATGAGCTAACTTTCCTGCAATTGCAAAATAAACCTTTTACAAAACTAAAAGTTTAAAGCACTGAAACCAGAGAACGAAAAAAGTCCGCGGAGGTCCTGCAGGCTATTTATGATCACTTATTGATACTATTAGCTTTTCTTTGTTTCACCCCGGGGCCCCCACGAAGCCCCCAACGCAATATCTGTGGAGTGCGGCCCCCTCCCAGCGCAGGTGAGAGCCTGATCTCTGCCCGGCCCTCGAGTGGCGACTTAATGAACAGCTCCTTCGCCCCGGCGGGGGCGGCGCCTCTAATGAACGGGTCGCTGTGTCGCTCCGTCTCTGCCGGGTTGTTTATTGTCGCAGTCGGTGTCTCTCGCTGAGATGAGATGTATTTTAAAGAAATACATAGCTGCCTCAATCGGTAGAATGAAGTTCTCTCAAAGCGCTGTGGGGTGAGATTCGACCTTTTCACCCTCGGTTACAACTCGGCAGTGATGCAGAGTGATAATAAGCCGCAGACTAAAGGGTTAAAGTGAGTTAATGTATATATATATATATATTCATTGAGCCAGCCGCGGGTCTCCAGGGATTCGTTCTCCCACACACTTTGAGTCAATGAGGATGAGCTCTGTCGACTTGTCAGATTAAATCACAGCACAGGAAGATGATTTTACAGAGGTTTATATTTGTTTCACGGACACGGCTGCACACAATAAAAAGGCTCCTCTCGGTGTGTTCATGGTATTTCCCGGTTGGTAAAAAGCCCGATCCAATCCCCTAAAACGCTCCGGTGGAGCTTGTTTCATGATGAAAAGAAATATTGAAAGGGGGTCGTTTTAATTTGATGCAAATGTGGAAACGCAGCAAGACGCCAGTTTCATTAGGTAACCTTTGTTAGTTTTAAAGCCAAACCAGTGTTTGTTAACGACTGTGATTCCGCTGTCTGAGTGTCTAAAAACGTCAAACTGAGTTTCTGAGTGTTCCGCGAGGCTCCGACCGAATAAATCACACCGACTGCAAGGTGATAATTGCACGTTTGCCGTTCGGCAAAAGTAAGTATCGGAAACATTGAGCTCAACAATTCAATTTCTTTCGCCGAGAGCCGCAAAACACACATCGGGGGAGGGGGGGGGGGCATTTGTTTGTTTGTGTTAAAGAACAAAAGCACGGCGGCGCCCGGCTTCAAAAGATGGCTATTCAGCGGCAGATGGACATTAGCCTTTCGGTCTTAATGGGCCGCAGCGTGCGTCGGGGGGGGGGAAGAGCAAAAGGAACGAGACCAGGGGCTGATACTTAACATCAGAAGGAGCAATTTGAGCAGCTTAGCATTCACGGATGGTTGTTAACCCCGGCCTGCGTTCAGAGCGATGGCTGCCCGGGGCTGAGCACGGCGCCGGGCCGCCATCGACTCCAGTCTCTCGCCGCTCGCACTTGATCTCAATTCCATTAGCTGTGACGCCTCCATTGTGCTCGGAAGGGGCTCCTTTGATGGCTCCGCGTTCACGCCATGCTAAGTACTGGCCTCCATTTTGATCTTTGCTCGTGTCGGTTTCATTCACATGACAGCTTTATCGCTGCAACAGCGGGCGAGTTTGTGCAACGGAGGGGGGAGGGGGGGGTGAAATTACCCCGTATCGAGTTAAGTGGGCTTCTTTGGCAATTAGAGAGCTTTTAGTAATAAATCGACATCCAAGTGAAGTTACACATCATCATGACATTTCTAAGAACTTAAAGCAGAAATAGACTTCTAGTTCTCTTGTTTACAGAAAGGCTGAGCATGTTAGATGTTTGTTACGTCTTCCCCCATTGTAACATCCTCGGAGGATTGAGGAGTGTCGAGATAAATTACAGAGAACGCGCTCCGAAGCTAACAGCGCCCACGCGATATCACTGCTGGCAGCAGAAACAAAGAGCATCCTCCCGATGATCAGAGTCAGAGGCGGGAGGACGACCTGCAGCTTCCACGCTGAACTGAAAACTGTCGACCTCCAAAACAGGCGGATTCCCAAAGGTCAAAAGCCCGGTGCTGAGGGGAGATCGCCGAGGTCGTAAAAAGCTCCATCATTTCAAATAGAAAACTCTGCAATCAGGCATCCAGAGCAAACCCCTGCACGCGCACACACACACACACACACACACACCGTCCGTAACAAACCGGGCAACCTTGGCATCATCGAGCAGGGACAAAACAACAGCAATCTCCCATCACACACTGTATCTCTTTCTCACCACCTCCCTGAATGTTTTCAGAGGTTT